CGGTGGTGACCGAAACAGTTCCTCAGGGTTTTCCATTCGGATTTCCTTCTTTTCAGTGGTGACAGATAGAGTCTATTACGAGTAAGAGCGTCTAGTCTTTTGGATGGGACGAAAAACCGATCCCACGTGTATGCCATTTGCAGCACGTTAAGGATCTCCTGAAGTTGGTGATCGAAATGAGAGACCGTAGTGCCGCTGCCGAGGCACAAATTCCCTCATTATATCCGGCCTCTTTATAAGCTTCCTTCTATAGTAGGCTATATATGAATTGAAAATTATGAATGGAAATGAGTGTCATCATGATATATGCATAAGTATTATTTGAGAGTTTGTGCAGATAAGTAACCATAATGATACACATACATATTATCTTTTTGTTTCACAGTTCATAATACAAAGAAAGTCATCATAAAGCAGCATGTAAATGTGTAGTGTTGTTTATCTATGTCACCGAGATGTAATATATGATGTAATACTGCTCGACTGTTACATGGTGCATTGGTGCATCACAGAAAGAAAACACTTAGATTTACTTATTCAGCTGATATAAATAAGTATATTATAAACGGTTACATCTGCCATGTGACATCATTCATAACAGTGTCATATTTTGCCTAAAAACACTTTGAATGAAATGCACGATTTAAGTAGTGACGTGTGCTATATATTGTGGGTAATATTTATTCCTTCTAGAACACTTGGTGTCACTTCTGTTTAGAGGGGTTTGCCCAGATAGCAACGTTTACGCCTACTCTTGTGAGAATTCCAATTATTAATTTACATGTACATGTACATGTATTATTAATTTGTACACAGTACGTCGGTTTTTGTCTAACCCAAACGACTAGACACACTTCCCTTGTCAGCCCCACAGGACTATAGGACCGGTGGTACCGTTAGATCAGATAGGCTGCCGTCTACGGCGCGAGTCACATTTTTATAAAAAGTTATGGCATTCAAGAAAAACGATATAAAATTGATGAGTTAGAATTCCCGTTACTTGAGCATGAATTCCCGTTACTTGAGCATGAAGCTCAAGATGCTGTTTTCGTATGGCACCTCTTTTGCAACAGCCGAGAAAAAAAATCATATCATGTTGCTTCAATGTTTTTTTCATTGTTGCTTCCCAACAACACTAACTGTATAAGTATAAACATTTGAGTTGGTATTACATTAAGCGTTTCACCCATTATATGTATTAGGCCCACTGAATATTGCATTGCGTATTATGTTATCCTACTGAATATTACATGGTTTCAGGTCTCTTATTTTATATCTCAAAAGGGTAAGGTACTGAGCTAAGACATTAAAAAGTGATTTGTAGACGCTATAACTTACGTTCTATAACTCACGTTACGCTTCATCGATTTTAACATTTTTAGGGCCGATATACTGTTTTGATAAAACTGTTATTGCCCATATTTCTGTTGTTAATCCTGGAATTGTGACTTTAATAACATACAAAACATATCCTTACACAATCATCCGATGTGTCATAGAAATTAGTTTAATTATGAGGAAATTGCATAGTCCTGAAATTCAAGTTAAAAAGACATATTTCTTACATAGTTCGAATTTAATTAGGGATTCTGTGTATTAAGTAAGGTGTATAGATTAGAACTATGTATTACATCAGTCTTTAACCCATTTGTAAGTCAAATCATTATTACAACAGCAATCCGCCTTGTACTTATCAATATATAAATTGGAATGGTATGTGTTATAGTATTCCACTGAGAACACTCTACTACACACACGGTTACCTTAATATGGAAGCTACTGGAATCCCCCGACAGAAGCGCGTGTGGCTAAAAATAGCCACAAAATTTTCCCACGCTGAGCGGTACATTTATGGTATTAGGTACCGGCTTCTCTGTGATTGACAGGAAATTCTCGATCTACAAGACGGGGTGTTATTATTCAATTCAGCGCTTCCATACGAAATAGTCATCTGAATAATGGTGGCAGGTGCGGCCTACTTTTATTGGCGCACAAGTTCCCGCCTTTTTTTTCTTACGCTAAGAATTTGTCTACTTGTGATAGCAAAAGAGAAAACCCGGTAAACATAAAAATGTCAACCCATTTGGTAGTTACTACTATGTTTATAGTACGACATGGGTGCTGCAACAATAACAAACATGGACACGAACGTGGGCTACAAATAGAAGATGTAGCCCAATGTATGCCAGTCAATTCCTAAGAGTTACATATATGTATTTAGATATGCCAGTCAATCGACATGTCAGATCTATGTTCGATATAAATGTATGGTTACTGTATGGTTATCGCATTACGTACAATAAAAATCGCCTAACAGGGTAAGGGAGAATCAAATTCTGATAAATTTCTTGGCATGCCATTAAAACGAAATTACATTTATGCGCAAGTGTGCTTTATCTTGCCACAAACTTTAAATAACTAATTTTGTTTTCTATAATTTTAGATTTAATTATAATTTTTAAGGGGAAATGTTTTTTGTTTTAGCTGAGTGCGTATGTGAGTGGAAGTCGGTAAGGGGGATGGGACTTTTGGGGGAATTCACGGGGCCAGATGTGTAATCGTTTTGTTTCTTGAACTAAAATTTTGCACTTTGTGCACTATGTATAGGTCTACGGCACCTATTTTATTTTTTCGTACAGTGCAGGGCTTTGTCCAATCCCTTGACCTGGAAAATTTGGCATGCCAGTCGGTATAAATGTAATCTGTGTTTAACAGGCTGGAAAGTATAGTCCTATTGATCATTAATTTAATTCGGATCTCTATTAGAAAAAGTCAACCACAAAAATTGCAAAAGCCAACATTAGGCAAACAGAACGCGAATACATCGTACCACGGGCAAGCGAACGATATAATTATTAAAAGAGAAGAAGACACTGAAACCAATAATACCGGCGCATACAGGAAAGCAGGATCTCGGCTGAATTTTTATGTGATAAACAAGAATTTCGCATGATTACGCCCAGAATTTATTCAATAAGTAGGATTTTATTAATAATGTTCATAGTTTGTTCTAATTTGGTTAATTCCTTTATTTTAAAGACCTTATAGCCAATGGTTGTGCCACCGCCGGAATGATTTTATAAAATTATTGAGGGTTTTTTTTATAATCAAGGCGTATAAAACACAACGGATGCTATATATCCTGAACATGACTGAAACTGATAACATAAAAGGATATTTTACCCACCAATCTACTAAAATATCAAGAAAAATATTTTTGACCGCTGCTCAAGAACACGGCCATAATTAACATAGTTCAATAATTGTAGTACTCTTTACTGTAAGCTAAATCCATTTCACTATCTACACTGACCTAAATGGGGAAACACGCAGCATCAACTAGATTCTAAAATTGGCATCAAGTACAGACGAGATAGACTCAGAATTCTAAGAAAACCAAGCTACAGAGGTATAGTTGGTCCGTATTTAGAAGTATGACTCGTCTTGAACGTCGACGGTATACTCGCGTTCTCACGGTACACTCAGTAGGCTTGTACCTGTTTATGTATGTTAGGATATAGATGTGCGAGTAAAGGATATATATACGTAGCCTATAGATCAATATGTTGTACGCGTAGGAGATATCGATAAAAGGTCTCTATCAGCAGTATTCGTATTTTTGATCGTAGTCTTCAACTAAAAATTGGACGATTTTTAATTATACTTATCCAAAATTATATACATGTATATCTAATTCCATCGAGAATAATAAAGTTCTTTGGAAGGTAGTAGAATTCACTAATACACCCTGAATCAAATAGTGTATCCATAGTAAAAGTTACATGTGTAAATTGCTCTACGGGTATAATGTAAGCTGGATTTCCACAGTATTTGTGCGCTGAGAGATACAATCTGCTATGGGGAGCTGATATTCCAGTGAATTTATGTTATTTAAAAAAAAAATGATAATGAAAATGAGGATTTTCTGTTTTGTAACAGCATGCGAAAAATAGGAATTTGTAAGCTAAATGGCAGTAAAATAACTGTGAGTGAAAATCTTATACATATATACATGTATACATATATATATAGATATAAAATTACATCGGTTATTGCGTTTTTGTAATTTTTCTTGGTCTTTTTGGAGAGTTTAGCGAACTTTTTAATAGCTTAAAAATGATTTAGATGGTTTTTGAAATTTACTATTTTGTTTTCTATTTTTTTGTTAATCACAATGTCCATATCGATCTCAATGTTTCGTTGGATTGAAGGAATCCAAAGATAGTGGAGAAGTTGAAAAAAGGCGCGCGTAACAATTAAGGTGATAGACGAATAAACAAAACACAGTATTAGGCCACTTTATCGATATATAATTAGCATGAATACATATCATGATAATACTTAATACGAACCGGGGTGGCTTAGTGATAACTCAGTGTATTTTATTTGTGTTCGAAGGTGCGAATGTAAGGCAAAAGACATTAGACAAAACACTTGCAAACTTGTATTTTATTTTTAAAAAGAAAGAAAATGAATATTCGAACATAAATGAAATGGATGGGGTTTTACGTTCTACTGTCCTGTTCCGACTGGGATAATGAAGAAGGGTGTAAGCCATACAGTGGGCTATGACGGAAATTTGGCCCGGGCAGCGGCGCTAAGTCCTACTCTTATATCGAATAACAACTGCCAGGGGCTCTTTTATGTACACGCCGGGTGGAAACCCGCGAACACCAGGCTTTCGAACCAGCGTCTTACCCACTCAGTCACCGTGGCTCCAAATAATTTGAACAACCGTGTGCCAAATTAATAAATAGCCTACACGAGCATTTCAATGAGAGAACAAATAATGGTCTATAACTTGCCATAATATTTATAGATAGAAAACAAAAATATGGTAAATAAAAGATACCAAAAATGGAAGAAAACAATAAAAATTGCCCACTCTGTGCGAAGTAATTGTATTGGTTGTATCGGTTACTTCGACTGGTATCGCATACACTTCCGAACATGCCCTTGTCCGCCTTTTGTATAAACTTCCTGCTTCCTTCTAAGAGTGACCTCCCTTATCTCAAAGTATTGTTTTGACGTTGTCATTTTACTCGATTTCACGAATAATATTAGTTTATCAGCGGGTAACTTAAATTCAGTAAGAGGGGGTGATTATTTGGCTTTTTGTAGGTTATCATGGTAAGTGTGTGTTTAGAAATATCGGCCATCTACGATGTAGTGGCCAAGAATTCTGAATTAGGGTCCACATTAATGTAAAGTTTTCTGAAACTGAAAGGCAAATAAAATGCCACGCCCACTTTACTGATACAGCAGTGGCTGGAGATTCGTCCAGTATTTGCTCCCACAGAAATAACTAGATTTTTGATGTACACAAGTCTAACTTGATATATATGTTAGGCCCAATCTTTACCCCTCGCACAGATTGCAATCTGAGCTGTCGTTAGCGAGAAATGGATGAAAACATGACCTTAAAATTTAAGGTCCACGATAAAGGTGATTTAATTCTTCAATTAATGTGTCGTCCGCTACACCAGCAATTTTAATCAAATTATAATTCCCTTTGTTACTTCCATGCCGATTGGCTATGCTTATGTCGAGCGCATATTTTCACTGATGAAAAATTATTGGAGAGATGACAGAAACCAGGCATCAGTAAAAATTATTAGATATGTGAAATTCAAATTAGATTACATTAAAATATTCATGTCAGGCGTTTCAGAAGATATATTAAAGTAGCTAAGTCTCTAACTCAATATCATCCAAAATCTTCAACATTGAAAACACGATTTATTTATCAATTTAAATCAAGATTGATGTTGTGATCTTACCGGAAAAAGATGGGCTTTTGATATCCAATAATTAAGACAAAATAAACATTTTACTATTGGTACACGAATCGTGTACCATAATGCGCTTCAGCCCCAGTTGTATCAAGATACTCGAGGGACGAGGCTAGACACATTGCACCAAATCAAACGGCGTATGTAGACTGGAATAACCAGACGCTAGAAATTTGCACTCGCTTGAGACTGCTGGCTTATTAGTTATATCGCCGAACATAACTGATTTGAAATTGGAGTAAAAACGGAAACCATTGAATGTAAATCAGTTTATATACATTCATACTACAGTATTATATGTGTTGCGACCTACTTTTGTCAATTTCTAGGTCCAAAATGTTAGCGATTTAGCTCCTTTAAGAAATCACAGATTATATTAGAAGCTGTGAAGTCGAACAAAAAGTACCCTCATAAACATAAAACTCATTTAATCTTGAGATGTTATGCATTTAGGAGAAAATCACAAGTTATCACTACAAAATCAGAGCATTTCAGTACCATATTTCTTGTCTCAGATTGCTGGCAATGGCGTTTCTGGGCTTCTAGTTTTCAATAATTTTCTGAGCAGGCCCCCCCCTGCGTATGGGGTGAGCAGCTCCGCCAACCACGGAGTCGCAAAAAATCAAGCAAAGGTAGTCATCCTAAGTGTGTCAGACGTAACTATATATATGACCTGCCCTCTATCGAATTTGTAGTGAAATAGTTTTCAAAATCACTGCATAATTAGCGTGTGTGCTTAGAAAATAAGATTTTTAATTCTAGTCAGCAGTATCAAATAATCGGTGCTGACCATGTGACTGAATGTCAAAAATATTTGCTGTAATTGCCGTAAAGTTCTGTGTTATTTTTGTACAGTTGAAATAAATACATGTATAACAAACAGTTGACAGGTTTTTAAATATTTTATTAATGTGCAATATAACCTAAAGTTTCTGAATTCAGGTTCAGTGGTCACCATGGGTGAACGGACTATCATCGCGGTAATCCGAGCAAAGTCCACTTCGCACACGCAGATTAGTCAACGGAAATTAGAAGGAGATTCGTGCATGCGCGGGAATCTGTCCACGGAGGGTAATCTGCGCTCAACACATATATACTCATCTTTAAAAAAGTCAAACTTTAAAAAAAAAGATGAAAAAGACCCACCGTTATATGAATATATTGATAAGAATATCCAGAGGTATTAGTATTAATATTGATAAAAGCTTGACATTATTTTTCCCCAGGCATCACAGATGAAGGATGTTGAAATTCCAGAAAAAGCACTGAAAGAATTACTGTTATCAAAACATGCGGATTATATCAGTGCTTATGGTACAAAGAAAGATGATTATGTAAGAATGATTATTCCATTAACAGATTAATGCACATTGTTATTAGCCAAAATAGAAAAAATGTACTGTAAACAAAAACGGGATGTAAACTAATAATTACACGTATGTAGTCCCAATCATTTCAGCCCATATTGTTTTGGATTTAATGACAATGAATAAGTTTATATACTCTGATTTATAATGTCAAAGGTCTTACATTTAAATATGCAAAATGCATTGTTAACTTGTGTATTAAGACATTTTCCATATATTTCAAGAATTGTATGAACCACCAGTGACCATGACAGCCTGTTACCAATCTTTTGGTCAATAGCTGTTATATTCATTGTTGTCAAAGCGTAAGCACTTGTTGCATTATGGATAAATTGTAGTCTTACCAAAAAGCACACTAATTCAAATATAAAAGAACAATCAACCCTAATGAAGGTTATGACCATTTCACATTAGTTTCTATTGATTTAACACAGCGACATGTACATGTATCTTTCTTTAATTGTCGGAGGATGAGACCAACATAGTATCTTTTCTACACTTTTTGGCCCTTATGTTAGATAGGGAAAATGGTTATTGGCTACTGTAGTGCATCTTTATTTATTCATTTCTGTTATTCATAACCATCAAGGTCATAATCTATTAAAGGGGTATTAGGATAGATTCGATAAAGAGCGGATAGTTCATGATATAATAGTTAAAAAATAGATAACGTTAAGAGCATATGCTGAAAATTTCAGTCAAATTGCTCCACTCTAAACCGAGATATTAATGATTGAACTTTATCCATTTTGATGTTAAATCATTCATCACAAAATACATTCTAATCAAGTAAATATCACAGGCTAGGGATGGCATCGATAGTTGATTATGGTCTGGATAAGTTAAGTAATGTCTAATTAATAACTTAGATAACATTTCAGGCCTTAAGAAAGACCTGCAATAGGCAAATTTAGCTCTTGCATAATGTATGTTTAAGTTTTTTTCAAGGTTTTTATTATTGCAATATAATCAGTGTGTCTAATTGTGTTTTACACAGGAGTATGTTATGACAGAGTTTTTACGTATGAATGGTATATACTGGGGTTTAACAGCAATGGATTTAATGAATCAGTTAGATAGAATGAATAAAGAAGAAGTTATAGGTTTTCTTAAACAATGTCAACATGAATCAGGCGGTATAGCCTGTAGTGTGGGACATGATCCACATTTACTCTGTACTTTGAGTGCTATACAGGTTAGTGACAGAACTCAGTAACAAAAGATTTATCTCCCCTGTTTTTGTTTTGATTGATACCCCTCCTCCCTAGTTTTGCACAATTGATCTAAAACTGACACTGTAAATATTAATGGGTCAAAATCAAATTTAGATGATTCAACAACTTACTGTAAATAGACATTATCGCTTTACCATTCACTCTATCTTTTGCATCATCTTGTGCTTTCATTTGTTTTGTCAGGCAGTTCCATAGAACAAACTATTTTGCTTGAGTAAACGTTGAACTTCTTCACAGCACCCCCCTCCCCTCTCTCCCACCAACTCGTCTTCTTTACATGCATATATATTATGCTGAGATCCTTGTAAATTGCAGGGTCCCAAGTATGTGGTACTCCTGCTCCTTCAACACTATGAAATGTGTATGACTTATAATATGGAATCTTCAAAGTTAAAACATCTATGTTTCAACTAGGAACAGGCAGACTTGACTGAAAATTTGCACACTCTTTAACATACCCAGTTGAAGTTTTACAACATTGTTGTCTAGAAATATGTTTCATAAACATATTTGTTTTTTTTTAATAATACATGTAAAAGAATATACAGCAGTTTTATCAATTAAAAGTGATTATTTCTTTTAAGATTTTAACATTATACGATGCTCAAGATGCTGTAGATACAGAAAAGGTCATAGAATGGGTCAAGAGTTTACAACAAGACAATGGTTGTTTCTATGGTGATAAATGGGGTATGACATTTCATATTTTATTAGAAGGGTCTCTCATTTGGAATCAAAGTCTGATATGATTTTTTGTCTTATTTTTTTTATGATTTTTACACTACATTGTAATCTAACCAACTTTTTATCGGTATGATGTTCTACGGAAGACTGACATTTATATCAGACAATCGTAGTTCAAATGGTTATAACTCTTATGTCTATACTTCAGAAAATCTTTCTCAAACACGCTTTCCCATAACTCCCTATGATACCAACACAGACAATTTGATTAGTCAAACTTCAAATAACAAATACTAAAAAGATCATTTAGAACAGCCTGGGAAAATGTTTTGAATTGAAGAACAGAATGATTGTGTGAGAACTAGTACAACATAAAAAATATCAAATTTACTGTTTTTGCAAGTAAAGTATATAAAAAAATCAAATGTAAAATCCTTTATTTAAATGTAGTTTTAATTTTTTTTATGGTTCAATTACTTCAATTATGGTCACATATTTTAAGACCTCCATAAATGATTTGAACTATTCTAGAGTTTTATAAAATGCTACTGAGCATGAAATGAAATTAGAGTTTAATTCCATTTTAACTAGTTCAGATATGCTGGCAGGTATTACAATATTGATTTTCAATTTGTAGGTGAAGTTGATACCAGATTTTCATTTTGTGCTGTTGCCTGTCTTTCATTACTTGTAAGTAGATTATGTTATTGGGATACTCATGCCATTATATGGCTAATAAGGTAATTAGCTAGTATTCCATCATGGAATGCTCGCTTTTACATCCTGAATGCCTGTTCACAATATGGATTATTTGTTGGAAAATTAACTGAGCGAGACAGATTGTTTCTGATGATTCAACTGCTAAAGCTGTGCTACTGGCAGACAATCTATCACTGACAAATCACCAGAGTTGATCAAATCTATTACTAAATTCATGCTTTTATAACAGAGTTCATTTGTATAAATCAATCATTGTATCGATGAACATATAAATATAACAGAGTTCATTTGTATAAACCAATCATTGTATCACTAAACATATAAATATAACGGAGATCGTTTGTATAAACCAATCATTGTATCAATGAACATATAGATAAACATTGTCCTGTAACCATTGAACTACGATGGGGAATTCTTGTGATCAACAAAACATGTATGATGAGAAGGAATTTTTGATAACTAATTAGTGACAGTTAATTGACATTGTGCATATGGATGATTGTCACCATTGAGAACCTTTGTGGGTGCAGGTGTAAGAAGTGAAATTAGGTTTTGTATGCATAGCTTACCAAATGCATGACAAAATATAAAAATAGTACTACATATATAATTGTTACCAGTACCACTGGTTGTTCTTGCAAAAACCTTTTAACCATAGCAGCATTTATGATATATATTTAGACTAATTTTACAGCAATAACATATATTAATTCAAATATATTATATCAAGTACATACACTGTAAATATAAGATGTATTATATGTAATGTTTGGCTTGTACAATACTGCCTGCATTGGCCGAGAAAGTTCATCCAGATTTTCCGGCGTGGTTCTCCCTTGTCAGTGATGCAGGACGGAGGGGCTGACAAGGAAAGCTGTCTAGTCGTTCTGATGGGACGAAAAACCGAGGTCCCGTGTACACATTGGCGTGCACGTAAAAGATCCCTTGGCAGTTGGAATTCGATATAAGAGTAGGCCGTAGTGCCGCTGTCTGGGCAAAATTTCCCTCATAGCACACTGTATGGCGTATGCCCGTCTTCATTAGCCCAGGTTAGGAGCAGAACAGTAGGACGTTAAACTCCATTTCATTTCATTTCATTTTGTACAATACTGTGTTATATGATCAGGAAAACTACTAAGTCAATTCTTAAATATGATGTTTTATCTACAGGGTAAATTAGAATGTATAAATGTAGATAAAGCTGTAGAATTTGTTGTATCATGTATGAATTATGATGGAGGATTTGGTTGTCGTCCTGGAAGTGAAACACATGCTGGACAGGTAAGAGTTATCTAACTTTTAGATAAAATTTCCAATACCTGTCCAAAGTTTAGTTGGCTGAATGCCTTAAAGCACTGAACTAAAGATCTTTGACCTGAAACCATTCACCAATATATGGTTGTAGACTGGTTCCCATGTTTGTACGTGGCAAGTCGTAGGGCTACACTAATTTTAGTTTTGTAGGAGCACCGTTTAAAATTATACTTGCGGAAAACATTAAAAATAAGAAATGCTTGTTTCTCTCTAAAATATCTCTTACCACCACATCTTTAAAGTTTTGAAATTGAAAATAAAAACCAAATATGGCAACTTATATAAAGATCCTGAAGACCTTAAACTCTAATCGATTATGTCTAGGTCTGTCTGCCCAACTACATGGGATTTTTCAAGTCGTGCAGGATACTGGCCACAGTCACCCTTTTCTCTTCGAACATAAATAAATTCCCCCTTTTCTTTGTATTTTCCTGAATTATAGTTTGGAAGCTGTCTTAGTATTTGGCGGGTGTTGGGTTGCTGAATGGTCAGCACGTGCGCGCTGTATGATAAGGCCTGTCATTGAGTCAACTGGCGTGGTTTCGAATCCCTGGTTGTACGTGACAAGGAGTAGGGTTGCCTGTCCAACCTCGTGGGTTTTGCCCAGGTCCTCTGGTTTCCTCCCACTGCAGGCGAATTATTGAAATAAAATTAAATCATATGTTAGTCCCGAAATGACCTAGTCTGTGTCAAATGGACGTTAAACTCCATTTCTCTCTCTCTCTCTTTCTCTTAGTATTTGGTTAATATAATTATTTATAATTACAGGTATATTGTTGTGTTGGTATGTTAGCTATAACAGGTTGTTTACATTATGTTGATGCTGATTTATTAGGTTGGTGGTTGTGTGAAAGACAATTACCATCAGGTGGTTTAAATGGTAAATATCAAATGATTCCTAATGAAATAATATGGGTTTTAACATCTTACTTTTTTGCACCAACAGGGTTTATGAAGACAAACATGACGTACTGTGTGCTATAGGGGAAACTTGCCCCTCATAGAAGCAATATGGCCTACTCGTAATATTTTAATTTCGAACATGCTGCCACTGATATACTTGGGACCGCTATTTTTTTTTTTATCCCATCCGATCAACTAAACACTTTTCCTTGCAAGGCCCACAATCCTGCACCAATGATAAGGGGAAACCAGACTTGAAAATCCTGAGTAACTATCACGGCCAGCACCGGGATAGAATCTGGGAACTCCTGGTAAGTGAGCCAGCCCCTTTACTCCCCATGCCACGATGGATCTCCAAATTATTTGATAATATTATTAGGGTGTACATTACAAAACCATTAACATCTCATATTTTGATAAGGTTGTGGAATAATGTAATAAGAAATTACATCCAAAAGATCGTAGCCGTGTGACAAGTCCAATCTCGTGCGTTTGACATTGGTGAGTATGGAATATAGCCTTAGTGAAGCTCCTGTGTCATTTTGATACAATAATAAACGTAAATTTGATCTCAGACATGGCATGGTGTCTTATATATTTAGGTTTATCTAAAGAATTTACAATGTTTTACATAATATATTGTAGGTCGACCTGAGAAATTACCAGACGTGTGTTATTCATGGTGGGTTTTAGCTTCATTAAAAATAATTGATAGATTACACTGGATTGATAAAGTAAGTTCAAAATTTGAATTATCTGGTGAAATATTATTCTCACCTTTTTGAGCAGGCTGATTAAAATACAGATATCTAAATTTCATTTTGTTTTTATGCTTTCTTAAGACTTCCACTCTACATGTATAAAGATATGACCAGCTTGCAAGGTCATGTCAGGGGTCATATAGATGAAATTAAACGTAATCTATACTAATATTTGTGACTGTCGTGTGTCTGTCTGTTCGGGGTTGGCGGCTACACTAGATCTGCCCCGAGTCTGAAATTTGGGGTATAGGGGTAGCTCGGACCGGGGAGTAACATAGGCCAGATGGCGTTAGTCTTCCACTTCCGGTTTCGGGGTTATGACCCCCGAGCGAAGCCGGGCATTCTTCTAGTTATTTATATTTAACACTTTTTATTTGTTATTGCCTAATGCTCTATAGATGTCTCCCCATAATGAATGGACACCTCTAAATTCTCTACCAACTCCAATCCATTCCGTCTTTGAGTCAATTCAAATCTTGTCTTAAGACATACCTGTTTAGACTCTATTATTAAATATAAGCATAATAATCTCAAAAATGATATTATTTTACCAGGATTCTTTAATTGCATTTATTCTGGCATCACAAGATGATGAAACTGGTGGATTCGCTGATAGACCTGGTGATATGGTAAGTATATGTTAGTAATAAACAAGAAATGGTGTGTCTTGTTAATGAGCACATGTGCTTCTAAACCAACGAAATGGAAGAAATTGGCATTCCAATAAGTGCAGTAAAATAGAGAAGCTTCATAATATTATGTAGTTATCACCCTGCACCAAACGAAGTGAATGGGATGGGTATTGAAATGGTCTGTCAGTTGAATAATACCTGGAAACAAATTAGGATGTTGATGACCAGTCATCTTATTTGCAATTCCACAATTACTGAAAGTTATATAAAACGGGTGAAAATTAGGCTGAATTTGTTCTATTTGTTAAAAGTGAGAATATGAGTAGAAATCACAAAGGTTTATATGTGGTTTAAATCGATTAAGACACGAGTTCCTGATTGTACTTCCATGTAATATTAATTCAAATGAATGTATTATGCTCTTTTTCACCCCACAATTGATAAAATTTAGATTGCAATCTATTGAGTTTTAATTGCTTCAATTCCAACAGCCTATCTCTTTTATAAAGCACCTAGGAATCAAGTAAAACAATTTAATCATGATTTTTTATTGTTGTTTTATCCAGGTGGATCCATTCCATACCTTATTTGGTCTGTGTGGACTGTCGTTACTAGGCAACAAATCAGTGAAAACAATTAACCCAGTATTCTGTATGCCTGAAGAGACAATACAAAGAGTTGGAATTCAACTTGATCTTCTCTGATGGTCACAATGTATATATCTCATAAGACTTCAATAAATGATCACAAAGTGAACAGGCAAACATCTAAACAGATATACAATTCGTATTTAGTTCCTCAAAAAGTCAGGGATATGTTCTTTGAGGAACTTACAGCCCAGAAATTGGAGAAATTATATGGAGTATCCAGTTATTTAACTAAAGAAAAGTATTTTATAGTTAAAAACAGAACAGATATAAAAGAACATATTAAAAATACTGATTGTAAGGAAGTACTATAGTGATGTCTGTCTCTCACTTTCTAAACTCTACATCACGTCAACAATGTTTTAGATCTCTAGTATTTTTTATTCCAAAAGATGAGTGGATATCTAATAAATGGGCTGCATTAGTGTTGTGTGGATAAAAATTGTTTAAACATACAGTATGCAAGAGCGAAATCTGCCTATTGCAGGTCTTTCTTTAGGCCTGAAATGTTATCTAAATTATTAATTAGACATTAATTAACTTATCCAGACCATAATCAACTCTCGATGTCATCGCTAGCCTGCGATATTTACTGGATTAGGATCCAGTCTGCTGCTCTACGCTCATTCATGATTAAATCAAGAAATGGATAATCGAGACTATGTATTTTATCGTACCAACTTTAGTGATGATGATCGAGGTTAGGCCCAAAATTCAATCGCTAAAATTCTCGGTTCAGAGTGGATCAATTTGACTAAAATTTTCAGCAAATTCCCTTTACATTATCTAGTTTTTAACTATTATAGTAAGAACTGCCAGCTCTTTAACTAATCTCCCATAATGTACCTTAAATAACTAAACTAGTGAATAGAAATAAAACAAAATATAAAAGGGAAATATTTTTATAAGTTTGATCTGAAAGATTAGGCTCTACAAGTGAAAAGATTATAAAAAGATGATGAATTTTGTTATGTAATGCTAAAGTTTTTATTTAACAAATCAACAATTGTATTTTAGACTCTTATCATCCAGCCCAACTATATATTTAATGAATTTTGCGGTAGGATATGCACTCAAGATATTGGTTTCTTGATCATGACTAATAGAAACGAAAGGAGATTGGTCTGAAAAGATGAATCCAGATATTACCATTATAAATAAAAACAGGTGATATACCATCATGTATAAAATACAAAAGCAATAATGTTTGTAAATTTTGATAATTTATATAAAATTATTATATATGACTGAACATTTGTTTCTTGTAATGGAAATGAAATGGTATTTTTCTGCATCATCTGGCCTTATGAAGACAGACATACATCATGTAATACTCCATAAGGAACATTTCAGCTGGATAAAAGCACTACAACCTACTCTTTATTTCAAATTCCAGCTGCCAAGGGTTCTTTATCATGCAGACAGAACTTATTTTGTCGAAAAATCCTGAGTAAATTTCTCAGCAAACACCAGGATTAAACTCAGGACCTCATAGTTAGAAGCCGCCTTATTCACCGAGCCTCTGTGTTGTAAAGCAACAACTGGAAAGGGTTAGCACGATTTACCCAAATCTACCCAAACTGTCATTTTTAATTGAAAATCATAACAATTACGTTTCAAAAATGCCCTTCAATATGTGATTTCAAAGCAAGTTTGGAAGTTATAACCAAGGACGTTACTCCCGTATTACACAAAATTGCTTGCTTGGAAATTGCATTTTGAGCGACTTTTTAACACAAAAACATTATGGTTTTAAATTAAAAATGACAATTTGATACAAAGAATGGTTTATCAAATATCGACATATTGTGTAATGAGTAGAAATAATGGTGGATTTGGGAAGTATTGCGTCAGGGGTACAAATTAAGCTTTGAAAAATGTTTCAGCAGTGGTGATTGGTGGAGATATTTTCTTATTCAGATGGCATGGCGCATACTTTGTCCGCCAAATTTGTTTGTTTTTACCTATTTGTTCACTGTTCATGGTATTGACCCTATTCCTTGTCATGTATAAGCTTGGGATCTAAACCACATAATATAAAGCGCACACATCCCCTTGTCACACACGCCTTAGATATTTGTGGATTTAAATGGACTATCAATATCATTCAAATATCTGCCTAGAAATAAACATGGAATTGTTAAAGCAGTAATGTGAACTTCAAACACTTATAAATTCTATTTTGAACCAATGACAAGACTACTTTTATTGTGTTTTATCTGAAGGAATATATTTGCCACTTACTGTGTCTATAATAATAGAAATTATAAATAACAGTTTAAATTTTTAACATATTTTATAAATAATTTATGCTACATTCACAAATGTGAATATTCATAAACATTATATCACAGAAAAAACATTTTAAATAACAGTTTAAATTTTTTAAATATTTTATAAATAATTTATGCTTCATTCACAAAATGTAAATATTCATAAACATTATATCACAGATAAACCATTTTACATAGTTTACAATAAGAACTAAAACCATATACCTAAATGTAATACAACTTGTGTTCTAAAATAGTTATGAGAGCAAAGGTACTCCAAAGACCACAACCTACATACTGTATGTATTGTATTACAAGATTACATCCGGCTTAGGAAAATCTGTCACTCTGTGTTATAGTCATGATTATCAAGTGTACAGTTTTATACAAAATAAATATATTTTGGATCGAACAGATTTCTAGAGCATTTTTCATCTATATTAAAGTTAGCAATAATTCTGTTTCATATTTCATTTTAATCAGTCAGCTCCACAGAAAAACAAAACATATTTCATGTTTGTAGACAGATTCTGCTGAGGTTTCAACCTTCAGCATTTTGTGTAAAAGTGAATATAAAAGAAGCTTCTTGTCAACAATAGAACATCTAAAATTGGTAAATATTTACTCTCACAAACACATATAATTGTCTAACACAGACAAGTATCTCATATGCCATAGTTTTAAAAAGTTAAAAATATTGTTTCATTATACTGTAAAACAAACAATTGTTGTGGCTGGAAATTAATGAATCAAAAATATCTCCAACTGTTTATAGGTCTATATACAATCTGCCAAAACTGGGAAAAATGTCTGCTAAGTTAATGTTACTTCGGCCTTAAGCATGAAATGAATGGAATAATTTCTTGCAAGAGTGTATGACATCCACCATTTTTTTTTTATGTTGCAAGTTGAGGTTGTGGTCCAACTATTTCATCCCAACCTTTACGACATGTACGAACAATCCATTCATGTTCATCATCATCTGAAAGTAGATCAATTTGAAAATGACTACGTACTAGATCACAAGATTAAAATTTTCTTGAAATTGCCCACACACTAGATTTACATACATTATAACTTCCATTATTATTTAATTGCCCACATAAATGTACTAGATCACATAGATTATATCTTGCTCAATTTTTGGAATTGGCCACATATAGATTATAACAAACTTGCTCCATTTTGGAATGGACCCCATACTACCTGTAGATTCACATAGATTATAACTTGCATTGATTCTCTTTGTCATGCAAATCACCAGGTGTAAGCTTACACAGATAATTTAAAAATTTGATAGTTTGGAGATGGACTTATATTGGAGTGGCCAATACTATCTAAATATGATATCTAAGGGCAAGTAGGTGGAAATACAGCCTTCTGGGCAATATTCTTTCTTATTCGTATTGGTCTGGTAGGTAAGTACTAATAGGATGAAAGTATTGTTAAGAACACAATAAATGAGACTTACCAGCATTTCTAAGAAATTTACAATTATAATCTTGAACAACTCGTGTTACAGGATTATAAAAACCATCTCCACAATCGTAACAACCTTCTGGGATTTCTCTGGGGGGAACTCGATTAGTTAACTGGGAACGACCTGTTGAAAAAATCTTTGAAATGACTTTATGACTAACAAACACTTAGATTGTTACTTAAACATTAATAACAGGACTAATTCGAATACCCGGTACATTTTTTTCCATTTTCTTAAAAATGAGTTGTTTGATTTTAACTTCAAGAATTCTGAGTGTTTTTTTTTTAGTCAATCAATTGGTTTCATTAATATATTATTACCTGCAGGCTGTAGACCATTACATATTTCTGTGTAAAATCTTCTATCATATCCATCACAATATTCCCAGTTCTTTTCTTTAAATCCTAAACCATCAGCAAATGTATACTGACCCTGCAGAATTTTAAGACATATTTAAAGCATAATGATAAGAGAAAATTTCAATCTGATTTAAACACAGATTCTATTTCGTTTAGCTTTTTATAGTTTTAAATTTCGTTTTACTTGTCTTTACTACACTAGGATCTAGAATAGTTGATATATAACCCGCATTCTGGATGATGTAATGGGTTAGCCAATGCAACAGTGTGTAACGGCAAGTTTTCGGCATGAGGTGCATGGAACTGTGGGTAACCCACTAGTAACATCAACGCTTATTGATTAATCAAATGTCTAATATATAGGGTCAAAAGTCGCATGTATCACCTCTAACACAACCTTCCACTACAACCGGTTAGATCTTCATGTAGTGAAGGCCATCGAAAGTATATAAAAAACGAAACGACATATAGATCTGTATTTTAATCAGATTGAGAAAATTTATCAGCATTTATAATAAATCATGAAATAGACCTCAGGAAACATAAAGACTATGATGACTTCAACTAAAATCTTTTGTTGGGCCACTGTTTAATCTGATTGAATCCAAGACTGGAGACTATCTACTGTTGATATATTGATATTGTTTTCTTAATTAAATGTTGAATCAACATTTTGAGTACAATTTAGCATAATTGTTTAATCTATTTCTACACTCTAACAAGTGTTTGGCACAAATGTCAGTCCATAGGCCTGATGCCAACTGATTTATCGGAGGTCGCCTGCTTGCCTATTTCACTCAGGTTCGCTGGGCCTTCGTCTTGTTATCTCACAGTTAGTGTCAACATATGGCAATTCTGAAAATGATAGAACTGTCATAGAAACACAACTTCTGAGTCTCTGATATGATGACAATTTAATACTTAGGCATGTGCAGCTGCTTTATATATATTTATTATCATGCTTTAAAAATTTTTCTTTCGGACACTGACTCTAACTCTAAAATTTAGAGTTTAAATAGTCTTAACTTATAATCTTTGGTAAAGGTAACCTATTTTCCCGTTAGTTTGGTATGGTTTCAATGTTTTCAATGTATAGTTATATATTTCGTGACTGTCAGGAAAATACATCCATATGGAAATTAGAAGTGAATTTACTGGTAATTTGAAATTATTTTAGGCCTCAACTCAACAATTAACTAATACTAATATACCTCAATTGCTTTTCCATTTTCCCAGGTGGCTACATATTTACTGCCATTTGTAAAATATAGAGTTCCCTGTCCATGGAACATTGAATCTTTCAATTCACCTTCATATCGAGTTCCTGTGGGAAAACTGTACTTCCCCTTGCCCTCTAACCTGGAAAACAAAGATAACATAATAAGCTTATACAATAAATCTGTTTCCTTTTTAGTTTAAAAAATGAAACCAACTGAATTCATTCTTAGAAACCCCCTACATGTATCTGTCACTAATTATTCATAGCTGAACTAATGGTAGGGAATTGGATGTTTCAGTAAATTATGTGTTAAAGTCAAGCCTGGAATAAGCCTCATACAGTGTGAAGCTTTGCGCATTGCTTGACCAAAGCTCTTTTCAGGTAAAACAGGAATGTAAATAAACTGTTACCCATAGACTGTTGAAAAAAAAATTAAAAATTCAGACCAGAACCTGATACACTGGGTAAAACTGGCACTGTGCATGTTAACTTAACAAATCTTGCTGTTCGAGATTCCGTGTCTCATAGAAATGATATCACATATTTTTGACGTCAATGACAATGAAAATTTTCACACTTTTTTGTTCAACAAAATTAATCATACAATTTCGATCTACTGTCTGATCCTTCCTATTTCTTAAACAGATTTCTTTGACTTTGAACAAACTATTTAACTTTGGTTATTATAAACTTACAAGTGTGTTTGAAATCTACTCTGGTTAAATAAAATCCACTGCACAATTAAATATCCCAACGAATAAAAAAAGTTCTCTATTGAAAAATTGAACTCCCACAAACTTTGACATCACTCAGGCAATATCAAAATGCAGCCTGATAACGTCACTCTTCGGGAGAGATCATTTCGTATAAAGGGGTGACAGCATGCCACATCGAAACAGTTTGCGGTACATTTACGACAGTTCAAGGCTTCAAGGTATAAGCTATCAGTCTCGGCTGGGTATTGAGTTTGGACGTTCACACATATACATGTAACTGTCTGTATTCCTCTATTTTGTTACCATCTTTTTACATTCTACTTTCTAGTAAAATCCCTGTTTATAGATTTTCTTTTGAAATATTTTGTTTTAATTATCTGATTAGTTGGATGGGAGAATTTTCTTTTGAACACAAATGCAGCACAAAAATAATGACATGTGTTTAACAGGTTTTAAAATTGTACCTATGCTGTTTGTTGAATTATGTATAATACAAAAAAGACAGGAAAGATTTAGTTGATATATAACTCTTTTTTTTAGGAGTATCCGTACAAACGTTGATATTTTCATTGTGACTAAAATTTGGTAGACTGGCGACCAATGGTTTCAATATAAATCTTCTATTGCGGTTTGTTTTCATTGCAACACGTCGTGGTTGTCAAACACTCTGTCAAAGTTAAACCACTCCCGCAACAGCCTCATTGGTTTCGCCCAACATGTGACAAAAGCCGTGTTGTCTTGTACTCAGTTGAAAATATAAGTAAACACATTAAATTTTTCAACACAGAACTTTTTTATTCATTGGGATATTTAGTTGTGCAATGGATTTTATTTAACCAGAGTTGATTTCAAACACATAGGTAAGTTTATAATATCCAAAGTTACACACCGTAGGAAGGTTCAGACAGTAAATTAAAATTAAAATCAATTTGGAAAAACTATTTAAAATTTTTTGCATCACTAAGTAATTATTATGGTTTTTTATTTGACAACAATCACATCAGCTTCACTCTACTCATGCAATGCCTGTGTTAAAGACACCTGTGACCTGTATGTGTAGAGCAAGTGACTGAATCAAGATCATACTCATGTCCACGGTTAGTTACTATACTTGTAACGTTAAACTGTGTGTTTAACGTTACAATTGATACAGTCTAAGACTCCTTACGCATGTTCAAATAGGCTCAAAATCAAATGCACAATTGTCAACACATATTATTACAGTTTGTATTGGAATAAGTAATTCTATCACAAATAGTGAAGACTGGACCACTAAAATAGTTACCGAACAGTTTTTCTTTGTGGTAATGCATTCTACATTTGCATAGCGATGTTTCTTGTAATGACATATTGCGCAAGCAGCCATGACACCCTGCCAGTTGAAATTTCACGTAGCAGTTGGGTTTCATCAAATCATATAATTATGCGGTAAGGCTTCACCTTTATTTCAATGGGAATTGATTTATTATATGTTAAGCTATGTGCAGTACTGTTTTGGGTCAGTTTATGTGTAAATTAAGGGAGCTATAGGCCAGTAACCTTTTTGTAGTCATTTGACTAAAAAACTTGCGCAAAGGAACTCTGTAGGATGAGCCACTACTGTGGCTGGAGTAAGGCGGAAGACATCAGTTAACCATTTCTAGTCCACGGTAAGCTTTGAATAAAAAAAGTAATAACCATTCTATAACATACCCTGTAAAGGGAATAACTACGGGTTCTTATGCCTTGTTTATAATAATTCTAAACATTTTCAAATTTGCCTTTGTTGAGAACCAATTTGGTAAGCTTACCAAATGATGGCAAATAAATTAAATAATAAAAAAAAGGAAAAAAAACTTTAAAAGCCGTGTGAAATCGACTAGTAGTTACATATTTACAATATCTTGTAATTAGCGAATGATAAATATGTATCACAGGATATGTATAGTAGCCAAACAACTTGTTCGATATTTACCTTTCATTCTTTATTTCTCCTTCATAACTGCTTCCAGTGTACTCCATCTTGATGCTGTTGTTATGGCAATGTGACCCTTTCTATTTCTAAATCAGAAATTTCTGGCAAGGGAGGTTATTCTCGCAAATAAATAAATGAATGTCTGGATATTGAGGTCTACAAAAGTTTCCGGAATCCCCATACGTCATTTCCTGGTGTTCCCTTAAGCTACGAAAATGTCTTCTTGTTTCTGCTGTTTCAAATGCGGAAATTCATTCTTTGGACCGGGTCATGTACAGTTAAAAGAATTACCAGTTGTTAAACTAGATACTTCACATATGGGTATTTTTTATATTGACAAATCTGCAAAAATAAGGCTATGATTTACCTCCGCTCTCTACTGGTAGCATAGTTCAGCTCTGATAGGTCTCATACACTCGCCCTTTACGTTCAGGAACCCTCCTATTGTCCATTGAATCCTTGTGGAAAATAAATTCGGCAACTTTTTACTTCTAAACGGTCGTGTGTCATTTATTGCTTTGCCTAGCCCAATTACAATAAATATAATTAACAATCAAATTTTTTCAAAAATCCCACAATCCCACTTTTGTATCACCTGCTTACCAAAATTTTGTTTCGTCTTATATGGCTGTTACGTAAATAGGTCACACCTTATGTAGAAGTCAGAGGAAGGCAAAATTTCTAATGTTGATTGTTAGAAAATTAAGAAAATATTAACATGACACGTGTAGTTATTAAAGACTCTACCAAATGATAAAACATTAGCTACACTTACGGTTCTTAATTGATAATCATCGTTTCACAAAAACATCCTTACAAGGCTTTATATAATTAATTAATATAAAATTAATGCATATTCTTCTTTCTTTGTAATTTAAAACTCTTTATATCATGGGTAATTATAATTTCCTGTAATTGAATGTTGTTTATCTTAAAATAATGTAAATATTTAGTAAATAAATAGTGTTAGAAAAAAAAAGTAAACACCTGCGTCACACATTGTAGACTATTGACCTATAATACTATAGATACGATTCCCAATATTTCGTTGATGGATTCTATCCAATGATATGTTTATGAGAATAATATTGAAAAACGTCTTTCTATCCATCTGTAGTATATTTGGTAATATTCTGGCGAATTTATCTGAAAATATATATCACATGAACAGGAATTACATCAATGTCTTTTTACCAAATGATAAAATGATAAACAGTAGAAAATCATCACAGTCAAAGCTTCAAAATATTGCAGCAGTACAGAGTGACTGCAAGTTCAATGTGTTGTCCCTTAAATTTATTTATTTTCATCTCCAGGAAATGATGTTGTTTTAGCTAAAAATGGTAGAAGAATTTGTTCCTTAAAAATTGATTTCTTTTCAACTTCAGGAAATGATGTGGTTATAGTTAAAAATGGTAGAAGAATTTGTGGTACAGGAGCGGCCTTGGCTAATGCTCCAGTTGTTCAAAATAAAGCTTACTTTGAAATCAAAGTCCAGAGTACAGGTCTGGTATATTTTTTATTAATACATTTTTACAGAACTGATTTACTGTATTATGTAACTGTCATTTTCAGAAAATAACAAAACTACTGAAAGGATATTTTGTTTAGCTTGAAAGACTAGATATTGCAAGGACTTCTATGGGAAATCGACTGTTGGAGATGGAAAAGTACCCCCTAATTAATATGAATTTTACTTTGGGCTATGTCAAAACATGGAAATAAAATGAAATAGAGTTTTATGGCACCTCAGCTCCAACCGGGCTATTTTGCAGCAATTCAAAACATGGAATGCTTCTAAAATTAAATTGAATAAAAGAGGTCATGAAATGAACAATTTCTCCTGTACAAAAGCTTTTCTTCTAAGGATAACATGGCAGTATTTTTAATATTGATTTATTTTTATTTTCAGGTATATGGGGTGTTGGGTTAGCCACACAAAAAAGTGACGTTAATATTGTTCCACTTGGTAATGATCCAGACTCATGGGTATTAAGAAATACAGGAGAGCTAGTTACAAATAAACAAACAGTCAGTAAATTAACAGAGATTCCACAAGAAGGAGATATAGTCGTATGTATCTGATATTGCTCTTTGACTTGGTGTTGTGTTTCTAAGGGACTAAGAATAAGCTTTTGAAAATTTAAATAAGAAGGAAAATAATTTAAAATACTAAGTAAGACACCGGATATAGGAAAAAGTACATGTACTACCTCCACTGTGTTTTCAAAACACTCATTTTCAGCGTTAAGTGACCTTCTGGCACATTGAAGCATTAATTAATTACAATATCTAAATCGTTATTCAGTATAAATCAAGAAAACTGGGAAAATAAAGCCAACAGAATGAACCATAGTGCTTATATCACTTTACACTGATTATTCAGTTGACAAATTTAATTGCTTTACAAGTATATTATGTATAATTAGAGCACTGCCAAATGGTATTTATGACTATTGCTAAAAAAAAAGTCACTGTTTATTTGAATTCATATGCTGGCAAAGTATACAGCAACTTATACAACAAATTTTTATTTTGACTTTTCCACATGTGGTCAAAGGGGAGATGATATTGTTATTAGGAAACTGGAAAGAGTTATTTCCCCTCATGTAAAATTGACACAAAAGACAAAAGCTGGTTTAGTGATTTTCGATATTAAGATATAAATATTTAATCTGCTTCCAGGCATTTCCAATATGATTTCTTAATGGCGGACATATATTTGTGTTTTTTTGTTTCTTAGGGTTTAAGTTTCGACCACATAGACTTAAAATTCTATGTTAATGGCCAAGTAGCAGATCAAACATTTACAGGAATAAAAGGCACTTTGTTTCCAGTGTTCTATGGTATGTAATTAAACCTATTCTGTATCAGTCTTTATACAGCCTATTTTGCTGTGGTGTTAATAAAAGAAGATAATTTAACATATATATAGACATTGAAATTTAGGATATGTACAAAAAATGTTCTGGTTCTAAGATACTTCTACATGACCCATGGAATTACTCTACGTTCACACTTGTCAGATAGACTGACTCAATATTATTAAGTACGAAATTGTATTTTGGGTTGTATAATAGAGGTAAATTATCATTTTGGAAAGACATTTAGTAATTATGAAGAAAAACAATTATTGTTCTGTATTAGTAAACAGATGCTATAGCTGCAAAACTTTGAATTGTAAAAAGTCGTTAGTCAAAACTCTCAATAAAAGCTAATACTTTCCTACTTGTATTTTGAGTAGTTATTAAAATGGTATATTTTAAATTTGAGCATACTGTGGTTGAAATCGGAACCCTTGCACATGCAATCCCATGAATGGTAACAAATGAGTGACAAAAAGGATTTGGCACCAACCCCACTCATACATGCTTGCTCAGTTTGATAACGTCCCAATTCTGCTCACAACCACATTTAATGTGACTCACAGAACTTTTACAGGACTGAATTCTGTATCATTCCAGGCTCATAATCGAGCAAAAGCTAGAAGAGACGACCGATTATAGCCAAGGATTGGGTTGAGTTGGTTATTGGCTGATCAATGTTGATAGTCAATTTCACAATTACTTTTAGCCAAGGATTGGCTTAATGATCAATGTTGATAATCAATTTTACAATTACTTTTTAATTCATATTTTTTTCTATTATTGTTATGTTTTTAGTTGATGATGGAGCTGTGTTAGATGTACAGTTTGAGAAGTTTTATCATACACCACCAGAAGGTTTTGATAGTATAATGATAGAACAATCATTATTATGATACTTTTACATTTTATGTCATTTTAAATTAACTAAAGGCTGTATACATCTTTCTTAAATTTCTTAATTTAAACCTGTGACAATTATTGGTAAATATTGTTATTGATCCTCAGTGAATTTTACATTATCAATGAAATTACTGGAAATATAACATATAGAGAAGCGTCTGTAATTAGGATGGGGTATGCACATTCTGAACCAGATTTTGATGGTAGGTTGTCTCTGTGATTGCACTCATAACATGCGATCTAATTAATCGTATGCATGTCATTAAGGAATGGTGCGCTAAACACTCAAACTCTTGTCTGTAACAGAGTAAGGAGTCTATATCACTTAAAATATTTGACATTTAGTAATCTTATTATAATGTTTCTTTTTAATCTGCTTCTGAAATTTAATTTTTATTATTTCAATAAAATATGACTGAAAACTAACAGTGCACATATATAGCCAGTACTAGTACTACTCTTAAGACTAATGGTCAGTTTATAATATGCATCTGAATCGCAAATGTATTTGTTGTCTTTCACGGTATACATTTAATTAATCTAAATGGGAATATTTTGTAAAAGATAAAAATTTAACATCCTTTTAAAAAGACAATGTATTCCTTATAACACTAGACTCATCTTAATTATCAAAAATTCAAGTACTTGATAGAGCAAAGCAATTTCAAAATAACTGTGGATAGTAGTGAATCTTAAAGCATATATCTCAGCAATGGATTGACAGATTTAATACAATCTATTTGAAAACCTCCACTGTGTATGTATATACAAATCATCAAATCGTGAAATACTTCTTTAAATAGTGTGTTTTGAATTTTGATACATAGGTTGAAGTGAAAATCTCTTAAAATATCCTGTAATCTTGCATTTATTTTATTTTTATGGTAAACTACTGTATTAATTTGTATAGAGATGAATGATTTTTTTTTTCAAATCCAACAGTTTATTACCATTTACTGCTGTCCTGGGTTTGTAGACATTAATTGGATACCGGTAATTATTAATATCTTAGTCTGTATATATATTGTGTATGTAAGTTAAGGCCAGCAACATTGCATTATTATCAAACAGTTTTCATTATTTCAATAAAAACAGACATTTTCTGATTAACAAGAAATCCCCTGAGTTTGAAAGTGTGTGTCGTCTATCTTCTTCCTAACAACATTGCGGTTGTGACTAAGACTTTGTAAGGATGTGTTGTCAATATTCAATGATGATGGAATGGATGGACTCATTGTTAAATTTCAATTCTAACTGATTGAGCAAGGCATCTGTCATTGGTTAATCTATAGTTTTGCAATCATTGTGATGGGTAACAGCATGGATCAGTTTCAGTAAATAAATAATTTAAAAATAAGTAATTGAGTTCTGTTCGAGATTATTTCACTTTTATGAAATTGAACTTATATTTGGATTTAATTCTATAACTTGCCATGTATCCATCATACCTCTTTTTCATTTAACTTGATTGAATACTACTCTTTCATAAAATTGACCCCTGGCAAACATTTATGTTTCAGAAAAATTGAAGTAAAAAATAAAATTATAAGTAGGGGTCCATCTATGTATGAGGCTAAATATTCCGGTAAACCCAAGATGTTATTTTTCAAACTTGATGGAAGAAATTACTTATTTATTGCCCCTGTCACAGAAAGCTTGGTGACAGTTTTGGGAGATATTTTTGCAATCAGATTTGTACTACCATTATCCGTTTAGAGCAAACAATGCAGATTTAGGACATGAGTATTATTCATTTTAATTTACCAACTCTCTCACCGACCATGGAGAGTTTCGAAAAATTGTATATGGGGTTTCTTTTATGATTTTTCTGGTAATAGATCTCAGAAACAGAGTTTTATCTTCCTTCATTTCTGCCCACAGAATTACACTCTGATTAAAATACAGATCTATATTTCGTTTCGTTTTTTTATACTTTCATGAAGATCTGATAAGTTATAGCGATAGGTCACGTCAGGGGTCAAAAGACCGACTTATGACCCTTTTGACGTCAGACATTTGATTAACCAATCAGCATTGATGTTACTAGTGGATTACCCACAGTTCCGTGAAAAACACGCCTAAACCTCGCCATAACAGACCGTTTCATTGGCTTATCCCTGACACCATTCAGAACACGAGTTAAATAACAACTCTTCCAGATCCAAGTGTAGTAAAGACAAGTAAAACGAAGTTTTGAACTATAAAAATGAAACGAAATAGGATCTGTGTTTTAACCAGATTGACAGAATTAGTATGCTACATATAAAAATGTGCATAAAATCATTAGCTATTGTAAAACTATTCTTTTAAATAGTGTACAGAATCACACTTTATTGCTGTGAAACTGTTCTACAGAATCACACTATATTGCTGTGAAACTGTACTTTTAAATATGTGTACAGAATCACACTGTATTGCTGTGAAACTATTCTTTTAAATATGTTAGTTGTATATACACATCAGAAGTAATCTTATTAAGTACAAATAATTATTACCGAATAAATGTGTGTTTGTCCCATTCTGTTTGAATTCCATGAGAGGCACAATTTCCTTGCTAAATGTACAGCTTTTTCATAATTTATTATTGAACTTTACACAGATATTGTTGGTAAACCTATTGTTACAATTAACACTGTCCAGTAGAGGTCGACAGCTTCTTTGTGTTAATCTGAGCTAATGTGGGGGGGGGGGGGTTGTCAGTGTATATTACTGATTTTTGTCTGTATACATACATGTATCTTACATATACCCTATCTATTAACAGCTTCCATGGCATACGGTTATTTCGCACCAAATATTGAATTCATTTAAACTGTTTTCCTTTTCAAAAGGCACATTTTTATATGCCCACATTGAAATGTGGTCGTATATTGTTGTCGCCCCCCATCCGTCTGGCTAAAGTTAATATCCGATTGACTCTAAATTTATACACAGTGTTTAAGGTTGTGAGATGCAGAATCCTATTGATTTTTAACAATTTCCAATAATTACTGTCAGAGTTATGGCCCTTGACCTCTTTGAAAAATCTTGTAGAAGCTCTTGAGGCTAAAGTTCAAATCTGATTGACTTTAAACTTATACACTGTGTTTTAGGTCATGAGACAAAGAATCCTATTCATTTTCAACAATTTCCAATAATTACTGCCAGAGTTAAGGCTCTTGATCACTTTGAAAAATCTTGTGGCCGCTCTAGAGGCTAAAATTAACATAAATTGTTTAAGGTCATGAGACAAACAATCGAAACAAATTCTAATGTTATCTGATAATTACCTCATGGGTTATTACTTGTAATCAGATTTTCATGTGTTGTAAATATTCTCATAACTGACAAAAGAAAAAAATATGTGAAAACACTTGTTGACTGCCCAGACGACTTAGCTTCTGTGGGTGTGTTTCGTTGCCTGGCAACCTACCTTTACAATAATTTAGAGGTATACAATTATAATCAATTCAATTACATCATCTGCAGAATAAATTACACAATAGTAAATTTACTGATCTGGTATACCTTATGTAATATAGATTCTACAAAAGTACTGAAAACATACAAAAAATGTTTTGAAATTTTTGAAATTAATGCAAACTATGCCAATTCCTTAAAGACACAGTCTTCCAGACTAAAAGTAAAAGACCTTTGGACCATGCACATTAAAAGTGATGACCATCTACATCTATAGTTCACATTACTTTCTTGCACCATCTTTATTCTTTAAGAATTGTTCGTCAATAACTGAGAGATATGTTATTTCTATCCATGGCCGTCACTAAAAATTAGTTTTGATCATCTAAATTACTATTTAAAGACCACTTCTTAGCCCTTATTATGTGTTTAAAGTAAAATATGGAAAATGGTTATTGGCCTGTTAGTAGAATTGTAAATTATAGTTGTGTATGTTATTATAATGACCATAAAGTTGTATTATCTTTTTATTAATAATTGATTAATTATTTATCAGTATAATACATATGGATATTGAATCATGTAATATGTATTTTACTATTGAAAATTATCATTATTTAACATTAATTTTTATTAGCTATTTTTTAAGGTTTTATTTACATTCAGCATAATATAACAATAGTAATTTATATATTTTACTCCTATTATTATATTTAAATAGAAAATTTAGAGGAAAAAGGCACAAGGTACAAATTACTTGCCAGATATTATTTAATTGATTTGTATTGAAGTAAAAAAGTTAATATTTTATGTAAATTAACTTTTACAATTCAACATACAGATGTCTGCCCATATCTAACATGTATGGAAGTGGGGGTGGGGAGGGGAGTGGTTAGTGCATCCACGTTGTATCATAAGGTCTGTCATTGAGTCAACTGGTGTGGTTTCGATTCCCCGGTTGTATTTGGCAAGGAGTAGGCTCGCCTGTTAAACGTCGTGGGTTTTCTCCGGGTCTTCCGGTTTCCTCCCACTGCTAAAGATCCCTACACGTAAGCAAATTATTGAAATAAAATTGAACCATATGTTAGTCCTAAAATGACCTAGTTTGTGTCGAGTGGACATTAAACCTCATTTCTCTCTTTATTTAACATGTGCAATGTTCTATACATGATTGACTGATCATCATTCTACCTAAGGTAAAGAAACACTCTTAGCATGCTTTGGTGATTTAGCATGCAATGTTAAATTTCCTTTCAATATTGCACATCAACATCTCCTGCATTAATTTGATTATGAGCAGAATGTGATGACATGCTGCCCATCCAAATTTAAAAACTATAAAGTGTTTTTTTTTAACAGAGAGATGGCAAGACAGGGGGGTTTTAATGTCCACTCAACACAATCTAGGTCATTTCAAGACTAACATATGGTAGAATTTTATTTCAATAATCCGCTTAGACTAAGGTGGTCTTAGCTGTGGGAGAAAACTTGAGTACCCATGATTTTGGGCAGTTGACAGTACTGGGATTGAAAGCATGCCACTTGACGCATTGACAAACTTTATGATCTAAAGCCCATGTGTTAGACCACTCAACAACCCTACATCAATACAAACAGATATAGGTTTAATGTAAGCACAAAGTAAACAAGTAAACACACCATGGATCTATGATTATTTTGATTAGTCGTCAACATACTTTAAAGAAGTTTCGCTGGAGATTCTATATATTTAATTTCTTATCAAGTACTAAAATAGTTACAACCAAGCTGTTATGAGTGTATATCTGTCACTTCTACTGTAAACTAACAATGCAATGCACATGCTATAACAGTTTCCTATTTAACACCTTGTGTACCAAGTATAAAAGTAACTATGACACAACAGGAATATGACTTTCTTTGTTGATCTGAGTCTTTTGTATCAAGGAGTAAGGGTTGCCTCCCGATGTAGTGGTTTTGTTCCTCCTACTGCTAAAGACCCCTATGTGCAAGCAAACTTTGGACATAAAATTCTAGTTTGTGTTAATTAATTAAATATAATGTATGATTTCTGCAACAGCTGAACTTAAATAGTAAACCAATAAAAAATATTTCCTATAAATTGCTCATTGTTTTGGTAATATGACATGTGAATATAAATAATTGTTAGTATCAGTATGTTTTATTAAAAGGCAGCTTGTTTGGATATGTAAGCATTTTATAGTTGTTTTGTGATATGTTAGGTCTTTGTTATGTTGTGACTTTGTACATAGAATGAACAATCTGTTTATGACCACAGTAACAATTTAGACTTTAGCACTTTAAATTGAATTCAGAGTTTACCTCAAGGTAGCTGACTTCCATGACAAGCTTAACACTATTTCTTTGTTAGTTATCTGGGGCCTGTTTCACGAAATTTTAACTAAGATAAAATCCAAATTTGAGTAATTTGATTGGATAATATTAAATTGATTTTAGTGCTTAGCCAATCAAAATTGAAGTATGTATCTACTAAAATTGGATTTTATCTTAAGTTAAAATTTCGAGAAACAGGGCCCAGTTCTCTTTGAAGTCTGTTTTAAGACCATTATTGCCAAAGAAAATGCACCTCTTCATTGGCTCAATAAGGGGTCAAGTCCAGTCATTTGAACACAAACTTTTTAAAGGTGTTGTTAGACCTTACTATTGATTATCAGGGTTAGGTAGGGTTTAAAAGTATTGTTAGCTCTTAAACACAAGAGACACTGCTGACAGGTCGAATTTTATAATCAATAATTAATGTTAAAATACAGATGTGAAAATAATGCATGGACAATGTGTCAGTCATACATTATATATATTAGATGAATTATTGTGATGATTTCATTGAAATGCACAAGCAGGATAACTTATGTCTCCTCAATGCCATTAAACCACACTTTTTTTGGTGTTTAAGCATATGAAACTTAAGTTAAATATTTTGCTTTCTTCTTTAGATCAAAATGTAAAGCATAAAACCACAGAAAAGAATTTATTATGAAATTTATCTTTGTGTTGAGTGAATTGTGTGTTATTTATAAATTATGTATATCTTATGTGAATGTATATACATTATATGTATGTGTAATTGTATATAATTGTGTAATTGATTTTATTGTGCAATAAAAAATTTGTACATTGATGATTTGATATTTTTTATTTTAAGATTGGAGATGAAGGGGGCTCAGAAGTTAAATTACAATTTATTTTCACTTATATTTTTTGTTAACAGTACATTTTAAAGGGACAATAACACTCTTGCTGGCTTGACAGCTCCAGAAAATAAATAATAGCCTTATTCTAAATATTAGATGTTTAAGTGTCCTACCTGCTGTGTAAATTATCCATTACATCCTATTTTACTTGTCCAGAGGGTTCGGAAATATTTTTAAATCCAAGTCACATTTGAAAAGGTTTACTTAGGCTTTTCAAATCATTTAGTTGAATTTTTCCAATTTTTTAAATTAGGTGTGTTAAGATGAAATTTGTATCATCAATTAATTGGAATATTGTAAAATAGTACAATTTGTTGACCGGAATAAAGATTGGGACATATTATTCAGTTACAACAAGAGTGGTATTGAGTCTTTAATGTAACATGCTGAATGGGAGTTCAATATCAACTCCTCTATTAATCACTACACTGCACCTGGTGTCAGTGTAAAACAAACTGACATCTGACTTTAATAAGATACAACAGCCACAAAACCCCCTTGTTAAAGCTTTCACACAACATGGATTATGTTCTTTAACTACTTAGTGATTTTTTAGTTAAAATACATACATGGGATTGCATGCATATCTCGGTCACCACTTATTCACTATTACCACCTCCCCTTTAATAAGCAAGCCAATGTTGACTGTGTGATGACAATGTGGATAAGCTGCTACATAAAAGCTGTTTCTGGAAGACCGATGTCTGTATTTCTTTCTTTTTCTTACGCTGGCGATAGACAATCTCTGCCCCTCCCCCATTTTTAAAAATAAAAAAATTGCCATGAAAGTTTTAAAGTAAAGTGTGCTACAATGAGTTTCTGTAATAAGTAACTGAAAACAAACAATTGATTTCAATGCTTGATGTGTTTATTTTTACAAATATTTATAAACAATTTAATGTTCACCATGACATATTCTAAAATGGAATATATGATCATGAAGCTACATGGATGTAGTTGTACATTAGTACTTTGTTGAAGACTATAAAACAGTTGATAATTGTGGGAAGGGGTTTTGTTTACTGACGACCAGTTTCTTATGTTGATGTGATATGTAGCCTTTTATCTTGTTCTGAAAAATAAATAAAATAATGAACACTGACTTTACATGCTCAAAATATTTCATATTTAGGGTGTTAGCATTTTTCATCTTGGCAGTTTAGCATTAAACTTATATGGTGCAGGTGTGCAGTGCAGGATTTGAGATTATATTTAAAATTCTATTTTTACCTATTATTATTAATATTGAGTACTAATTGTATATTATGTAGACCTCCTACCATTTTACTTACCAACATGATGAGGTTTAGATATCTTATTTTGTATCTCAAAAATATAACGTACCATTACCAAGCCAAAACATGCGCAGAGTCAAACTATGTCCAAGCCAAACAATGACACTGGACTAGACACATTTACCTTCCATTGTCTGCCTCACAAGCAGAAGAAGATTGAAAGAGACTATATGTGTAGGATAAAGCACGAGACTGAGGTTATGCTGGGGAAAGAAAGACTGAAGAAAACAACCCGAGAAAAAGAAAAACCGAGGCCTATCGGCCTCAGTTTTTTTTTTGAGCGTTTTTTCTGAAGTATTTCTTCCCCAGCATAACCGAAGTCGAGGACTTTATCTTGCTTATAAACCGTTTATGTTTACATGTAAAGTGAAAATATAAGTAAAATACGAGTATAATCTGGAAAATTAAATTACGTATGTTCGGGTATACTTCAACGGCAATATTTTATTGGGTGTAAATATGTTGGCAGTATAAATATATATTTTTGATTTTTTAATAAAATGTAATAAACATTTTGTTAGAAGGGCAAGAAAAACACTAAATCTAAATAGAATATTCCCTGTGTCATGTCGTCTGCAGTAATGTTAAATATACATCAAATTGTTGATTGGTTCAATTTTGCACGTGCAAATCACGGGCGACCTTTTCATTAGTTTGGCTGGCGTACGCACTGTTCACAATATTATTTGAATCGCGAATGGTTGCATAACGCCTGTTAATAGGTAATTCTTGATTTAAATTCAAAGAATTTGTTATGATGTCAAATGTTTTCTGAAGAAGACAAAGAATTGTTGTTGCAAACTGTAATAGCTGGGCCTAACAAGAAAGACGAGCATGAAAATATCAAAACAAACAGATATTTGAGATATGGAAACGTGGTGTTTTTGGGAGTGATAAACAGGCTGTTTTGCTTGACACTATCTTCTATCTTACTGGTAAGATTATCTTCTAAAAACTAAAATTTAAAATAGAGGGTTAATACTCGAAACGAATGATAATTTTCCTTTCATGAATTTTTACATACATGTATATTGATTGTTCTGTATTTTAGACGAATCGATTCAAAATGAATGGTGTGTGTGTGTGTGTGTGGGGGGGGGGAATTCAAAGGAGAACTAACTTCAAATACAATATTTTGATAAATTTTGCAGGTCTGCATTTTTTACTAAGAGGGGACAGGAACATGAATCATTTAGGCTATTTGATAATCCGCAGATAACCGGACCGCATATGGATAGTAATGGGAAGAGGTAGTTGCTGTACAAAGAGAAGGTATCCAAGACGAATAGCGATGGGTTAAAGAGCCGCAAAAGTGGACCAAAAATTGTGCGAGCATATGTTATGTCCATTTATTTGAAAAGTATAAATCACTTCGGTAGGTAAACTGTATCATTAGACATGAAACACATTCAAAAACAAAGAAATAATTCGTTTGTACAGCAAGCAATTATATTAGCTAAAGTAAAATTGTCTTCAGGAAAAAATAAGTTCCATTCAAAACTCGAATCAAGAGGATAACCAGGTCGAACTTCTGGCCTTTAAAGTGGTAGGACATTGTGTTAGAACATTGGCGGAGAAAGTTCATTGGGATTTTCCGACGTGGTTTCCCCTCGTCAGTGGTGCAGGATGGAGGACCGACGACCAACCACACAAGTCCACACTCGACGACCAACTACAGAGAAGCATATTCGACGACTCGTCGCAGGACGCTGCACTCGACGACCGACTTCAAGTGAAACTTGACCAACCCCTGGAAGTCCAAAATGCCAGAAATACAATAACCTTCACTATAAATATAAAATAAAGCATATAATTTGTGTTGTTTATTTCCCCTTGTTGCAACTGACTTTGTTTCGATTCCCCAGATGTACGTGGCAAGGATTTGGGGTCGCCTGTCCAGCCCCGTGGGTTTTCTCCGGGTTCCTCCCATGGCTAAAGACCCTACGCGCAAGTGAATTATTGATATAAAACTGAACCATATGTTAGTCCCGAAATGACCTGGTTGTGTCGATTGGTCGTTACGCCCCCACCCCCTCCCCCCGCACACATGAGTTGATTAATTACCAATTTCTTGAAATTCTTCTCATCGCAAGTCCGTGTTCATGAGCCTAGTCGGGACAGAACAGTAGGACGTTAAACCCAGTATCATTTCTTATTGAAAGTTGGGTATCTTTAATGTCATACACGATAGTGCTTTTTGGCGATCACATAAAGTCAACAGATTGTTAAAACTCAAATTTTACCTGCTATCATGAGTATATCCCAGAATTCCCGTAAGAAAAACCCTATTTCATGTTTTCTTATGGGAACTAAAAACCTACAGTGGAAGAATAACCCGGTACAGGTTTAAAGAAAAACTTTCAGAAGAATAACCCTAAATTCCCCTATATATATTCAAAGCCGCCCCCGACTTTAAGATCGCAAGTTATTCCGGGCATAGAATTCACCTCAAAGATCAAAGAGATTTACCAGTATAGGTTTATAATATCATAGAATAAACATACCTCAAATATAAGGTTAGCCAGAATACATTCTGTTTCATCATTATCTACATCTTCAACTTCCATCATTTTTAAGACAGCTGTCATAGTTTCTATAGGAACCAGATGATTCTTATCACAAATTAAATACCTGTAATATATCATAAATTACAGCATTTTGTTTTACAAATTGACAGGCCTTGAATTTAAAAATTCTATAGAAAAATGGATCTAGGAGGCCTTTTATTTCTTGCGATGAGATTTTTCAAACAGAAAATAGTGCAATATGAGTAGCAGGGTTTACCTCAGCTGCTTCGATTTTAGTTTCATTGCTTGTTTTTCGCTATTTCACCACCTTCATCTAGCTGTGAATATATATATATATATATATATATATATATATATATATGTATATATATATATATATATATATATATATATATATATATATATTTTGATGCACAATGTAATATAACTTTATGAATACAAAACTTTTACTCATAGTAGTCGCTTATTTTCAATCCAACACATGTATGCTCATCTGCTGCATCGAGTTATAAATACTATAGTAACTACAGCGATATTTGATGCTAGATTACCAGTTATAAAAAATAATGTCATAAGATTTTTATTTGTATACTGTAACAAAATCATGATTTATGACATTTTCGTGGTGTATATAAGTTGATTCGAGTCATTTTTGCTTCAGTTTTTAGTGAAAAAGGGCCATTTGCTTTCATATGGACACGTGGGTGGATAAATAATGACACATGATTAATCACCTCACTCCCACTGCTAAAAAATAACTTACACTTTCTTAAAGAGATTTCTGTATGTAATGACCTTAAGTTTCTCTAGAATCAAATAAATTCCACACTTGATGAAAAAAGCCTCATTCTCATCTAATGCATCATTAAGTTGTAATAGATTACCAGAACTGAAATAATTAAACATTCTCTATAATTATAGTGCAATAATTTAACTATTATGAGAGGATGTTATCATACATAGCTTTTCCCTTAGCCTGTTTTAGAACATTACCCCATCATGCTGTTTTCTAGCTAGAATGCACATCACATTTCTGAGAAATCTAGTCAAACTGCACCTGAGAACATGATTTATTATATGCAATTTAAAAAATTGAACTGAGAATTACCACAATAATTGTACTAGAAAATGAAAAATCTCTTGAATTGAAGAAAAGAATTCAAGTTTAAATCTATGCAAAAAAGTTCTGAGCTTACAATTGAATGTGCTCTCCTTTAATATTCTCAAGGAAACACTAACAGACCAATCTCAATTGACTAGAGTACAGTTTATAATTAAGAACTTGACAAATGAAGATCAATATCTTAATGTAGAAAGCAAATATGTTACTAAGGAGATAATTATTTTGCTAGTTTCATCACATACAAACTAGTGCTACATATGAACAATATTAGATAGATTCAGACAGTAAAGTCATAGCATTCATATTTGCCCCTTATGACAAGATCTCAAACACCTACACCTGCAGCAATATGCTCATTTTACACTGACTTCCTAATGTCTGTGTCTTTTATTATTTTAGATCTTATTGGTCAATTCTAATGTTCTCATTTTTCTATGATTTACTTTACCTCACTGCTCTTGCCACATTTTCAAACTGTAGTAAGTCATATTTCCTTAATAAAGATGCTTTAGGCATGTGACCCTGTTAAGATTTAAAAAATGCATTAATTAAATTTACAGAATGTTTGTTGGTATGAATTGTTTAGTTGAAAATGATATATGTTATAAGGTATAATGTTTCACACACAAATATTTTCATATACCAGTAATAAGAACATTTGATATATATATATATAAATTCAAATTTTTCATAATAAAAAAACATTATTTAAATTGTGTACCTACATAAATATGATCTGAAAAAATTAAATAAATAAATCTTACATCTACCAAAAAATAATGGTTTAAATTTACTAGTACTTACTAGTAACATTTTAACAGGAATAAGGTATATCAGAATTAATCTTTTGTTCTTTTTACTCTTCTTATGACATCTTTGAAAAGCAAATGTTAGATATTCCTCCGCTGTAAAAAAAACAAAAAAAAACCCACAACATATTTATACATTAGTATATCAGTACTAAAGACCATTTGTATCTGAAAATTTGTAAGAGACAGAGAGTTTATTATCCACTCAACACAAGCTAGGTCTTTTCGGGGCTATTATATGATTTACGTCTATTTCATTTGCTCATAGGGGTCTTCAGCAGTGGGAGGAAACCAGAGAATCCGGGATAAACCCCATGAGGTTGAACATGTCAGCCTACTCCTTATCACATACAAGCTGGGAATTGAAACCATGCCGCCAAACTCAACGACACCCTATCCCCCTTATCTGTACGAGAAATGACTACTTTAAAAGAATATAAGTGACTACATACCACTTTTAAAATCACTGTCAAACATGGCTTTTCTTCCAACATAATATCTTAAATACAAAACATTTATATTTATAATAAATTTTATAATGTTTAAAGATACATTATGTAAGATTTAGATTAAGAGTTGGTCGTTCTTGCTATAATAGTTCAAAAATAGATAATGCAAAATGAATACTGGTATATTCGAGGCTTAGCCTGCTTCTCCATTTTAAGTTAAATCATTAAATGGCCAAACTATTCTAATCTAGTTAAAATCTCAAGTATCTGATGGCATCGAGAGTTGATTATGGATGTGGCGAGATCTTCTTAAGCATAGTAAGGGCATAGTGGCCGGAGGTCATGGTAGCAATGGTAGCCCATGATCCCACTATGCAGGTATGGTGCATATAGCGCGGTCGTATCGGGCACAGTGTAGTGGAAGCGTATTAAGAGCGGGGAGAGATTGGCAAGAAATTGACCACACACCCATCACACTCCCATAACAACGACACAATGCGCTCACTATGCCTGGCGCGCTCAAAACAAGTTCTTAGCCATGTTTTATATAATATTTGAGCCTGGTGAGCTTGTAGCGAGGACTTCGTTATGTGTAAAATCAGGCTGATTTTTTAAATCATGGTGTATGAGTGAAGGGGATATAGCATGAGAAATGTTTTTTGTCAACAGCAACTCTTCATTACTTGCATGTAGTCATCAGGGGTAAAAAGGCGCTGTTGGCGCAGAAAACTGTGACCCGATACCCTGACCCGAAAATGGACAGTGTGAAGAGAATGATCTAACCATAATTACCAGAAGAATGATGACCTAACCCACATAGCTTTGTTATGTGAAATGCGCTTTTGAAGATAACAGTGATCCAACCTACTTAGATCCGACTTGTTTAATAATTAAAAGGAGCTAGATTATATTTGTAATGATGTTCTATTAAAAAATCTATAAATAGCTTTGTTCTATTAATAGATATCGGTAAGAACAATATTGCATATCAATGGTCATGAATTCGTTAATCGAAGCATGTACTAAACCGATTTTTGGAAATTTAAGGGTTGGGACACATTGGCATAACACCACCCAACTGATCTTGCAATAGATTGCCTTACGATTTTGGGTCGCAATACACAGCTCAAGTGTTTACATCTTACTTTCAAAATAATCATTATTTAAACTACCAGTACATAACAAACCTGAATGTGATGAGTTGTGAAAGTGAGAATTCATCTTTAATAGGTAAACTGTCGATAGCCCGAACGAGGGGTTTGCACAGGTGTAATTTATTAATCTGGAACATAAAATCATTTTATAACAACATCTTATCCATATTTTTCAATATTTGTTGCTATGAAAAACTACGCTCTAAATATGGAGGTAAAAAATTTTGTGAAAATTGCCACTTATATATAAAATAAAATAACGCTTATCCTAATGCATCATTTCATTAAATTTATTAAAACTTTATCTAAAAAACTAGATATAAATACCTTGAAATATATCTTGAATAGCTGATTAACCAAATTTAACATTCCCCATTTTTTCGAATCTTCTAGCGAAGCTCGACTGGAACATAACATGAAATAACATCAATTTCAAATATTGTACATGTAGTTATTAGATTCTTTTATCAATTCGTGAGTAATGAGTAGTTATGATGTAAAATTGAATAAAATTGTTTTATCTCAGGCAATATTTGTAAAGAAGAACATACTTGTCACTAGCACAAACTCGGAAACATCCCATCAATAATTCTGCTGCTTTCTCCAAATGTTCACCAGGTTTACCCTTTCGTTTCGACACAGCTTGTATATCAGCCTGCAGTATATACAAACAATCATACAAACAATAAAATGTACAGGAAAAGATTTCAGGGCTCTTGAAATGAAAAAGTTTTAAGCAAACATGAAAAATAAAGTTTAAAGATAAAATCCCAGGAAGGTATGTACATGTATAGGGTAGTTATAACTGATAAAAGAAAGGCATATATATTCCTTGAAAAACACTAAAACACAATACCAGAAAGTAAGGGTGTCCCTAACTATCTAATGGCTAACGGTTGTGAGAACATTAAGACTTAAATGTCTAGTAGACTCTACAATTACGAAGGAAAAATAATTGGCATAGTATATTCCTAGAATTTACTAAGGCATCAATATTTATGGTAAATAGACAGCGACTATCAACAAGCTGAGCACGAATTCTCCTTTATTCAAGTCACATGACAAACGAGGCTTCTTAAAAGAGATTATAGAGTCAGTGGGTAGTTTTCTTGAAACTAAAATGTTTTGAAAGGGATTGGAAGCAAACTTTTGATAGATAAATGAGTTTGAATATCATCAAATCCATGAGATAATTTTGTTTTGTGTTATTAACTTATTAATGTTAAAAGGTGTATAGCTCTATTTCTTGGAACCTTGAAATAGGTAAAAATGGTTCTAAAAGCACATATTGATGTAATATAAATGTATGTAAAGTGATATTTACCATGACATGACGACAGACAATTATGTCCCCACTAAGTAATCTAGTAGACAAATACGATAATAGGCGATATGACATTGAATATGTCATATATTATCAATAAATGAGAGGGAAATATAATATAAAGTAATAACAATAATGCAAAAAAAATAGATCAAAACATATAAATACCAGATTTATATTCAGTTATTTTCAGTGACATGCTAGGTACCACGTCTGCCATGTCATGTGACACAAACATGACTTCTTTTCTGAGATTTTTTATTATAACAGGGGTATACCCTCGCGATAACAATGTTTTGAGAAGGATTTGAAGCAAAATTTTGATAAATTAATTAGTTTGAAATGTTTTCAGTCCAAATATATCATCAAATCACCCAGTTTGTATGTGGGAAGGTATCTTTAAATATTGGATATTAGGATCTTATCTTTTCACGGCAAGATAACAACATCAATATTGATTGGAATTGAGCAATATTGAATTCTGATTCATGTTTTTAATTTCGAAAATTATGGAAAAAATTGAGTTAGATATTTAGCTCCTTTAAATAACCAATCTGATCGTGTATTAGCAAGGATTAATAGATGATATTTGAAAGTATTGAAGCTAGCTAGCATCATCCTTTTCACACATAGAAATAGTAAACTCTGTATAGAAAGATGAGTGTGATAACACAACAAGTCCCATATAGAAACAATGATCTAAACGTGTAATGAAGAATACACATCTTATATATAACAGGTAACTTACACTATTAGCAAACAATCTAAGATCTAAACAAACAGCATACATAACAGGTAGTGACCAATTCTCTTCTTTCTGACTTTGAAATACTTTGGTAAAAGCTGTTTTAAATGTTAAGAATTAAAAAATAATGAGAGATGAGTTTACACGACTGATACCATTTTTGCCAACTTCTCAAGGTGTTTCGTATCAATCCACAATTCTTTTATTGTTATTTACTTAAATCACAGATCATTTCAACTTAAATTAGCAATTTAAGACATTAGCTGAGACATTGTGTTCAACAGTCGTCAGCTAGATGGAACTAAAATTAGAGTTAAAAAGGGAATCTGGTACACTCTGTTGCTTGAGTTAAAAGGGTCGGACAAAGTAATTAGATCTGAATACATGTACTGGGTCATAAAATGATGCAGCTGGAGAGATTAAATTATAAAATCAATTTTATTCTGTTTCAGGATCTCATCTCAACAATGGATAAAAGAATCACAGTTGGCATATGAATTTGGAATTTAATGTCGAAAAGATTTTAATTCAGGACAGGTTTAATACTGTTAGTAATTTACGTCTCTCTATAGCTAGTTTAATTAGCGTTTATAAAGGATATTGTACTACAGCTGCCTGACAACCACAAGCCTGTATAAAATCATGGTTAGCAACACACCAACAACATCTGAAAAAATACACAAACTTTTATTGGATTAACTGTCATTCAGATGTAAATATTATGATTCTCAGAATTGTAAAATCAGAAAGGAGTCAAACATGTTCTTGTTACCGTGGTGTGTCATTATGATAGTTTTAAAATAAGCTGTGATTAAAATCTATGATGGTTATATTAAGGTTTAACAGATAATCTTCAATAATTATTCCAAAACAGTATCTTAATTTACAGTTGAACTTCAGTTTAAGACCAATCTCTACCAAGCATGACAACATAAAAATAGTAGAAATAGAAACCATAGTTGGAAGGACAGCATGTCATGACCTGATGTATGAAAACGTCAGCAATTCAGTGCTATATAAATAATGCAGCTACAGAACCAATTATGAGGATTCATAATTTTAGCCCTTTACAGTAGTCCATGGGCCATTACACTCAAATGAAGAATCTAAGCTAAATCAAGCAAGTCAATTATTTGTTGAAATCAAATTTGGATGTGATTTTAGATTGAGGACAACGACAACATCCAAATTGTCAAACATGACATCATGAAATGAAGACAGAATTTGTGTCTGGTGGCAACTGGTACAAAAAGGGCAATACTACATATGTGATAGAACTGGTTAAGCACATTCCAAATATAATTCTAACACAAAGATCTTCTTTTTCTACAAAGATTTGAAGAATCAAAACGTAACGTAAAAAAAAGGAAAAAGTTATCCTTACTATTGATGTAGAGAGATAACAAATACACAGTTGATCCACTATCTTTGGCTGCATTGTAGTGAGACACATAGATATTATGCTCAAGGACATCAATGCAAATACTATTATTGAAGTTCCCTAACTAATATGGGGGTTGGATGGCCGAATGGTTAGCGTGTGTGCGTTGTATCATAAGGTCTGTCATTGAGTCAACTGGAGTGGTTTCGATACCCCGGTTGTACGTGACAAGGAGTAGGGTCGCCTGTCCAACCTCATGGGTTTTCTCTGGGTCCTCCGGTTTCCTCCCACAGCTAAAGACCCTTAAGAGCAAGCGAATTATTGAAATAAAATTGAACCATATGTTAGTCCCGAAATGACCTAGTTTGTGTTGCGTGGACGTTAAACCCCATTTCTCTCTCCCCCCCCCCCCCCCTAACTAATAGATATTTCCTTGATTTTGATGTTTGTGTATTTTGATTTGATAGCTTACCGTAAATGTGCAGCTACTACTTCATCATAAGGTGGATCAAAGAATCGTTGACATTGTGAATCAGGATGTTCGAGCTGGAGACGTTGATTAGCTACATGAGGATGTTTAAATGAAAGTAATTCCTAAAATAAAACAAATGGATAGAATATGAAGATATGTAATATATCTCTGGAACAGAAAGTCCTACAATTAGTACAACAATTTTTTCTTTGAAAACTAAGAATTGAAATTAACTGGATAGTGGTGGATTCAAAAATCCTCCCTGATAGTGCATAGAAAATGAATAACGTCAGGCAGGCAAACATTACTCTTTGCCCCTATGACATTTGACTCTGTGACAGAACATACATGTACATGTATGATCTAAAGCACACACACTAGACCATGACTCTCCCAACCATAACCCACCTCTATGTGATAAAATAACTTACTGAAACTTTGTAACCATTTTTCCTATCTATTGCATCTTCAAGCTACAAGACAAAGAAATTAAATTAGTGAAAAAGTTACACAAGTGTTGTAATATAGCTTCAGTATAATAAGTAATTTTTTAGTCTGACTTTTTACTCCCCCGAAAATGTTTCTGCTACTGTTGAAATATATTATAAATCAAACTTATTTACAACCAGAATGCTCATCAATTCTATTTGTGAATCGAAAACAAACAGACTACTCAAGGACCACATGACATTTCGGTCCCACAACATTTCTGACTGACGACCTTTCAGATTACAGCAAAAAATCTTACTGACGCTTCGAACTCGGGATGGTAACATTTCAGACTTGTGTAAGTGATGTTTCGGACTCGGGTAAGTGACGTTTCGGACTAGGGAATAAGTTCAAAGGATGTAGGTAAAATTTTCGGTTCGGCATCAAGTACAACATGTGGATCATGCACTGTATAGATCTCTAAAGGAACGGCAATATTTCCAATGTTTAATGTTTATGAAAAGAATGTTTTATATAATATGCATTTCTTTGTAGCTGTGCTTTTTTTTTGTATTTGATATAAAAAAAAAAGTAGCTAATTGAACTTATGTGAAATATAGGCCAATTCAAAACACGAACATATTGCTATGAAACATGTGGTTATTAAAAGGCTCTACCAAACGATAAAACTTTAGTTGCACTTACAGTTCTTTGATAATCATTGTTTTACAAGTCCCTAGAAATTTTTAACGATAATCTGCACTTTGACATGCATTTCTCAAAAGCTTGCAATAGAAGACAGTAGGCCCTACCGATCAATAAATTAGTATGTACAAAGAAAAGTCTTTTCGCAAAATATTAGCAATGGCAATGACCAAAGCGGGATAATTAAAACTGATTTAATGATAATTCTGATGTTATTGTAATACAGTATATAGTAGTATAGGTGCAAAGAAATCTTTCGGTTCTTAATTAAGTTGGTTTATGAGGAAACACACAAGTTGTCAATCATCGATAAATGCCCCATTCTGTTTCACGTAAAAGACATTTAGGCTTTCACAATTATAAAAACATCGCCAGTGATCGGTCAATGAAGCTCGTCGTTTACTAATTCATAACATAAAAATAAAAAACATTATTAAACTAAACAACGAATGTTAATAATACGTCAAACTGAGCTGTTATCCTCAATCAATTTCAAAATTACTTCCATAAGATTTACATGTAGTGTTACAAAATGCACCACAAAGTACGGCCTTATATCCAGTAATAATTTTGTTTATATCAGATACAAAAGATAAGACCACAATAAGCATAAATTGGCAATAATTACACTTTGAAAATAAGAGGCTTGAGAAACGTGCGCCATCTTGAAAGAGTTAGCTCCCTTTATAATAGTATTCGGTAGTTGCAAAAACACAAGTCAATGTCCTGATGTCTATAATCTATAATAAAACTAATATCCATCTTTTTTTTAGAGTTGATTTTGGTGAATTACAGTATATGTACAAATAGCATGTAAAATTTAGTGGAAAAAAATATTTTCAAATCAGCGTTTATTAATCTATATTTTATCTGCATTGACAACAACTTATTGGTTACAATGAAATTATGACTTGGATCATGGGAATTAGTTCCTATGTTTCTACATATTATATTCATGGTATCCAAACTTTGTTTGACTTGCTGCTTCTTTTAATGTTAGCATTCAAATATTACTATTCAGATTATTAGCTGGAGTTCTATTTCTATTTCTTAATAAAAAAATGCAAAATAGTTTGTGGTCGATCTATGTCTAAAAATTGTATATAAATAAGAAATATGGCGGACATTGCAGACGATTTGCAAAATATAAAATTTATTTTCCAACATAATGAAAAGCCTACCGCAGGAAATATAGATTGCTACTCAGAGAGAAAGTCTATATATCTTGGTGAAACTGTTAGGTTGTATGTGGTTATTTCCAGAGAAACGAATGCCGAAGAACGATGGAAATCTCGTATCTGCCAAGTGGCCGCAAGTGGCAATTTTTCAAAAATCGATGAAACAACAAAACTGAAATTTAAGTCCCCCAAGAAAACCCCAGTAAGATCCTCCAATACTTTCACCGTTTGCCCAGTAGCTGTAACTTTGTCAGAAGATTCACTTACATCAGAATATAATTTAGAAAACAAGGTACCAGTACATGCAATACCTTTCCAATTATGCCTACGTTCTGACCGGAGGATGGCCACTGACAGTTCCTATCCGTCCCAATATAGCTGCAATATGAAAATACTGCGCGTCTCCACCTCTGTTTTAAGGCTATTTTGGAATCCTTACCGACTATTTTTCACTTAGTTCAGCTCTGAACGTAGGTCTCATTCCACTCGACCTCTACGTTCAGGGACTGTCCTATTGAATCCTTGTCGAAAATCTAATCGCTTCCCAGTCAATTTTACTGGGCAACTTTTTACTGCTAACCGGTCACGTGTCAGTCCCTGTGAACGCCTGAACAATATAAATGAACATCTTAGGGAGAAAATAAGACCTTGCTTACCTGGCTAGAGTCAGTATGAGCGACACAACACGCTGTTAAAAAATACGTCTCCGTCTTCTAACCGAATTGGCGGACATCATTGAAAGGGTAATGCACAAATTTAAGAACTCGGCCATATAAGATGAAACGAAATTTAGGTAAGCCTGGGAGAAAAAAAAAATGAAATCTTTGAAAAGTTGAGAATGTTCATTTATATTGTTCAGGCGTTAACAAGAAAGTTCATCAGGATTTTCCGGCATGGTTTCACCTAGTCAGTTGTGCAGGACGGTCGGCCTGACAAGGACAGCTGTCTAGTCGTTTGGATGGAACAAAAAACCACGGTCCCGTATACCAATATTGGTAGTTGGAATGTGATATAAGAGTTGGCCGTAGCACCGCTGTCCGGCAAAATTTCCCTCATAGTAGTCATAGCACACTGTATGGCGTATGCCTGTCTTCACTAGCCCAATCAGAGCAAAACAGGAGGACGTTAAACCCCATTTCATTTCATTTTTCTATGGAGTTAAATCAAATAACTTACGCATTGTTGTTGCTAGCCAACAATATAATTTATTATATAGTTCACTAGTTCACTTCAATAGGCCATATATAGGCCTACACTGAACTTCAATGCTCTGGTGATGCAATATTGAAAAAAAACATTTCTACATGGTTACCCATTGAGTATAATGTTAATAACTTTGTATGTTTTTACCAATAAATTTGTTATAAATAATTTTTTTATTATCTATTTTCAATAATATTTTACTTAATAAATATACAAGCTTAATTACTGAATTAAACTGCATATGATTATTGGTTAATTTTATACTCCCACATTTCATATGGACGTATCATGCCATCGCCCCTGACAGTCCGTCCATCCACAATTTGTTTGTGGACAATCTACAGGTCACAATTTTTATCCGATTTTGACGAAACTTGAAATATAGGTCGATCTTCCAAAGATCTCCGTTCCTTTTGATATTGGCATGTATCGGACCATAACATCATGGATTATGGCCCCCTGATTGTGCGAAAAATCACATTTTTAGCTTGTGGACACTCTAAGAGGTCACAATTTTCAACCGATTTTGATGAAACTTGAAATACATGTTTATAACCCAAAGATCTTGAAATGCATGTTTATAAGCTAAAGATCTTGGTTCCTGTTGATATTCGCGCATATCGGATCGTAAATTCCTGAATTATGGCCCCTGATCGTATGAAAAATCATGTTTTTAGCTTGTGGTCCATCTAAAGGTCACAATTTTTATCCAATTTACACTCAAATGATGGTTGAATCTGAATTTCGTGAAAATTGGACCAAAACTGCCAGACAAAATGGTATATGGTATATCAAGGTTGTGGACCCTCTAGCGGTCACAATTTTGATCTGATCTTGATGAAACTTTGAAATACATGTTTATAACCCAAAGGTTCGCGTATGTCGGATTGTAACTTCCAGAATTATGGTCCTTGATGGTACAAAAAATCACATTTTTAGCTTGTGGACCCGCTAGAAGTCACAATTTGTATCCATTTTTAAAAATGTTTAAATTTATCACAAATACACATCAATGGAGGTTGAGTTCGAATTTCGTACAAATATGATCCAAACTGCCAGACAAAATGGCCGCTCCTTGTACACAAATACATGTAATGTAAAAGTTTGTAATACCAAGGTTGTGTAGTGGACCATCTAGAAGTCACAAGGTTTATCTGATTTTGATGAAACTTAAAATATATCTTTATATCCCAAATATGTCTGTCTCTTGCGATATTCTCGCATTTCAGACCATAACTTCCTGCATTATTGCCCCTGATTGTATGAAGAATCGCTTTATTTTTTAGCTTATTCTCTATCCATCTCTTGCAAAATGTGGGCATATCTTGCCTGGCAACTGCTGGTTATTTATTTTTTGTAGGATTTCAAACCTTACTTTATTGATGACAAGAATTATCTTGTACCAGTTAAAGCATGTCTTAGTTCAATGGATGGCTATATAAATCGTGTCAATTTGAATGTATCAGTCTGGATGTGCACATCTCCATTAGATCAAACACCAGATCAAATAGCCAAAAAAGATTTTCATCTGGACAATCTAACATTACAAGTTTTAAAGAAAAAGACAGTTCAACAGAAAACAGGTACTTTTAATTAAAGACACAAAAGATATTAGAAAAAGAGCTGACAGTTCTCGCTATAATTGTTAAAAATTAGATACTGAAAAGGGAATAATATGTTGGAAATTTCAGTCAAATTACTTCATTCTGAGCAGAGTTATGACCATTTGAAGAACAATAGTCTCAATTGTCGTGTTTAAATCCATTGAAAATCAAATCCATCTGACGGTCTAGGGAGTTGATTATTGGCTTGTCATGTGAATTAATGTTTAATTAATGATTTATATAACATTTGAGGCGATACAAAAGATCTGCATTAGGCAGATTTAGCTTTAACATAATGCATCTTTAATGTATCACTTGTATTCTCTTAAAATTGTTCCCCATCTTTTAATCAACAATATAAATATAATTACTTTCCATTTGTTCCAACGGTTCATTAAACATAAAAAAAAATAACTGAATGTTTATCTGTCAGAGATAGGAATGTGTTTAATGATATGCATGAATACATTTGCTATACTTATTGATACATGTATATAAATATATATATGCATTCATTGATTTGATTTTAACCAATGAAAACACTGTCATACTTTTCTAAAGCGAAGTTCCCTATTTTATTTTTCAGTTAGCAAGGAACTGAATGTCATAAATCCACCATTGTTTAAGATAAAGGTCACAACAGCAGGAGGAAAACATCTTCTTTTGGTTCATGGTAGGTAATACTGTATCTATTGAAGAAACACATCAATCTATTTGTACCCATTATATCTGAAATTACTAACTGATCTCTTTCATTTGGTCACTTTCCCCCGGAACTAGCAACAGCCATTTTTAAACCATTATTAAAGAAATCAAACATGGATCCAGATGTTACCGTCCAGTCGGTAATCTATCTTACATTTCAAAACTACTAGAGAAGTGTGTTCAACATCGACATCAGTTAAATGAATTTGATCATATTTATTCCAATAACCTTGAAAATCCATTACAATCTGCCTACAAACAATACCACAGCACAGAAACTGCTTTACCCAAAATCACTAATGATATCTACCTGGCTATAGATCAACAGAATGTGTTATCTTGGTACTCTTAGATCTCTCAGCCGCATTTAACACGCTTGATACCGAGGATCTCCTTGGTGCGTTATGGTGTGAAATTGGCTTATGTGGTTCTGTTTTGTTTGAACTGGTTTAAGTCATATCTAAAAAATTCCACCCAAGCTGTCAGGATTAAAGATTCAACATCCGATGATAATAGAATGCTTTGTTGGGTACCGCAAGGTTCTGTACTTGGACCTGTACTTTGTACTTTTTAAAAGCATGTACTATGTTTTAGTTTAACTGATGTATTAATAATCAGATGTACAGGATTTTGACAAGAAATTTTAAGTTTCGTTTTTATTGATCGGATACCAGTCAACCTAGATAGAGCGGTGACAAGAGCCTCAAAGGTAAATAGGACAGGCCAGGACTCCCACAGGTGGCTTTTAGTTTTCAGTTCACCATATTTTAAAAAAAGTGGACTTCCAGAACCCGATTCTAATCCTATCCATACCACAAGGCACACAAAGTCACCGTCTTTCTTCTACTTTTGGATCAAGTAACACTGTTTTTATGTCCCCTCGAAGAAAGCAGGGGACTATTATAATTAAAATGGGTCCGTCCATCTGTCCGTCAAACTTTTTTGGACACAATAATGTTACCCTCCTTCTAATTGAGATAGAATGTTCAAACTTAGATGTGGGTGTTTATTTGGTGAATGCCTTGATGGAGTTCGAAGAAGAGCATTTTTTCTGCTTAGGCTAAGGATAAGCAATTTGATTAGTTGATGCTTTGAGACATGATAACTCTTGTTCTAATTAAGTGAGGGTGATGAAACTTGGTGCATAGTTTCATAATACCTTGATTAAGTTTGATAATGAGCATCTTCTGCTTAGGCTAAGCATAGATAAGCAATTTGATTGGTTGATGCTTTGGGACAAGATAACTGTGGTTCTAATTAAGTGAGAATGATGAAAATTAGTATATGGTTTCATTACATCAATACCATTACTAAGTTTGATAATGAGCATTTTTTGCTCACGCTAAGCAGAGATAAGCAATTTGTTTGGTTGATGCTTTGGGACACGATAACTTTGGTTCTAATTAAGTGAGAGTGATGAAACTTGGTGTATAGTTTCATCACATCAATACTAAGTTTGATAATGAGCACCCTTATCACCGAAACCATATTGACTGGTTGAGGAGAATGTATTTGCTAGCCTTTATAGGCCCATAGCTGGTGCGGGGGGCAAAGGGGCAGTTCAACCAATGTCACTTGGCTCCCATACTGATATGGCCGCGTTGGTTGTTGGCAGCTGCCCCCCTCGCCCCCCACCCTCTGCCAGCTATGGGCCTGCTTTAAAATGCTGCTGGTTGGAAATATTCCTTGTCTGACAACTCACTGTTATTGGTAAAGCCTCAGCTCAGTGTACTAGAAGGCTAATGGTCTGTTTCCTTATTTAAGATTTTTTAAAAATATGAACTGAAAGATGTTCTTTAGATAGTACATATAATTCTAGACTGCCATTTTGACATCTCCTTGATATTTATAATCATAGAAACAAGTTATTCTTCACCAGTTGAGTGACATTCTAAAACAGAAAAGATGAAATCACTACAAAATAATCTCAACTATAGAGGACCATAACTGGCACTAGGATTAATATATTTGAATAATCATTCGATAAAGATGCTACAGAAATATCTGTAATTTGAGATAAATAACTCATATTTTTACCATAAAATTTAAATGGTGTATGGCGGAAAGTCAGGAATATTGTACCTTCAAGTGTTTTCTCCATATTTGAAATGAAATAATTGTAGTTTATTTTTAATTTCAGTTTGTAATAAAAGTAATGAATCGGTAGAGTTAATAGATCTAAATATATTAAATACGTCCAGTAAATACAGTGTTGAAGAATCAGGAAGTCATGTTCTAGATACAGGCAATAATAATAAGTAGGTTTATTTCATATTGCTCTTGAGATTAAATTAACTTTGACTAACTACATGGATATGTTTCCGATCAATAAAAACAGTCTTCACTACCTATACATGTATAGAACTGTTTAGCTGAATCCTTGTATTTAAAAAAAATGTAGTTGTATTATTTTCATCAATTTTTTTTTATTTCAGTTTGAGTTCTGAACATATCACATCTAGAATTCATTTTAATAAATTAGGAAGTACAACTCTACCATGTTCCCTATTGCCAGAAGAAGAAATGTCTTTCATCTTTAATCTGTCTCTAGAAAATTTCAACTCATCAATTTCAGAATTGGTAAAGCTCATGCTTCCATAATGTTTATATTATGTAGGATTGGAAAGAAATGTGCTTTTTGTGTTAATTCATATTGTGTGTAAGGGAGAACTAATTTTGTACAGCAGCTTTTTTGACCACCAAGGAATTTTTCACATCTGCTAGAAAATTATTGACAAAGCTCATTAAAATCTGACAGATATTTCATATTTTTATAGTTCAAATTTTACAAGATATTTGTTTTTTGGACTTCCAGAACTGTAACAAAACTCATTTCCATGTCAAATGATTTCAATTCGATGGCGTTAGAACTTTGAGAACTGACAATCGAGCAACTCTGATCAATAATACTGATTTTGTTAACATTTTTTGTAGGAGCTGTATTTTAAATCTCAACTTAAATGGCGTCACAGTTCTTCTGTAACTAATGTTATTACAGTTTATAGGTGAGTTTTAAACAGCTGTTCTATGAAAATGAATTACAAACTAAAAAGTATCAATTTACAATAGCCAGGATGACCTTCGGTTGCACGTATTTTCGTACTAAAGTCGAACCATCTGCATGCGAATGGCATTTAGTTCAACCAGTGGTCATGACCAGCCGTACCATGCGATAAAGCACGGTCTGGATAGTTCAAAGATGGCTGAAAAAACTGACACTTGAGAAGATTTTCTGAAAAATATAATAAAATTGCCGATTGCCGTTGCGTTATTTACACTTTGGTCGGTATTGTAGGGCCCATGTTAACACCTGAAAGTTAGTGAATGGGCATTGTAGTAAGATGTTAAATTTGATTTTTTTTCGTCTTTTTTTGATGAATTTGACAGATTAGGATCTTCTTATTCGAATATACATGTATATAGGCACACAACAAAAAACTGTACGTGTGAAATGATCTTGGTTGGGTGACATAAATCCAATGAAAAATATTCTGATATTGACAAATCCTATTTGTAACCTATTTTAAGCTTGCTTTCAGATCACAGTATGGAAAATTAATCAGTTTTTAAAAATACATGAGTAAATAGGAGAAAATATAGCAGGCGGAACAACTGACATGGTCGCCACCATATTAAATAGTCAATGGCTAGGGCCATTTTGCGTTTGGGTGCTGGTTCAGACTGTTGTCGCGACCATAGTCTACATCCGAAGGTCGCCCTGGTACATTTACCTTACCTAATAAATATGACAGCATGATTTTGATACAAGTTTTGATAAAAATTCTCAAGGTTGGAAGTTGTGAGTTTTGAGCAGATTCTTTAATCAATGATCTTAATCCGTGCTTTTTCCACTTTTTCCCCCCTGCCTTCCCCTGAAGAAAGCAAGGCACTATTAAAATGGGTCTGTCTGTCTGTCTATCCATCTGTCTGTCTGTCCATCTGTCTGTCTGATCGTGAACATTTTATGCTCAGACCAAGGATAGATAATCAGTTTGATTACTTGATACTTTTGAAAAAGATAAATTTGCAATTAATTAGTATGTGTCATCTGTTTATTTTAGGATTTCAGAGGGGAACATCAGCCTACTTGTTGACTTGTTTGTGTTTATGTCTTATTGTGGTCATCTGAAAAAATACTGTTTTGTGTTTAGTGAGTTATTCCAATTTTCAAACTTTTTAAAAAGAGAATATACATTGTTCATTTTACTTTTCAGGTTACCAAAGTTTTGTGTGCATTATGCACCTTTTATCATTTCTATTGGATGTTCAGAGAATATTACTGTAGGCAAAAGGTTTGTTGACAAATGTTTTAAGTTAAAACTTTTAACCCTTTGGTCAGAAATTTAAAATTATTGTTTTTGTCCCCTGCCTTTTGAAGAAAGTGGGGAACTATTAAAATGAGTCTGTTCATCTGTCTGTCTGTCACACTTTTTGGGACACAATAACTTTCCTTCTAATTGAGCTTGAATATTCAAACTTTGTGTAGGTATTTATTAGCTGGATGCCTTGATAGAGTTCGAATATGAGCATTTCCTGCTTACGGCAAGCAGAGATAATTTGATTGGTTGATTCTTTGGGACACGATAACTTTAGTTCTTGTGTACAATTTCATTACATCAATACCTTGACTAACTACGATAAGCAATTTGATTGGTCGAGACATTGGAACACAATAACTCTCCTACAAATTGAGGTAGAATGTTTAAACTTGGTGTAGGCGTTCATTAGGTGAATGTCTTGATGGAGTTTGAAAATGAGCATTTTCTGCTTAGGCTATGCAGAGTTAAGCAATTTGATTGGTTGATGCTTTGGGACACGATAACTTTGGTTCTAATTAAGTGAGAGTGATGAAACTTGGTGTATAGTTTCATCACATCAATATCTTGACTAAGTTTGATAATGAGCCTTTTAACTCGTTGTTTGGTTGAGACTTTGGAGCTTGACAACGTTGTTTCTAATGGAGTGATAGTGGTGAAACTTTGTGTATAATTTCATTACATCAATACCTTAACAAAGTTCGATGTTGAGCATTTTCTTCTTAGACTTAGACAAAGTAGAGACTTTAATCTGATTGGTCGAGACTTTGGATTACAATAACTTTGATTCTAATTGGGTAAGAGCATTAGATTCATTATATCAATACCTTCACTATGTTCGATGATGAGAATTTTATGGTAAGGCTAAGTAGCGATAAGCAGTTTGATAGGTCAAGACTTTGGAACATAGCAACTCTGCTTTTAATTGAGGTGTATGTCTTGACTGATTTCAATGATTAATATTTCCCGCTAAAGCTAAGCAGAGCTAAGCAATTTCATTGGCCGATGCTTTGGTACAAGATAACGTTGATTCTAACTGATGGAGAGTGATGAAACTTAGTGTATAGTTTCACTAAGCATAGGTAATCAGTTTGGTTTCTCAATACTTTTGAAATAGATAAATGTGTAATTAATTAATATGTGTCATCTATTTATTTTGGGATTTTGCCAGGAGACGTCAGCCTCACTTTTGGCTTGTTAAAATCTATATTGGTTATCTATCCTATAAAAAGAACTCTACTGATTTATATCGTTGTTCGCTTAAAATTTAGTTTCAAAATCTTAAGTCTTTAATTATGATCCAATCTTTTTTTCTGAGCTGTTAAGCTTACTACTGTTGGATGACTTGGCTTCTGGTGAGAATGTTGCTTATATGTTCATTTGACTGTATTTACGTACTGGTTCTAAACATCAGTTTCAAATCAAATCAAACCATTCACTTTAAAATGAGACAAGAAATGAAGAAAGTTTATCAGAAAAGAACAATATAAACAGTGGGGACAAATGTGCCACAAAATTAATTTGCCACAAAATTAATTTGCCCTGTTGTCAAAATCGTTTTGATCAGGATACAGTTTGACTGTTTGAAAAGGAAATATTACCTTTGTTAAAGGGATTATTGTAAATAAATATCAGTTTAGGAAATGTCTTTTTTTTTCAGTTTCACCCTAACATACAATATAGTGAATAAACTACAGGATTTTTTAAGTATGAAACTGTACTGGAGTTTAAAACATCAACTGGAAGTAGCTAGACAGAAAGGTTAGTGCATTATATAGTGGTTAGTATAGGGCTGCCATGATATACCGTGGTATACATACCACAGTTTAGTTCACGGTACTTTAAATCCGTACCGCAGTTCGCTAAACACAGTATATATTTTTTTAACCGCCTGTTTTCTTCCCAAACTCAACTGTCATGCAGATCATCTAACCAAGATACGCTACTACCATCTTAGGAACATCAGCAGCATCTGTCATATGTTAACGGCAGAATCCACAGCAACCCTACTTGTATATTGAATTCCAACTGCAAAGGGATCTTTTACGTACACGCCAATGTGTACATGGGACCTCGGTTTTTCGTCCCATCTGAACGAATAGACAGCTGTCCTTGTCAGGCCCTCTGTCCTGCATCACTGACAAGGGGGAACCACCCCGATAAATTAAAGACATTCCTGTATTCTAAATATTAAAAACAAACTCTAAAGTAACTTAGAATTGACTTTGTGTGTGCTTTGAGCAGACTTTATTGTTTGGAGTTTTCAGCAATATATAATATAAAAATCCTATTAGTATTATTTTACACCATGTGTGACCATAAAAGAGGTAAAGTGACTTTGTTCTAGAAAATTCTTATGACACATGGACAATACTTGGGTGCTCTATGTATACAACTCTATAATAGCAATCATAAGATTATGTGGGTTCTATACATCTACATGTCGTAGAATTTTATAGTAACATGGCAGAGATTGATCATAGCTATATTTGAGAATTAGGTTTTGAAAAATACATTATTTTTCCGGAGTGCAAAATGACCGATCTAGTTTCAGTCATTGTGCTATACACTCCCTAAATCAGTGGTTCTCAACCTTTTTTTGGCAACGGCACACCTTGGAACATATAAAAAAAATGGCGGCACACCTGGCTAAATATATATGAAAAATATCTGAATTTTGTAAAATAAAAACATGACAAATCATAGACGGCAGACAACCGTAGACACAGAATCGTCATGTAAACATAGAATGACGCAAACTAAATGACACTAGTGAATACTCAATTGGGATCAAGTGGCTTTTCACATTTTCTTTTCACACTGGTTGAGAATCACTGCCCTAGATCTTGAGGCTCTAGGCTTCAGCCTGCCAAGCCTTTAGGTAAATTGGGATGACTTATGACCAACAACATTTAAAAAAGCTTTTCCAAGTACAAACTGTGTGTTTTGATGATATATTTGGAGTAAAAACATATTCAAACTAATTAATCTATCCAAAATTTGCTTCAGATGCCTCTCAAAACTTTGTATTCGCAAGGAGATACTCCAAGCTATAATTAATTTTTTGGTTGAGGGAGGACCAATTTTTATAGGCCCACATTTTCATGTGGACGTATATTATCGTTGCCCAAGTCCATCCATCCACAATTTGTTTGTGGACACTCTACAGGTCACAATTTTTATCAGATTTCGACGAAACTTGAAATATAGGTCTATCTCCCAAAGATCTTGGTTCCTTTCGATATTGGCATGTATCGGACCATAAATTCATGGATTATTGCCCCTGATTGTACGAAAAATCACGTTTTTAGCTGGTGGACACCCTAGAGGTCAAAATTTTGATGAAACTTGAAATGCATGTTTATAACCGAAATATCTTGTTTCCTTTCGATATTCGGGCATATCAAATCGTAATTTCTTCCTGAATTATGGCCCCTGATTGTACGAAAAATCACGTTTTTAGCTTGTGGTCCCTCTAAAGGTCATAATTTTTATCTGGTGGACACTCTAGGGGTTAAAATTTTGATAAAACTTGAAATGCATGTTTATAACCGAAATATCTTGTTTCCTTTCGATATTCGGGCATATCAAATCGTAATTTCTTCCTGAATTATGGCCCCTGATTGTACGAAAAATCACGTTTTTAGCTTGTGGTCCCTCTAGAGGTCATAATTTTTATCTGATTTAAAAAAACGTGTGAATATATCAGTTATACACTAATGAGGGTTGAGTTCGAAGTTCGTGAAAATCAGACAAAAACTGATGGACATAATGGCCGCTCCTTGTACTCAAATAGTGTAAAAATTTGGTATATCCAGGTTGTTGGGCCCTGTAGAGGCCACATCCGATTTGGATGAAACTTTAAATATATGTTTTTATCATAAAGATCTTGGTTACTTTTGATAATCACAAATATCCAAACATAACTTCCTGGATTATGGCCCCTGATTGGTAAAAAAAAATTTCCAATTTTAAAAACCATTTAGATATATCACCATTCCACCATAATGAAGGTTTAATTGGAATTTTAAGAAAATCGAAATTAAACTGCCTGACAAAATGGCCGCTCTTTGTACGCAAATTGTGTATAAGTATGTAATAAAACGTTTTTTTATTCAGAATGTATTTGTCTTTACTTACTGTCCATTTACCATACATATTGAGGCCTAAGTAAATTCTTGAATTATTTTCTGCCAACTTCTTTTTCCGCTGTTTAATTGTAGAGTAGTTATACATTTACAACCCTCAATGTTCCCAAAACTGCCTAACCATTCCATCAAGAAAAAACAACTGCTCCCTAAGTCAAGCTGGCAGACAATAAGCCATTGGTTTGCTTGTGTAGTGATACTCTGACATTTTTGCCCACGGCTTGCCCCATGGGTGTTTTTTGAGAAATAACCACCTGATAAAATAATTTCTTGAGAATGTATCTTTAAGGTTTTTCGGGAAGACATTACCAGGAATCTAATCCTTTCTGTAAAAATCTGGCTAGAAATGGGTCACTAGATCTAGAGGTTACCATCTTCAGAAAATAGCATCAGAAAGCTTCAAAAAAAGAGAATCTCTTCACCCCCACCCACCCTGCATTATTTACTGGGCTCAATCAGATTTCTCATACTTGATGTATAAGCACTTTTCACAATAATTTTTGATAAACCCAATCAAAATCGGGTTGAATGGTAGTTACACACTCAGTAAACTATATTAATTTTGGAATTTTGAATATTATTCACCATGTCTTGATGTCCGATTGGGCATATTCCTGGTTGGACAATTTAGGACGTTTGGAAAATAGCGTTAGACATGACGTCCGGAATATACGGGTGAAATCCCACTATTGCCCTATCATCAGCTACATTGTCCAGATACCAACCATTTCATACTGAATTTTATCTGGCTATCTTTTTCCAAGGACCTCTGACAGTAATAGGATGATAAGATGATTGTATTTTACAGAGGGATTTTTTTTATATTTAGGTGATAATGATGGTAATAGACAGAGATTAGAAATGATGAATAGAGCTGTCATATGTCATGATCCTGATATACACGTGGGGTAAGGAATGATATGCTCTGCATACAGTACTGGCTTAACATTCATTTAGTCTAAAACTGTGCAGACAAATCCTTGATGATCGGACTCCTCCCCCAGCATATTGTCATAGGAAACAGTATGAACAAATTTAGATAGATATTTTATTTGAAAGGACATTACCTCTTTTGATTCGTGTGAAAAGTTAATCAATTAGTTTAGTGATTTATTTAGTGCAATCATATTTAGTGCCTTTAGATTCTTACTAAATGAATGTGCAAATAGCCTGCTTAATAAAACATTGGGTTAATGAAATTTGAATCCTGGGATCAAATCAACCCATAGTTCGTCAAAAGGGGCAACATGCCATGGCAGAATAAAAGTGAAGTATAGGGTCTTAAAACAATGGTCAATCATAAATATTCTTAACTGTAATATATGCTATGACCAATTAAGTTTGTATTTGTTACTTTTAGTATTTGGTTTGTTTAATTAGAACTTTTAAAATATTTATGGTCTGTCTGGTTTGTTGTTCCTTTAATTATATATTTTTAATTACAATATATAATATAGAATAAAAAACATATTTTTTGGATGATGCATATAGTACCTATGATATAAGACTCAATTCACTTTGTACCCTGGAGTAGATTTGAAAGGACATCCATAGTTAAATTCAAACCGAGTGGCATTAGCAGAGACATTGTGAGTTACAATCTTGAGATGACAGTAAGAAGTCAATAGAAAGTCTGCTTCCATGTTTACCCTACGTACCCAGGGCCACACTTTGTCATATAGTAAGCATAGCAATAGTTAAAGGACAATGTTGGTGTCAGACTGTTAGCCAATATTACCAATCTGATTAAAATACAGATCTATATTTCGTTTCGTTTTTTATACTTTCGATGGCCTACACTACATGATGATCTGACCGGTTGTTGCGATAGGTCATGTCAGAGGTCATACGAGCAGCAAGTTAGCCGATTACGCCAGACGTTTGATTAACCAATCAGCATTAGTGTTACTAGTGGATTCCTACAGTTCCGTGCAAAACACACCTAAAGCTCGCCGTAACAGACCGTTTCATTGGCTAATACCTCACACTATTCAAACAAGTCAATATAACAACTCTTCCAGATCCTAGTGTAGTAAAGACAAGTAAAACGAAATTTTGAACTATAAAAATGAAACGAAATAGGATCTGTGTTTTAATCAGATTGCCAATATTACATAATCCTGGTTAAACACATGTCTGCAAGATCACCATGCAGGGGATGATAACCCTTGGGTCAGGGATTTTAACCAAATTTTTTCTGTGAGATGGGTTAGTACCCAGATACATCCCCACAAAATATTAGAATGATTCAGGTGATGCCGACCTGGAAAATTGGAATAATATTTTTTCATAGAAAAATAAGCAAAAAATGCAAAATTTTTGGACCAAAATTGGATGATCTGTTATTCGGACAATAATTGATTTGGACAGACAAAATTTTGGCTAATAGTAGGACCACGTAGCCTCCTCCCACGCACCAAGTTTTAAGCTTCTACTACTACTGATACCTTGGTACTGGCAGGATACACAACTCTCTCTGAAAATTGAATTTAAGGAAAACCAAAGTTTGAGAGGCTATAGCTCGTTCTTTGCAGGGACTAGGACCAAATAACAAAATATAGTGCTAAAGTTGATAATAGACAGTCATTTGAACTATTGAAAATAATCGTCAGTCATCAGTGAAAAGTTGAATCATGTGGAAAATACTGTTTTACTGAAGCACCCTAGTGCATTGACTTCTATTCAGTTTTTTTCTTCTGACTCCTGACATATACTTTGAGGAATGCCCTCCACAACCACACCTAGCAATGATATGCTAGACCTGCAAAGAAGAAGCTACAAACGTTTTAGGATGGCATAGCTTTAACAATATGTAAAATGACCACTTTAAGATAACTCAACAAAGAAAATTCCACACGATTCATCCATTCCCAAATGAATGCAGGATTTTAAGTCGATCACTAGGCCTGTCAAACATGGTCCAATATAAAAATTTTAGGGTCACAACATTTTGAGTTGTCCCAAAACAACAATTTCCGGAAGTTGTCATTTAAAAAAAAATTCACTACATCATGTGATTTGTAAATTCTGTGGTGGAGACAGAAGTAAGTGTCAAAAAGTAAGAATGATATGACCTTAGTTTATTTATAGGGCTTCTTGAATAAACTATTTTTATCGCTTAAAATGTGTAAGTAGAAAAAAATAATAATACAAGGGAATGCACAGACTTTTTCTTTTTTCTCACTTTCTCTTTTCTCGTAACAGTCAATATATTCTCTCACGGCCTCATGTAACAACTTTTTGATTTTCAACAGAATTATCAGTGAGCTAAAAATAGCTCAATATTTAGATTCGTAACTTTCAGCCGAATTGGAATTGTAATATTTTGTCACGTTTTGACAATATATTTAATACTTAAATCTACTATTATTTACTGTTGTATTGTGTGAAATATAGGGCTGCCACTAATATTATACTAGTACAAAGTGAATTGGATGTCTAAAATGAAATTACTAATATTACTACTAATTATATAGTTAACACAGGGTACAATTTTATGAATACACAATTACTTAGTTTAAAACTATGCAATGCTTGGACGAGGATATTCTTAAAAATCAAGCAAATGATGATAGTGGGCTTGATAAAGACAAGAGTATCCTCATTGAAATGTTGCATAGTAGTAAACACACTATGTGTGTAGTATCCATAAAATTGTACCTTGTGTTTAATTACTAAAAGCCTATCAAAGAAATTATAATAGTTCCATTAGAATTTGTTAACATTTAATTCATACTAACAATTTACAGTTCATGTCCTAGAGGTTCATCTGTACCTGTTCCTGTTTCTTTCCAAATATTAGAACCAGGATTATTTGAGGTTGGTTACATTTTCTCAAGAATCCTTTTCTACATTTAAGGATGCATTATGTAAGATTTAGATACAGAGCTGGCTGTTCTTGCTATAATAGTTTAGAAATAAATAATGCAAAATGAATATATTGAAAATTACTTCATTGTGAAATCTGACTGTAGTGATCACTGTTTAAAATCGGAGTCATCCAATGGCTAGAGAGTTGATTATGGGCTTGTCATTTTAATAAATGTTTAAATAATAGTTTACATAACATTTGAAGCCAAATTAAAGACCTGCAATAGGAAGATGTAGGTCTTACATAATGCATCTTTAATCAATTAATTAGTGTTTCTATTGTTAATTGTTTTTTTCTTAAAAGGCTTCCTATACATATACATGTAGGTATAGGACATATCATGACGCAGGTTAGAGTCTTTCAGAATAGCTTTCAGTTGATGGATAATGGACTGTTTTACATATTATCATTTCATCCAGTTTTCATCTTTTACCATTGGAGTTAGGTAATGCCTAGCTATCCATAATGAGTGCTAGGTTACAGCAAAATCTCTAAAGTTTTCTATTCTTCAGAAAGATATATTCTTCTCAATTTTCATTTTCCAGTTTAGCGACTTAATGAAGGTAAACCTAAGATATGCCCTACCAGATTCACAGAGTACCCTTAAACAAGACTCACTAGGTACTCCGGTGTCCATAGACACAACCTCTACACTGTCCACGGAAGACCAACTGGCAGCCTCAGAAGAACTGTGGAGAGATCGAAGTGGTAGCACATCATCACTCAACACACCAACATCAGAGAGTGCTGAAGAGAAGCGTAAATCTTTTGCCACCAAGTCCTACTCATTTGGTGACCTGGGACCAACTTTATCAACAGATTCTGATGAAGCGAGGAGGAAAAGGTAAATTAATATTAGTCCTCTAGTTTGAGAAATAAGATAGTCCTTAGCTATGTCCATCTATGTCTGTTTTATTTTTAAATAGGTCAGTGTAGGGGTGTGTACCATGTTGCTAATTACCTTACACAGAAGAAATTCAAGAATTGTTAACTTTAAACCCATTCATAACAAACCTCTTTTTTCTCAAGCATTACCGGTATGCTGCACCAGAATCCAGCAAATGAAATAGCACACCATAACCATGTACAATAAATCATTTTTATTAAGGAACATTTCCTCTACTGTTATTTGACAGACTTGTCTGTGATTAGACAAGATAATATTGTATAATGCATGTGAAGGTTATGAATCAAGCTGATGAACTCATCGATGTGCACAGTGACATATTCTAGTATGTTTGTACAACCACCTTTCATTGACTTTAGTAATCACCTAGTGAGATTGCTGCTTCCTGCCATTGATTAATATGATATTTTTCAAATAATGTTTGCTTGTAGTTGAGAGAACTATAGTTAATTAAAAATTGTTATCAGCAACTGAACTTGCATATTAAAAGCTATTGGTAGTAAAAAACATGTCCAGCTGTAGAGTTTTAGCGGCATGACACATGCAAAGGAGGAGTTATAATGCATTTAATGCTTGTTAAAGGGCAAAATGGATATAAAAATGTTATTGTGTAAAGTTATCTTCGTACCCAGTAAACCATGTTAGTGTTTTTGGACAATCTTAAACTTTGCCCAAAGTAAAGAGATGTAATTAAAATTTGTGTAAATGATATAAATATAGAAGTTTGCCATGCAACTAAGTAGACTGTGAAAATCTTATCATTAAAATAGAAGACAAATTACAGTTTAAATCCATCAGATAGAATCAGAAGCGAAGAAGGTAGTAACAACCTAATATGAGTACTAGTTACTTCTCTGTCTTCCGATTTTCAAATTGACTACTTTTTGATTGAGATTTCACTGTTCCATTATAAACTGGAAGATAAAAATCAAAAATGTTTGAATTAAGAGCAATGTATTTTGATTATTGATAGTTGAAATCCACGTCATAAATCTTATCTCTTAAGTTACTCTTAACATAACCTGTCACACTGCAACGTGAATATGAATATATCTGAACTGGTATGTAGTAATGTTCTTTTTAAGGCATGTGCATTTACAATGTAGGAAGGAAATATAATATTTGTATTTTTTTATCTGTTTGTTTTAAAGGTTTAAAAACATAAAGAGATCATCAGCTGTACCCCCACCCCGACCGCCACCACCAAGATTATTAACACAAGTAGAAAAAGATGTCACAAATCCGAGTAACTTTCTTAAAAAATCATTCCAAGTTTACATTCCTCATCATGTTTAATTTTTTTTATTTAAATGGACAAGACCTTTTGGATTTGATGTGTTATTTCAAGAGAGAAATCTATTGTAAAAGAGATTGTGAAAGATCCCATTCACAACACAGCTTAGGAACTTAGGAAGGACTTCCTTTTGTTTTATACTCAAAAGCTTAATTTGACTGAATCTGCAGATTTTAAATTATAATGTATAGAGATGTTCCCCACAATAACTCAAACAGGTCTTTTCGTTTACCTGTTGCTATTTATTTTAAAAAGGCATTTTGTCAAGTTATCAAATGGTTTCTAATATTGTAGTTAAGTTTTTAGATACCAATGCAACATTTAATGAGGACCAAAATTGTTGTCACTTCTGCATCCATCTACGTCACTGTACAGGTCAAAGTTCCGAAAAGGTTAAATAAACTGAAATGGGGTTTAATGTCCTACCTTTATGCACCAACCGGGTTTACAAAGATGGGTATATACCATGCAGTTTTCTCAATCAATACACCTAGAAGCTTTTCCGTTTCCTTCAAAACTGTAGCTATTTTTCATTTGTTCGTGATAGAAAACATTATGGAAATTAAGAATTTCCTGATACCAAATTACAGAATTCATGTTCAAACTTATGAAAGAATGTTAATGTCATATATTGGTGTTGTTCTGGACTGTTGATTTGTCCGATTCCTTGGTCAACCTTGCAGACCATATGAGTTATGCCATAATCCCTATCTTTATTATTAAAATGTAAAAGTATCTAGTAGGCTGGAGTAATTTTTCTATCAGTCTTGATCAAGAGAGTGTGAGTGCATAATTTAATGATCTCAAAATGAGTTTAATATGTTGTATTTCTTTGTTTCGTCCTTATTTAAAAATTGTATTGTCAACTTCTTTATATTTACTGTGATGCTGGTATAGTTTTGTGTGCATAATATTTCAAGTAATTTTGATAGTCTTTATTCTACTGTATATTATCTCTGCTTTGGCTACAACAAATTTTAAAGTGGACAATAGCATTTATTGTGTACATATATATTATTGTATATATATATACGGTAATTAGCTGTCTGGTTATTCGGTTGTACAGTTCAAGCAATGAATCCACCAGTAAACAATGCATTTCAAATACAAAACGAGTGTCATATTTCCTTTCCACCAATTGTAAGATATACAAGAATCTCTGTTCATTCGTTCGTTTTACGTCCACTTTCCCCTAGGGGAGAATCTGTATAGGATCTTTGACACTATATACAAATTTATCTCTATTTAGCACAAACTAATTTCACAAGGAATAATCAGACAAGTTTTGATATATTATTCACTGTGGATTTTTATAACTGTCATCAGTTGGTCTGTGATGAACTTAAGACAGGTCAAATGTTGTTCCCATACTGAAAAAATAGCCTCATAAGGCATATTTGTAACCACCACTTTGATCGATGTAGCAACTTTGCTGCTGGTAGCAGTATATGGGGGCAGAAAAGGTCCTGTATAAATATGTGATTGTATGAGTCTTAGACTTTGTGATGTTCTATTATGTTGTTTTATTTTTTAAAAGTTTTTCTTTTATTATAAAATATATTTATTACATTTATTATATGTTTCAAGCTTTTTTAAATGAATCTCGTTTTCTTTTTGTTCATCATTATCAGTATTTTGTTAGCTGTTTTTAAAAACATATTCCTTTCAATTCTAGTGATAGGAAATTCTGTATTATTAGTGATGTATATGTTGTTTTCTTTGGAATTAGCCAATAGATGGTTGTTAATGGGTCATTGTCATAAATTATATACAAACACATGTGCAATATTGGTGATAGGTCTATAACCTAAGCCTATTATTATTTATAATGTATATCAATCTGTTCCATGTTTAGTTATTTTGTTTTCAAAAGTAAGTAAATAATTGTTGAAAAGTTAAATTGTCCTACTTATCTTTTTAAAGATACATTTACAGTCTCACGTAAATCTGTTTTCATTAAAATGTTGTTCAGTTGTCTTGGGTTTTTTTTTTATCTTTTTATATTCGGTATATTATATTTTACCTGACTAATTTTACATAAAATTTCATAATTTTTATTAATGTATCCCATTCAAAGTGCTTAAGTAGAAATTGCTAACCATCAATTAATAGTAACTGTAATGAAGCTGAAGTTTCATCACTCTCACCAAAATTTATCGTGTTTCAAAGCATCGACAAAATAAATTGCTTATTTCTGCATAGCCTAGACACAAAAATGTTTGTAATGGAATCCAGTCAAGACATTCACCTAATGATAATCTACATTAAGTATGGACATTTTACCTAAATTTGAAGCCAAGTTATTGTGTTCCAAAGTCACGATCAATCAAATTGCTTTACTAAGCAGAGAGAATGCTCATCTTCGAACTTTGTCAAGACATTCGCCTAATGAAGATCTACATTAAGATTAAATAATATCTTCCAAGTGTTTGGTGAAGTATTTCAGTATTTGTATATTCGATCGCATACCTCATATTCGAATACTAGTCAGATACTCGAATTGTCAGCTAAGATCTATCTATCATGACGTCTTCCTTTATCTTATAATCCATTACATGGTGAAGTGTATCAACTAAATATGTTCACTAACTGCACTATTACACTGGCTACATTACCAACTGTCCATTTTTGGGGCTCAGTTTCAGATGCATTAGGAAAGCAAATGATGTGGGGGTTGTAAATGGTATCGCATTTATGCTGAAAATAATAAAATATAGTATACTATAGATAGAGGCAACTAAGATTATACAATTTCCAATTAAGGGAGAAAGTCAATGCTATTGTCTTGTTGGTAGTCATTTGTCCGTTTGTAGGAACGGCTTGAACAATTTTACAATGCCTTAAAGTAGCTAAATCGCTAATAGTTGGGACCTAGAAATTAACACATACGGGTTGTAAGGCATATAATAATGTAATATGAATGTATACATTCAATCCTTTCTTTTTTTACTGTAATTTCTAATCAGTTATGTTCGGTGAAACACGCCAGAAGTCTCAATCGAATGGCAATCTCTAGCGGCACACTGGTTGAGAATCACTGGGTTAAGGTATAAACCTGTGTAATTGGAGACAAAAGAGTGTAGGTTTAGGGTATAAAGGGAAATGCCGAGGGTAAATTTAGAACTAAATAGCCCTTTTGGATTCGCGAGAGAGCGTGTGGGTCGGTATTAGGTTCTAAATGAAGATTTAGAATAAAACAGTGTGCCTTGAAATATTGCGGGTAGCGAATGCAATGGTAGCTGCAAATATTTCCAGATTTCGTGTTGTTTTTTTAAAAAGGAGAATGAGTTCAGAGTATGTGTTAAGAGCGGGAAATCACACCCTGGTAAGAAGGGTTATTTAAATTTGGTTCGAATATGCGTTTAGCTGTCGAATAAATTTTGAATTCCAGGATATGCCATGCGTACAGTACATGCAATGTATACGTAAACTATACTTAATGTCAAGGAAAAAGTCAAGAACTTATAAATAAACTGTTATGTTATGTGTTGATGGTAAGTAATATAATAATAACGTACGATTTTGGTTATTAGAACCACGAGTATTATAGGATTTGGTCTCAACCGTGGGGTTTGGTTAGGTAACGAGGAATTTTTTTCTGATATATCATTTAGGTCAACGACCTCCACTCCGATAAAAAAATCACAACACAAAAACAAAAATACCCCCCCCCCCTCTATACTAATAGATTAGTATATATGATTATGTGGAATGTGAAATGTGGGCCTACGGTAACCTATATGTGAATGTAATATTTGAATCGCTGGCAATTGTACGCTAGGCCTACAAGTAATTAAATTATAATAATGTGAATGATTCTGCTATCTAGCCAAAGTCCAAAGGGAAGCAGGAAAAGCATGTTCACTTAATTATTGTAACCTACGGTGGCTGATTTAGGACACGCAAAAAAAAAAAAAATAATATCTAGAGCGCTCGACTTAATTATATCTCGAGCGCGTGAGATACTAATTAAGTCGAGCGCTCGAGATAATTAAGTCGAGCGCTCCAGATACTCTGTAAAAAAACCTCGATATATACAATTATTGACTCGTATAATAACGTGCGATATACTCCCTACTTGGAAGCGGGTAAATATAACGGGAAATAGTGGTGGTGATGAGCATGGGATGGAGTGTGTGTGTGGGTGTGTGTGTGTGCGTGTGTCAAGGGGGGGGGGGCGCTCCGTCACTGCAGCTTTGGATGGGCTGTAAAACGAACAAATGAAATGGAGTTTATATAACGTCCTACTGTTCTGCTCCTAACCTGGGCTAATGAAGACGGGCATACGCCATACAGTGTGCTATGAGGGAAATTTTGCCCGGACAGCGGCACTACGGCCTACTCTTATATCGAATTCCAACTGCCAAGGGATCTTTTACGTGCACGCCAATGTGTACACGGGACCTCGGTTTTTCGTCCAATCCGAACGACTAGACAGCTTTCCTTGTCAGCCCCTCCGTCCTGCATCACAGACAAGGGAGAACCACGCCGGAAAATCTGGATGAACTTTCTCGGCTAATGCAGGGATCGAACACCCGACCTCCAGGCTAGCGAGCTAGCGTCTTACCCACTTAGCCACGTGATCCCCGTAAAACGAACAAATGAATATATTTATTCTGCAAGTTTAAATTATCATTAAATAATGCACGAAATTATACAGATTGACCCGTGTTCGATTGTATTATCTCAATCGAGCGCTCGACTTAGTATCTCGAGCGCTCGACTTAATTATCTAGTGGCACATAAGAGCGTTCCTAATTTAAATAAATATTAAGCCACCGTAGTATAACCTTTGACTTAAGAAAACAATTAAATAATGGTGAATCACGACACTCGTGATATCTAATATCCGGGAGGAGGCTTATGTCATAAGAATGGTTTATTTTTAGATTTTTCTGATACCCTAGATAATCTATCTATCGAAAGGAAATCGAAAGTATAAGGTAGTATTTACAGCATTGATTGCATTCTGAACATCAGAGACACGCTACCTGCGGAGAAGTAAAGGCCAGCTACCATTTAATTTTCGTACGTTAGTTACTTACGCATTGATTGGAGATTATGAGACCGAGTTGGGCAGAAAATATGCAGCCACTTGTCTTCGCCTTGAGTTTATTATTTTTAAATACTGATTTGTCAAATTGTTTACAGTGTTTAGATTACGAAGGAAAACCAGTTGACTGGTAAGTATTAATAATTCATGGTTCCAGCATATAGAACTATACTGTATGTATAACTTTAACTTTTTTATTTGCATATTATTACGTCCATTATACAAAACATACGCATACATTAATATACATGTATACAAAATATATATTTTACATGGAATAATATATTGGAATAACATGATATAATGAAATGAAAATATATAAAATGAGATATATATACGATCTATATGATTATGGATGGTTCCAGGCAGTAGCTTATATCATGGACCTTATAATATAATGTATTATAATTTAAGGTCCATGCCTATATTTACATGGTAACCGACGTACATTTTGAACTCATCATATTTTTAATACTTCCAATATTATCAAACCCTGAATAATTAACAGTTTGGTTGTTATAATATAGCATTAAAGACATACGTTTTAAAGGAGCTAAATCGCTAATTTTGTTTTTGGCACCTAGAAATAGACACTGTGGTAGGGAATGTGGTAGGGTCGCCCTATGTCAGTATGTAGTATGTGCATAAAAAGTTTCAAACTAGTCGCCTAAACCCCTCAATTTATACTTGCTTGGCGTATGCACTATGCAAGCCAATCAATTATTGTGCACGTGCAACCATCGTGCATGCTTCGACTATAAAACTTGGTGCGTATCATTCATTGTGGGGGGAGGGGGGATTGGCCTAGTGATCTAGTGTGCCGTGGTTCGACCTCGAGCTGACTGGTCACCTCTGGCTTGCGGTGTGAGTGTATGTGGCTTGGAGATAGGAGCGCCTTCTCAACCTTGTGGGTTTACTCCGGGTACTCTGGTTTCCTCCCACAGGAAAGACCCCTGCGCGTGCACTAAGATAACAAAAATGAAAAATAAGACAACTTGTCTGTGATATCACCTTCGGTGGAAGCGGACGTTATAGGTAAGGTAATCTTATCATATGTAAGACACAGACCGGTTGTCAGAGTCGATAATCACCTCATATCAACCAGATTGTGTTGATTTTCATTTTCTTTCATTTGGGCTAGATTGTTTGAGCACATTTCTTACTCTTAGATAATAGATTCAGGGGGAAATTTGTATAATAAATATCTACTTGTTGCTTCACTGTGGGGAGCGCTGAATCGATGCACATACTTAACCGTATCGTAATTTAGTCACTTGATTCGTGAGGACGAATTCGGTGATTTTGTTTTTAATTGTAGGTTAACCTGCTGTACAGGATCGATGAATCGATTCACCACAGTGGATTAATTCATTCTTTTGTTTGAGAAATAGACTTTGGCGTATACATTTCATGATTTCGATTTAGTATTTCGGGCAAATCATTTATTTATTTGAGAAAGTAAGGGCACATGTCACATTACCAGAATCCATTGTTTAATTTAAAATAAAAAATATCAAATTATATCTTGTTTATTGTTTGTTTCATGACATAGCTGCCGCTGCATCCAGTATCGATCCCTGTCCTACCTACAGACACAAATGGGTCTCTACGCATACAATAATGTAATATGAATGTACATAAAGTTTATAAACTGATTTACATTCCTTAATTGAGGAATCCTATTCGGATATCTCTAAAGATGATTTTGACATTGCTTCCTTTGATGAAGACAGTCGCCTCTCCTCAGATGAAGAGGAAAGTTAAATTTAGGTTGATTGGGTCTGCAATAAAATGACATAGGTCTATGTTTTAAAAACCCAATACCACTCTTGTTGTAACTGAATAATATGTCCCAATCTTTATTCTGGTCAACAAATTGTACTATTTTACAATATTCCAATTAATTGATGATTCAAATTTCATCTTAACACACCTAATTTAAAAAATTGGAAAAATTCAACTAAATGATTTGAAAAGCCTGACGTAAAGCTTTTCAAATGTGACTTGGATTTAAAAATATTTTTAAACCCTTTGGACAAGTAAAATAGGATTTAATGGATAATTTACACAACAGGTAGGACACTAACACATCTAGTACTTAGAATAAGGCTATTTTTTATTTTCTGGAGCTGTCAAGCCAGCAAAGAGTGTTATTGTCCCTTTAAATGATTTTTAGTATGAAGGCAGTGGGCGATAATTACTGTATCACTGTTAATATCAAGATGAAAATTAGCATTCCGGCCATATTTTACTGCTTGTCACTTATTTTTGATGTATTGGACACCTGCTGTTCTTAATTTCATTTACCACCAAAAATATTCATTCATAAGTTAGTGGTGTGTATGGTATGGCAGCCTTCCTGTTGATAATTAGGGTTTTAAATCAACAAATTAAAGATCAAAAGTGTGATGAAATGAACTAAAAATATTGAACCATTCGGAAGTAATCGCTGGATTTGCCATACAGGCGTAACTCATTCAACGAATTTCACTTGACATTTAAAATAAGAGTATGAGTATAGGTCATAGTACCCCTGTCCATGCAAAATGTCCCTCATAGCACACTGTATGTCATTTTTCATTAGCCCAGGCCAGTCGGTGCAGAAAAGCAGAACGTTAAACACCATTTCATTTAAAATAAGACTGTAAAATCTCTTTTTATCCCTTAAAATAGAGGTGTTTTATAGATAAGTGGTTGTTTGAAGGTCCAATAGGAGTGGTGATGGGTGAACGGAAACATTCTAATTGGTGACCTTTGACCTCTTAGATTCAGTGGCCTTTACACAACAAATTTTGTTCTTAATTTAGTGATTCTAACTTGTGTTATCTATCAGTCCATTGTAATGTTAGTTTCACAGATGCACCTTTCATGCTGAATAAATCAGTAATTAGTACTAATTGACCTTGTTCTTAAATGACCTTTCCACCAAAAATCCCATTCTTAATTAAGTTATATTTCCTTATTCAGGGCACTTGTGAAACTAGATAACAAACCTTAATCTCTCAACCCTCCGTGTTTCGAGATAAGAGATGAGGCCATTATTGCATTTGTAAACAAAATTGACAATATTTTTAATCAAAACAACGATTGGTTATTGTTATTTATAATATTTCTGCCACACCCAACTACAATTAAGCATATAATCCTACCTGAAACGGGTACAAATCCCCTCTTTTTAAATCAAAGCGACAGTAGATCGCCTTTTCCGACATTTTAAATTTACGTCTGTACACACATAAAGGGGGGGCCTCGTGTGCAATAGCCAATCAAAGTACCCATCTGATCAGAGTTGCGCAGTAGGTATTACGGCGTAATTATGAACGTCCGAATCAATTTTGATAAAAACAACGCTTGATTTACTTTATTGTCAATATTTGCTAATAAATGAATGTTGTTTCAGTAGATTGGACTGCGTATGTGTAATAAGTACTAATAGTATAAAATTAACTTATTTTTAAGATGGCATCCAATCGTAGCTAAAAACAAGCACATCAGTATATCTCAGCGTTTTTAGTTACGTTGTCGTAGCTATTGTGAAACTTGCAGCTTCCATATGTTGAATAAACCAATTTTGAGTTGGTACTATGGGTGGCACCCCCTACCACATCCACCACTGACACAACTTAAGAATTGGGTTTCTGGGGTCTCCCATCCCAGCCATACACCACTAGCATCCTAAATCTTCTGCATCTTCCATGTTGAACAAAACTCGCCTAGCTCCTGGACTATATATGAAACCCCAAGTTATTCCGAGAATTTTTACAAATCTTTTCTTTTTATGGTCATTATAATAAGAATGGATGATTTTAGCTATAAATATGAAGTTTTAAACAATTCCGTATATAATAAATATGAATGAGAGAGAAAAAAATGTAAATATTTGTAAAGGACATACTTCGCGTAATGATATTTTTTAATGTTGTATACTATCAGAAAAATGTATTATTTTTATATTCTCATATAGATATCATGTTTATATACATTGTCAGCTAGCTAATGCCAAATCATTCATTATGATTTAAAATAATCAAACAAACACATCTATGTTCAATGGATACAACACAAAATCATTAACAGTGCCTATTGAATGATCATTGACACAGCGCAATTCATAACCGTGCTGTGAACACTTGTCTTGGCTATACTACTAAAAGTGAAAAAGTTGAATTTCATGATACACCCTGTTGAAGACAATAGGGACCAGAATACATCAAAGAAAAGGAAAAAATACTGAAAATAATTATTACATTACTTTGTTGACCCGATAGTACAAAAATATGTATATGTTTCTGATTTTAATCTTAAAAGATCTATGAGTTTATATGACACATAATGACTAATATGTATGATACAATATGTTGACTATGACTAGATAACAGCTGATCAATTTAAGCTTTGGAGATTACCCCAAAATTTTTATATTTTAATATATTGTTTTTCAGGTTTGTTGTATACAAGTTACCAAAATTAGATCAAAATAAATCGAGCCCTATTCTTCATCATGGGTTAGGTCATTTTTATCTGGATGCCAATAATCCAGAATTTCAACTATCAAAATATTCTTTGAACTCTTCAAATGATGCCATTTATTACACTCTACAACAGATTTACACTGCCAAGGTATTGATACGAAAAGTTTATTTGCAAAATTTAATATAAAAACTCAATTTATATGGAAAACAATCACTGATTTTATTTCACGCTACTTTTCAACAAGTTCCTCTTGTTGTTCTCAAGTAAGTAATGACAGTATAATAGCAAGAAATCAAATTATATACAACAAGGTAACAAAAACAGTAACTAATGTGAAACCGTCTAAGGGCTAATAAAAAGGACAATAATAACAATACAAAATGGACATCAAAGATATTGATTAAGGATTATTTAAGATATCATAACTCCTTGACCTTGGAAGATATAATCCCTCGTCTCTATATTAAGTTCAGGATTAAATCTCTTGATTCAGATATTTAATTTTCCAAAATGCCAAAAAAGTGATTTTTTATGACCCTTAAAATGGCTAAATCTCTTTGATTTTCCAATTTTATTTGATTTTATATGTTGTTCTCTTTTGTGGGATGACAATTTGGCTTTGTTTAATTAATAAAATTTAATGTCTATAGATAAAGCTAATGATGAGATAGAACTGATTTTATGTCCCTCCGTTGACACAGCAAGTCATAATGTAAACTAAAATTGGTAAAATCTCTTGAAACATTTGAAATAAGACATCACATAAACCCAAATTAGCATTTTATTTTGATCTAAATTATAATGCAACAACATTTATCGACTGCTCGGATGACTAGCTGCTGTGGGAGTATATTTCATTGCAAAATTACATTGTTATTTTAATTTAGGATGACTCAATATTATATGGTATGTATAATGATGAACCACCAACCCAATATGGATCCGTCACCAATGGCCATACAAAAGGTAGAAGTTAGCCTTTAATCATTAATCTGCAAAATAATTATACAAAATATACTAAACAGCAAAAAAAACGTCAGTACGATTTCAAAATCAGAGGCACTTTAATCAAATCATTCTAGAAAACGACTTACTAAATAGATCAAAGCAATTTTTTGTAAACAGTATGTTGACACATTAGTGATTAATTCATCACAATTCCAAGACATTACGAGAAGGTTTAGAGTCTGTACACAGTCTATACATCAGTATCTGGTGTGTCCACAGCGAGTGTCAATAACAGCAGCGCAGCGTCTGTACATGGAGTGAATCAGACGATTGATGAACGCCATTGGCACCTGGAACCACAGCTTGGCACAATCCATCAGCTGTGTTTGGTCTCAGTACGATGTTATTAAGTCTCCTCTGAATTTCATCCCAAAGATGTTCAATCAGGTTTAAGTCCGAACTAAGGGCTGGCCAGTGCATAACGTTGACACCGTTCTGCCGTAGAAAGTCCCGAGTAACTCTGGCGGCATGGGCGTTGTCATGCTGGAAAACGTTGTTTCGATGACATGCGAAATGTGGTATTACGTGGGGTCTGAGAGCTTGATCGATGTAGCACACTGCTGTGATGCCACCTCCTCTCCCTGGACAAAGATTTTGGAACACCACATTACCCACTCTCTGGTTCTGGCTGATTCCACCCCAAACCATTATGCTTGAATCTGCCCATGAGTCTCGTTCCATGACCTATTTCTCAGAATAACGCTGGCCACGTCGACGCCATATTCTGATCCTGCCATCTGTGAACTGACTCTCATCTGTGAACTTATCGGTACTGATGGGTCTTTCGTGTGTTCCCACTGTCTGACGTGCCGTCTCAGATGCCTGTGTAAAGGGATTCTGCCCGTGCTGTCGCACAACATGGTGGTCTTGTCGCCTTGTGGTAACCCTTGGTCTACCAGTTCGGGGGTGATTATCTGTGGTGTTGGTGGCCCGAAAGCATTGCTGAACCTGTAGATGGTCTGCACATTGACCTGGAAGTGATTGGCAACGGTTTGGGCAGTGTGGCCAGCATCGAGTCTTCCAAGGGCCTGGTTCCTCTGAGCTGTCGTGAGTCGTGGCATGCTGCTGACGTTGTAGTGTGGATAATTCAACCAAGTATGGGGGTACATTTTATAGGGCTGGTCCCGGTGAACAGCACATGCAGCATGAGTTAAGTGAAAATGATGGAGAACACATTACCATCTCAGAAGTCAGGTTGCGTTTTTGAGAACATTTCCTGGGTTCAATTCTGTGTTTGGGAAGGGGCCTTATTGCTCAGGCAAAGTTGGAGATGTGGTCACATATATACAATAAAAACATTTGGCAAGATTTATGCAATGCGTCTATTCAGACTCAGAGTAACATACCAACCTGACGCTTCTTTTTGCTGCTTTGTATATATAATATTGTAGAATGAGGGACAAAATGAAAATTGATAGATAAATTTGGTGTTGAGAGGAGTGAGGTCAGGAATTGGGTCATTAAAGGACTATTATGCTGTTGTCACAGGGCCAGAAACAGCACATAATAAGAACTATTCTAATTACATTTCTGATGGAATGTTAACAATATCAGAAGTAATCATAAATAAGACTAACCTGTTATTTTTAGGTGCATGTGATGGGGGCCTTCATTGAGGAATAGGACGTGAGTGATATCATTTTTCGTCATAAAATACATGCAAATATCATATTTGATACAGGGATCTTAATTGGGAGATTATAGGTGGCTGCAGGCTTTAATGTTTGAAAAAAAAACAATTCATAAAATTTAAGATAAATGTATATTATAGGTGTGATAGCAAGTAATGAAAATCAAGGCTATTGGTTGGTACACAGTGTACCCAAATACCCTCCACGTAAAAGTGAATCTTACACCTGGCCAGAAAGTGCGACAATTTATGGTCAGAACTTCTTATGTATCACAATTGATTATGAGACAGTTGACAAGATAGGTATGTAGTCTTACAAAACATAACATCACTGTGTATACAAAACTTTGTGCTTGTACTGTGATAGCTGTTCTTCATATATAGACTCTGTCGAGCTTGTTAGATCAAATGCTATCACATGACCTGCTCTGTTTCAGTTTTGTTAAGATAGAGACGACAGAAATACCCTCATGTCACAGGCAGCCATTTTTACTTGTAGAGCAAGGTTGTAATTAATAACAATACCAAAATTTAATCAGCCAAGATGTGAACATTATTTAAATTTGAATATTTGCGTGAGCACTGCAACTTTTCAGGGTAGGATGAAAAACTTAGATCCACCAAATAATATAATGTTAGCTACCTTTAAAGGAGCTAAATCGCTAATATTTTGGACCTAGAAATTGGCACAAATGGGTCGCAACACATATAATAATGTAATATGAATTTATATAAACTGTTTTACATTCAATCGTGTCTGTTTTACTGTGAATTGTCATTAGTTATGTTCGGCGAAATACGCCAGAAGTCTCAACCGCAAGTCAGTTTCTAGCGTCTGGTTATGCCAGTCAACACCAAAATTATTTATTGCGCATGCTCTCCAAATAAGAATATGTTATCACCGTTTGACATGACTTGTGGAATATGTCTAGCCCCATTCTTTGAGCACCTTGTTACAAATGGCGCTGAAACTCATTATGGTACACGATTCGTGTACCAATGGTAAAGTGTTTATTTTGTCTTAAATATTGGATATCAGAAGCCCATCTTTTCCAGGTAAGATCACAACACCAATGCTGATTTAAATTGCAAAAAAAATCTTGTTTTCAATGTCGAAGATTTTGGATGATATTGAGTTAGGGACTTAGCTACTTTAAGTGTTTGTAACTTTAACTATGGGACTATTAAAATGGATCTGTCTGTCTCTCCTTCTAACTGAGCTAGAATGTTCAAACTTGGTATAGGTGTTTATTACGTGAATGCCTTGATGGAGTTCGAAGGTGAGCATTTTCTGCTTAGGGTAAGTAGAGATAAGCAAAATGATTGGTTGATGCTTTGGGACACGATAACTTTGGTTCAAATTGAGTGAGAGTGATCAAACTTGGCGGATAGTTTCGTCACATCAGTACCTTGACTAAGTTCGATAATGAGCATTTTCAGCTCAGGATATGCAGAGCAATAAGCAATTTGATTTGTTGAGACTTTGAAGCTCAACTACTATGTTTCTAATTCAGTGATAGTGGTGAAACTTCATGTATAGTTTCTTTACATCAATACCTTACTTAACAAAGTTTTATGCTCAGCATTTTCTGCTTAGGCAAAGTAGAGACTTCAATCTGATTGGTCGAGGCTTTGAAACACAATAACTTTCCTAACTGAGGTAGAATGTTCAAACTTGGTGTAGGTGTCTATTAAGTAAATGCCTTAGACTAAGCAGGAATAAGCAGTTTTATTGGTTGAGACCATGGAACACTATAATTTTGGTTCTAATTGGGCGAGACCGATGAAACTTTTGAGTTCATTATATCAATATCTTGACTAACTTCCATGATGAGAATTTTCTACTTGGGCTAAGTAGCGACAAGCAATTTAATTGGACAAGACTTTGGAACATAACAACTGTTCTTTTAACTGAGGTAGAATGTTTAAAATTGGTGTAGATGTTCATTAGGTGAATGTCTTGACTGAGTTCAATGATTAACATTTCATTGTTCGATGCTTTGGAACAAGATAACTTTGATTTTAACTGATGGAAAGTGATGAAACTTAGTGTATATAGTTTCACTACCAGGTACTTCAAAACCTTGACTGAGTTTGAATGTGAATATTTTATGATAAGACTAAGTATAGATAATCAATTTGATTGTTCGATACTTTTGAAAAAGATAAATGTGCAATTAATTAATATGTGTAATCTATTTATTTTTTGATTTTGGCAGGGGATATCAGCCTCACTGTTGTCTTGTTTACATTTCAGGAAAGCAGTATTTGTATAATTATCCCAAGTTTTATGATAAATATATGCCACCACAATTTGCTGATGACAATCCAAATATGGTTAAGGCTTTTGGGAAATTACATGTTCAGTCTCCACCATGGAACAACACGGCTGGTTTCAATTCAAGTGGTGGAACTCAATTTTACAGTTTTGCAAAGTTTTGTAATTTTGAAAGAGGTGTGATATATAGCTTTTACCTTAAATCATAAATTATTTCTTGATTAGTAGGAGGAAGAATAAGTGGTTATGTTACTGGTTATTATTATTATTTTTTATAGGTTCACATTATAATGTTTGTTTATGTATATTGCTGTCGCCCCTGTCTCTGTGTGTGTGTGTGTGTTTGAGTGTCTGTTTGTTGTCTACAGGTCACATTTCTTAATGGATGCACTTGAAACTTTACATACTTATTCACCCTAAAGATTATCATTATTGTTTTTGGTGCATGCCCAACCCCCAGTGGCAGAGCCATGCCCATTTTCTTTTTGTGTGTCGCCTACAGGCCGCAATTCTTAACTGATCACCATGAAACTTTACATACTTATTCCTTATTCCCAAGAATGATCCCTATTGTTTTTGGTGCAGAGATACACCCATTTTTTGAATCAGTTTGTCGTCCACAGGCCGCATTTCTTAACGGATCCACTTCAAACTTTGCATACTTATTCCTTATACCCTAAGGATCATCCCTATTGTTTTTGCTGCATGTGTGTCTGTGTGTTGCCTGCAGGCCACGATTCTTAATGGATTGTCTTGGAACTTGGCATATGTATTCCCTATAGACTAAAGACAACAACTGCATATCCCGACACCAAGGGGCAGAGCCACACCCCATTTTTGTGTTAATCTTATACAGGCCGCAATTCTGAATGGATCTGCTTGGAACTTGGCATATGTATGCCTTATAGCCTAAGGGTTGCAACTATTGATTTTGTTGCACACCCCGACTCCCAGGGGCAGGGTCACGCCCCAACTTTGCTTTTAGCACCCAAAGGCCACAATTCTAAATGGATTATCTTGGAACTTGGTATACTTATTCCTTATACCCTAAGGATGGCAACTATTGATGTTGGTACCACACCCACGTTTTGTTGATAATTTGGCTGTAAATGATATTCAGGATGCAATTATTAACAGATTTGGATCCAATTCGGAATGATCCACCATAGGGTTGTACCTATTTATATTGATCCATGTCCAACCCCCAGGGGCAGAGCCACACTCAATTTTTGTGGTTTTTGTCTACAGACTGGAATTCTAAATGGATCATCTTGGAACTTGGTGTATTTATTCCTTATACTGTAAGGATAGCAACTATTTATTTTGGTGCATGTCCCATCCCCCAGTGGTGTGGTACCACATCCACTTTTTTGTTAATTTTTATCTGTATTTATTGTCTATAGGCTGCAATTCTGCAATTCTTTAAACAGTAAAGACAGCAACTATTTATTTTGGTGCATGCCCCGACCCCCTGGGGCGGGGGGCACACCAACTTTTTTGTTAATATATAGTCTGTAAATTTGGTAAAACAAACCCAATGTCTAACCTTCTTTGCCTCTTGTCATATTACATTCATTGCAACCATTTCATCTTTCATTCTCTTCATTTTAAAAAGTACCATATCAATCAAAGCAAGAATGTGGACGTATATTTCAGCGTTAGTAATGCTCTTGTTTTTTGTGGCTGGTGTTCTGAAAACTGCAATGTAGACATATTCCCTCTCTCTGTCTCTCTCTCTCCCTCCCCCCACCATCGCATTTTTGCAGTTAAAGCTTGAAAACACAGCACAGAATATTTAATAATTTGCTGTAATTGTTTATTCAGGCCTCAATTTATGAAATCTTGTTATGACTAGAAATTTTAAAACTTGATGGACTTGGTGATTGGGGCATCAGCAAAAATCCTATAGAATTTCCAAATTTTTAATGGTCTTGAATATCGGGGTACCTCCCCCAATATTTTCAAATGCTTAATACAATGGCTGGATTTATTCTTTAAAGGAAAGGTTCATGTAAACAAGACATATTGTATATAATTCTGATAATTAAAAACAATATTGTTACATTTATAATGAAGATACAAATTGGTTGTGAACGCCAACATGTGTGACATCATAGTGCACTACGTATTACATCATCTAGTCCAGATCTAGTTCACTTACCTTTAGAATAGTTTGTTGTTCAAAATAATTTTTTCCAACTTCCAATTAACGTTTCCGACAATTTATTCTTTGTGACTAAAGCTGAACATATTTGGAATGGCATCTGGTTTTAAACATTAACTAAGTCTTGCCCCAACAATTCACCACACAAACCCCGCACACAACTATCATTACCGAAATAGTCGGAAAGCAAGAGTCTTGTTGCTGAACTTAAATTTGTCTATATTTTATGACTGGTACACCAGTGTTCGTTTCTGCAGGTCATCTGGGTGGGATGGGAATTTTAAAATAGGTCACTTTCCTAATTTTGCAGGTCTTATTTAAGTACCCATAAGCTGCATGTCATTTGTATAGCTGTTGCATTCTGAACGTCAATAGTTTGTCGAAATAATTAGTAATCTTATTCTTAGTTTGGATTGGTTGAGAATAAGGGATGGACAGGAACATGGTGCACTCCTTTGTAATGACATTTATTTAATAAAATGAGCCTATTTGGTCTTTAATGTTTAATAATTTTTTAATTTTTCAACACAAAAGTAGGCCTACTTTTTGACAGAGTATTTATTATGATTAAGCAAAATAATCAGCCTGGTTGAACATTTCCTTAAAACCAACCCACATTTATATTTATATTGTTTCTGATTGAGCAATTTTAACAGTTTGTTCATTTATATATTTAAACATACATTATGCAAGAGCTAAATCTGTCTATTGCAGGTCTTTCTTTAGGCCTGAAATGTTATCTAAATTATTAATTAGACATTAATTAACCTATCCAGACCATAATCAACTCTAGATGGCATCGTTAGCCTCCGATCTTTGGAGGATTATGATCCAATTTACTGCATAACTTTCCTTCCCGATTTAACGATTAAATGGATAATCAAGACTATGGTGTTTATCTTACTGACTTTAGTAATGATGATCGAGGCTAGGCGAAAATTTCAATCGCTTAGTTCTCGGTTCATAGTGGATCAATTTGAATGAAATTTTCAGCAAATTGCCTTTACATTATCTAGTTTTTAACTATTATAGTGAGAACTGCCAACTCGTTATCGAATCTCCCATAATGTATCTTTAATTATTTTGAAGATTTATATGCTGCCTGGCTTGCTCCATATTTTAAGTCTGCCATGTACGCAGAAACCTGGCAGGATGGAAGAGGAAAATTACCTTCAAACTGTTCGGCCACTTATAAGGTAGATAAAATATTTTTCTGTCAATTTCAATACTTTATTTAACTTTAAAGAAAAGAATAATTAACATGCCTAAGTATTTATATTGGTAATGTATCATCTACTCCATGAAATCTGAATCACTTTAGACCTTGTGTTCTATCCATCATCAATGTGTTCATGATTCTTTAAATGAAAATTCTGTATGTCAGAGTTATTTTCTCATTTACTCTTTTCCTGATGGAAATTTTAAATTGATCTTCATGGCATATATGGATGAACCCTTTTCAATTTCAATGCTTTCTGGTAACAGTTCTATATGCCAACATTTAATGTGGTTGTCATCTTCTCCTTCTAATGTCTGACGGTCATATTATCCGAATGACTAGACTAGACACTGCTTCTTGCAAGGCTCTCCATCTGCAAAATTTTATATGTTATAGGTGTTAAATGTTAGAAATATTTCACTACCTGAAGGTATCAAGTTTACAGAAACAAAAGATCATTCTAAATGGGCCATTACCAGAGATGTTGGCAACTGGGTGTGTATCGGAGATATCAATAGGGAGGTAAGCATAATAAATATGTAGTTGAATTTCGTAATTTGGACCTTTGAAACTTTTGGACCTGGTAATGGTACATATTGCGTTAAAATTAGATAGTCCTGGTGGCTCAGTGGGTAAGGTGCTGGCTCAATAACCAGAGGTCCAGGATTCGATCCCGGTGTTGGTCGAGGAAAGTACCTTAGGAATTTCCACTGTGTTTTCCGCTTGTCTGTGGTGCAGATGGAGGTCATGGCAAGGAACAGCGTCTTGTCTCAGATGGAGAATCAATGTCCTATGTACATGTAAAAGAACCCTTTTATAAAAAGGCAATGTATCTTTAACAAAAATAACCTGTATAATGACATCAAGGTATCAATTCAGACATGTTCGTATAATGTTGACATTGTAAAGGTGGGAAAAATTATGAATGCTACTTTGTGTTTTCAGGAACCACAGGAGAAGCGGGCAGGAGGTACTGTGTGTTTTCAAAATAAAGATGTTTGGAAGAACTATAATAACAGTATATTTGAAGTACAAAACTGTTCTCCTAGATATTCTGTTGTAAATCTCTAATAAAACCCCCCAGATATTTGTTTATCTCCCTTTAAAAGTGGTTTTTCATCAAAAAGTAGTGATATCAAGAATGCTTAGAATATTACGGCACTAATCCCGATAGATTATTTTGTTTCTTAATAATAGCATGTTGTTAGGTTTTGATCAAAAAGTAGTGATATCAAGAACACTTAGAATATTCCATAGATTATTTTGTTTCTTAATCTTGAAACTACTAATACATTCTATTGTCAAGACTTAACTTAAGGTGTTGAAACTAATTATCATGACGATTGCCACTTGCCATAAATGTGTATCTTACTCTTCTGATTCTAAAAAAAAGTGGTTCCTTTAAGTGTAATCATAATATAAATAAGACATTGTTTACCTATATATTGGGGGGGGGGGGGTTGGATGGCTGAATGGTTAGCGTGCGCGCGCTGTATCATAAAGTCTGTCATTGAGTCGACTGGCGTGGTTTCGAATCCCCGGTTGTACGTGACAAGGAGTAGGGTCGCCTGTCCAACCTCGTGGGTTTTCTCCGGGTCCTCCGGTTTCCTCCCACTGCTAAAGACCCCTATGCGCAAGCGAATTATTGAAATAAAATTAAACCATATGTTAGTCCCGAAATGACCTAGTTTGTGTCGAGTGGACATGAAACCCCATTTCTCTCTCTCTCTTTGTTTACCTATTGACTTTAGCTTTATGTTAACAACGAAATTGATTAGCCTAACATCTACCATTGATGATTTTATTGTTTTCTTAGATTTAAGAGGGAAGATATTCAAAATGCTTATTGGAATTAATGTCAGATTCAACACATTAATTTGTTTTTCAAGCATTCTTTTCTTGTTTTATAGTACTCAAGCTTAAACATATTTTTTTTGTGATATATATTGCAATTCTATTGTATTGTACAGCACTGTATGCCCATACTCACTGTAAAGTTGGTAGTGTTCATTAGCATTACTCATTGATCATAGAAAAAATAACAATATATTAGTCTCAAAATGACCAAAATATTGTCTTGACAAGGTGTTAAACTCCATTCCACTCCTATCAAATAAGATGCTTTATTGCTCACCTAGCGGACACACTTTTTATAGTCCTACATTTAATAACAAAGATACTGTTATTGGCTAAAATAGCCCTATATTTTTATACATTTACATTTAATCTTGTCACATATTGTAAATATCCATATAATTTGTTTTCTCATTCTTGGACTTTAAGCAAGTGCCAATTTAATATTTTTTTGTTTCTTACTTTTTCTGATCTGTTCTGTAATTCAAATATATACATGGACATTCTGAACAAATAATGTGGCTTAAACCAAAATTGATTTACATTAAAAATATATTTTGTCTTTCTAATAGTAGTATTGCTCTAAAGATATTGAAATATAATTGTTCAAAGATAAGACATGATTTTGGCACACCCTGTACTCTAGGTTTATTTTGTTTTTTCATTTATTACTTTTAAATATTTAATTCATTTTTATTTACTCACATTTTAATGAAGTTGTATATTGTTAGCGCAGTTAGAGGTTAGAGGCTATAGTATGGGTTGTGTATTTCATTGAAATAGAAGAACAATATTGATTTTCCTTTGTTATTCCCCTTTGTTATGAAATATTGTAGGCACCATATAAAAGGCTTCAATTATCTGATTTTCCTGGAATTTGTACGATTTAACTTATTCAGCGGAGGAATCCTATTGATTTTCAGTGATATTGATCACAACTTTTAAAATGATGTCATTTTGTAAAAATCTTTGAATTGGTACGGGTATCTCATCCTATTGTTGTTCAATATTTTTCAAAAATCATCTTCAGAGTTATATTTGTTACTAAATCAGGTTTTAAATTTATAGTCTGCTATTATTAACCTAGCTGTCATTTTAAAATTTATATTGGTTGTCTATCGGTGCTTTTCATCAAATTTTCATGATAACTTCTAGAGTTATTCCACTTTGTTACAAATTGTTGTTAACTCCTTAAAGACTTTAATTATGTGTATGTGTTGCCTAGATCATAACTGCTTATAGAACTAGCTGATGGTATGCATATGTTTTGTTGCCTGGCAGACTATATGTTTGAAATTGATATGGGTTGTCTATCTAATTGAAACAATTAATTAATAAAGAAGCCCAAAGGTTTTCAACATATTTCAATAATCACCAACTAAATCTATTTAGAACTGCAATTATGGTCATATTGTTCTAAAATTTATGCCCTTCATTTAAAGGAGGGATCATATTTTCAGTTATAACTGCATCAAGAGTTCTTCCCTTAATTAGTTATACAAAATATTGATAGGCGTTTCAAGGCTTTGATCTGATCTTTTTGAAATTTTGATGGGTTGTTAGCTATTATTTATTTTATCCCAATAGGCCTATAATACAGCATACAACCATGAAATCTTTGAAATGTGGATGCAAGTATCAAAATTGACACTAGAATAGCCTACTCGAAAATCCAAGATGGCGGTCATTATCAAGATGGTTAACTTTCAGGCAACGAAATACCACTCCATATTGTACTATTTAATCCTTTATATATATTTTAAATTTCATTTAAATCAGACAAAATTTGAAGGCTCTATAACAAAGTAAAATAACAAAGAAGTTGCGGTCTGATATAGACCAAATTTAACTTCCCCAAGATCTTTTGATCCTTAACATATAGGGATGTCAAGTTTCATCTAAATCGGACCCAAAAATGTGGCAAAATTAGAGGGTCCACAACCTTCGTACATATTTCACAAATATTGGTACAAGGTAGGGATAGCCATAATATAAGTTGCGGTCTAATTCGATGTACACAAAAATCGAACCTATCCGAGATATGTGGGACATAAACTTATAGGCCTATACATGGGCACATAAAAATCAGTGGGTATAATTCTGTGAAAGAAAACCTGAAGGTTTCAACCATCTTGGAAATTTTTGCCATTTTGAAAATTCAATCTCAGAGTGATTTTCTTAATATATGACCCAAACAGGACAACTTTGAAAATTTTAGTGTTTGTATCCTGATTTGAACAACTGATTTGATATCTGCATCACTATAACACACATGCTATAGAATATGCTGGTTTCTATATTAACATTTCTTTGCTTTAAAATATATTATTATATAGGCATATTTCTTTTGTTTTGTTTTTTTGTACTGGAATAAAGATTTAAAATCTATTGTTATGTCAGTAATTAAAATGATCCTGCTGAACCAAGCGTAAATGTAAGCGCGCAAGCCACATGCGCTCCCACTCCTCCGGCAACTGCCATATTTTAGTCTTTCCGTTTCCACTTTTGTGATGTTTATTGTAGTCCCCCACCATTGTTATGTCAAACACAATGCAAGATAATCCATAAGTAACTTCAGATTTTATTTGACTGACATTATATCCGTAAAAATTGTGCCCCTTAATTTTCGGGTTTGTCTGCGATATCACCTCGGTTGAAGCGGACGTTAAATAAATCTATTTCACACACAATGATTATTTGACCAGTTTTTCTTTGTGGTAACGCGTTTACATTTTTGAAGCAACGTTTTTTTTTTGATGCAATTAATTGGTCATGACGTTTACCCAAGTAAAATCTCGAGTGGCCGTTGTATTTGATTAAAATCATAGACGTATGCGTAAAGTGTCACTTTTATTGCAATATGTGGATTAGTTATGGTAAGTTATATGTAGTACCCTTTAGGTTCAGATTACTTGGAAATCAAGAGAGTTAGAGGCATGTAAATTAACAAAACCTATTGCAAGTATGGAACATATAATTCATTAGTACATAGAGATGTTTATACCATAAACATTATTGGGCCGACATGTGAATGCTATAGCCTACAAAATCGTACATGAAGCAGGTCTGTGATATCCCCCTGGTTTTATTACAACATTAAATGGAACTGTTTTTCACTCATACGGAAGAACCGATGTTCTGTGTCAAGAAGTTGTTAAAGAAATGATTGGGTTTGGTGGAACAAAAATAAGCCGTTTTATGATTCTGTTAATTTCTAACCAGGATTTTGTAAAACAAAAAAAAAAACAAAAAAAATGTTTTAACATTTATAACCCTTGACAGACATATCCAGTCTTTTTAGCTCCTCACTGACTACTGAATTACTTTATACAGAACAGTTCAGACATGTCACATGACACAATTAAATAAATCTCAGGTTACTAGATGTTTATTTCTGGCGAATTCTCGATGCAGATTCTCTCGTCGCTATTAGGGAATGAAAAACAGTTCAAACTATCTGCGTCACCAACTCGCCTTCACTTTAGCCCCCCCCCCCCCCGATACATATAAAATTCTTCACAACAGATTGGAGCCAATGCCAAACTATACATCCTTGTCAAATGCAACCATACGAATAAGATCAACCAACTAAAATAACGCAAGCAAAATGGCGTGTCCTGTATCTAAAACTTGACGTCGATATTTTCCCAAATATTATCAAAACTTGATCAATCAGTGCAACAATTTTTTAAAAATGTAATTGTTAGAGTAGCATTGCGACGCGCATATATCACATCTATATGTTTGCCGTCTAGATATTTACATGGTACTGGATGAAATAATGTTCAGTGCGTACACGGTGGTACTTTTTACCGCCGACCACCACCGACTACCGCCGACCAAATGCTTTTTACCGCCGACCGTCGTGTAATTACCCCCGACCAAATACTTGTTACCGCCGACCAAAGGGTCAAAGGCACAAACCAATTCACGAAATTCGAACTCAACCGTCATTATGGTGTGACCTGTATAGTTTCCACAAGCTAAAACGCGCCAATATCGCAAGGAAGCGAGATCTTTGGGTTATAAACATAATGGGATAAAAATTGTGACCTCTAGAGTATACAATCAGGGGCCATAATCCACGAAGCCAATATCGAAAGGAACTGAAATCTTTGGGATATAAACCTATATTTCAAGTTATGACCTGTAGAGTGTCCACAAACAAAACGTGAACGAACGGACATAGGCCACGTCCATATACATGTACGTCCACATGAAAATGTGGGCGTATAAAAACGTTTCTTCGATCAAGTGATTGTGACCTCTACATAGGAACCACAGGCTAAAAACGCGATTTGATTTTTCGTACAGTCAAGGGCCACAATTCATGAAGTTATGATCCGATATGCGCAAATATCGAAAGGAACCAAGATCTTTAGGTTATAAATATGTATTTCATGTTTCATCAAAATCGGATAAAAATTGTGAGGTCTAGAGTATCCACAACCTTGATATACCATATTTTTACACTGTTTGCGTACGAGGCGCGGCCATTTTGTCCGGCAGTTTTGGTCCGATTTTCACAAAATTCGAACTCAACCGTCACTATAAGGTGTAACGGTGATATATTCAAACGATGTTTTTTTTTTAAATCGGAATAAAATTGTGACCTCCATAGGGCCTACAAGCTAAATAAACATGATTTTTCGTACAATGCAGGGGCCATAATTCAAGGAGTTACGGTTGGATATGCGCGAATATCGAAAGGAACAAGATCTTTGGGTTATAAACTTTCATTTCAAATTTCAACAAAATCAGATAAAATTGTGATCTCTATAGGGCCCACATGCTAAAAACGCGATTTTTCGAACAATCAAGGGTCATGAATTAAGTTACGGTCCGATACATGCCAATATCGAAAGAACCGAGATCATATATAGGGAGATAAACCTGTATTTTATGATCAGTAGTGGAATACCGCGTTTTATCAGTGAATTAAAGTGTTTTTCCACTGGTTAGTTGTTTTTACCTAAAATGATTGTAAAATAATAAAATAAATAGAACATTTGTCGTTTTGTCGTGAATAACATATTTTAGTTCACCTCTAAGCAAGAAAACGTTTATATTTTCACACATGCTACGCATTCGTGAAAATATAAGTTTTCTTGCTTCTCGATGAAATAAAATATGTTATTCACTCTAAAACGACAAATATCCTCTATATATTTCAAGTTTCGTTGAAATCGAATAAAAAAATAGTGACCTGTAGAGTGTCCACAAACAATTGTGGACGGACGGACGGACGGGGCGACGACAATGTGGGGGCGTATACAAATAGGCGGGTCAAATGACGGCTAAATCATGTCGTACGTAGAACAAATTGCAACAAAAGGTTTTTTTGTTTTCTATTGATTCATTATGATGTCCTAAGTAACGAAAAGAAAGTTTACCAAAATCGGAGTCAAAATAAGGACAGGGGGCGTGGCCAAATCCAAGATGGCGGCTGTCGATCAAAAATTGCAAATATCTCTAAAACTATTGGATTTAGACACCATAAATGTATTGCGGACAGATAGGAAGTCGGTACCAGCGAGTCCAAAAATGGCGACGTTAATGTCTCTACGACGTCATGACGTTACTGTGACGACACAACGGCATATCAGACGTCGCATTTCTTCCAAAATTAGTCCATTTATGTCAATCTGTTTTACAGACCTAATGCGACATCCGTCTTTTATCTCTGTCCAAGATGACTGACCTTTAAATGGTCAGACCGCTGTAGTTCTAAGGGTGACGTCACATCACAATGTTTACCAACAAAGCAAGATGGCATCGATAACGCCAAAAAAAATTACTTCTGTGGCTTGTAAACAAACACGAGCAGGTCAATCAGATTAGACGGTAAAAAATGTACTTCTGAAAGAATTCAGAGTAAACAAACAGAAAAAAACGTCAAATTGATGGTCACACGTGCGTTGTTATTTACATCGAACGTAGTAATATGAACTGGTACGGGCAGAATTATATCGTTCTACCCATTTTCACCTCCGCGTACTATTTTCTGTACCTATTTACGCTAATTATGGAATATTTTTTTATCAAGATATACTTCAAACACCATTATTTATTTTGCTAATACTAAAAAAAAATGTTTCAGAATTTAATTTGTCGAAAGAAAAAAGTTAATATTTTGTAGTCATTAAGTCGCATCAATGTCCTCCTTATCAGTGATTGTAGCGGCCAAGCGAATATTCACTGCGGATCAGTGTGCATTTATGCATGTTAACAGTAAAAACGAATGCTGATTCAGAGAAGAGGGTATGCCCATTATGGGTTGATAAACAAGAACAATGTGTTACAATAACGTAGAAGGAAGCTAAAAGTATATGAATATCGCTGCATTGTCGAAAGGTGATACTATTACAGTAGCCGCAGGAACACGGATTCATTTCAATTGTCGACAAAAATAGCCTATATCAATAAAAAGAAATGAAATGAAATGGGGTGATACATATACGTCCTACTGTTCTGCTCCAACTGGGCTCCACCAGTGTGCTATGAGGAGAGTTTTGCCGTGCAGAGCGCAAAGGCACTCTTATATCGAATTCCAACTGCAAAGGGTGCTTTACTGGAGAACAGAGGCGTAGCCGTGAAATATATATTGGGGGGGGGGGGGGTCCGCAACCCTAACCCCTAGCCCTAACCCATTTTTTAAAACCCCTAAAAAATAGAAACAAACACCATGTGGCCATGCTGTCTACCAAGACAAAGCGTGTAAATGCATTATGGTTACGTTGCTGGCTGAGCGGGCGATAAATATTTGGTTTAGGCGGTTATGTTTTGGGGTACCTACATGCGATTCACTCTGATAAGTGGCAGAAACAAATTAACAAAATATTACTGACAGGCTAACTAGACACAATTTTATGGAACACAGGTACTTTTCACTTCACACATGTTTCCAGGATGATTAGTCTGTGTTTTATTTTAGCAGTATAAACCATATTGGGATATGTACAGGTTTCATACAGATAGAATCTTAACTAATCCTAATAATTGTTGTAAATAAATAGGAGTTTGGGCCTACTATGTAAATTTTTTTGGGGGTCCAAGTATATTTTGACACAGGCGTATTCGAGATGTGTTACAAAAAAAAAGATTTGGCTGTAATGCGACCAGCGCCCCCTGGCAGTGTTCCTAAAGGCATCACTTAAAGAATTACGTTTTGGGGGCCCCGTATATGTGGACAGACAGGGAGTCAATACCACAGAGTTCAAAAAGATGAAAACTGGTCTACCCGACATTTTACGTTTTACCACGGGCTCTAGCTGAGAGTCTGTTGGGGTGTAATTTTCCTGATGAGCCAGGCTAATAGTACTAATCCGGTAGTCAAACACCAGGTTAAGCCTTGCAATGGAAATAAAGCAGGGCCCGTAAGAGAGGGGGGGGGGCGACTGCGACATTTGTCCAGGGTCCCGGAAGTATGCCGAGTAATGGTAATGTTTAAAAAAATACATTTGTTGGTATAAAGTAATAAATAAAAACACACTGTTACTTGATCGTAAAGCAGAAGAAAACCGGTAACCTTTCTGAATGTAGGTATCTAGTTCCATGGGGAAGATTAGAATCGGATTCTGTCAGTTCTACTTTTTGGGAAAAATTGGTAAATTTAAAACTATAAATCACCTGCCCCAGCCTTAGTGCCCTCCCTGGAGCCCAGACCTGTTCTCGTTCCGTTTGATGCTATCGTCATCGTCAGGGTATCCGGGCCTGTAGAACGCTACAATGAATGAATGATCGCTCTAGGTCGGCTGACTCATATCCGATCATTAAGAACGAAACTGAAAGCAAAACTTCTACTTTCGTCTTCGTTTTATTAGGTGCTAAAAATCTCGAGGTTTTTCGACATTTTTGCAAAGTGAGGACCCTTTTCCCACCAATGTGCTTTAGCAAAGTGACCTCCAGTTACCCCAGATATACGCCAAGTGACGCTGACTATGTCTCTTGCGAAGCCTTTCGCCGAGTTGCCTGTCCCAGGGCCTCGATCTCACTGTCGCAGGCCATGAAGGAGCAACATTAAGGAGCTCAGCGACTCAATGTTTGACACCTATTTTGTGCTTGTACTGTGGAAGTGCATTGAATGTTGCATGGACAGGGCTAACCGATTTTCACCTTTTTGGACTCTCTGGTATCGAGTTCCTATCTGTCCACATATAAAGTAATGCTTTTGGGGACACCGCCAGGGGGTGCTGTTCACATTACCGCGAAAGTTGGTTTTGTAACACATCTCGGGTACATCTACGAAACCGGTGTCAAAATATAAATCTTTCTGATGATTTTTGGGCCAAATGTCAAAATTGATCAGCCCCACCCATTCACCCTTTGATGCACTACTTCTCCAGTAAAAGACCTCTTGGCGGATGAAATTCGATATACGAGAAGGCTGTTGCGCCATTGCAGGGAAAATTTTCCCTCATAGTACACTAAGGAAGCCATATCGGAGCAGAACAATAGGATGTATAACCTCATTTCATTTCATTTCTTCAACAATTGAAATGAATCCGTGTTCCTGCAGCTACTCTAATAGTATCACATATCGGCAATCTAGCAGTAGTTCTTTTAGCCCCCTTCTCCGTACTTTTAACATATTGTTCTTCTTTGTCAACCCAACAAAATGGGGACACACTCTTCTCTGCATCAGCATTCGTTTCTGCTGTTAAGATGCGTAAATGAACTAATTTTGGAAGAAATGCGACGTCTGGTATGCCGTTATGACGTCACAGCAACGTCATGACGTCATAGAGACATAACGTCGAAATTTTTGGACTCGCTGATACCGACTTCCTATCTGTCCACAATACACAATACATTTATGGTGTCTAAATCCAATAGCTTTAGAGATATTTGCAATTTTTGATCGACAACCGCCATCTTGGATTTGGCCACGCCCCCTGTCCTTATTTGGACTCCGATTTTTGTAAACTTTCTTTTCCTTTACTTAGGACATCATAATGAGTCAATAGAAATCAAAAAACCTTTTGTTGCAATTTGTTCTACGTCAAATGTTAGTTTGACCCGCCTAAAACATCAAAGGGTGACGTCATGTCAATGTTTTAAATGATAAGACCTGATAGGCTCACCACGATTACTCCACGATTAAAAACACGATTTCTATCGTGTGTAGCGCGAATGGTGACAGCTGAACGTAGGCTTAATAGGAAGCTTTTCGGGATTATGGTTTATTTTTAGATTTTTCTGATACGTCTGGATAACCTATCTATCGAAAGTAAAACGATTGGACAGGATGGGACCGAGTTAGATACAAAATATGCTGCTGTTCGTCTTTGTCTTGAGTTTATTATTTTTAAATACTGATTTCTCAAATTGTTTACAGTGTTTAGATTACGAAGGAAAACCAGTTGACTGGTAAGTATTAATTCATGGTTCCAGGAGGTCCTATGTCACACTGATCCTATGTATGTAGACTAATTTCAAGTCTGTACGGGAAGTTCAAGAAAGAAGTACGAAAGTGCATATATATATGGCCATTAATAATTATTAATTAATATAGTTACTATAAGTATAAGTATATTAATTAATAATTATTAATGGGCATATATGTTCATTATTGTAGATTTTTGTTGCACTCTTTGCATCTTTTAACAGTTTTTGCAGGAGATAAGAGCACATAATTACGTACTAGATAACAAATAAACAAACCTTAATCTCCTAACCCTCCGTGTTTCGAGATAAGAGATGATACCATTACCTTCAATGTAGCACATGGGGGAGCGATTCGCACCCGGCATTTGTAAACAAAATTGACAATATTTTTAATCAAAAAAACGATTGGTTATTGTTATTTATAATATTTCTGCCACACCCAACTACAATTAAGCATATAATCCTACCTGAAACGGGTACAAATCCCCTCTTTTTAAATCGAAGCGACAGTAGATTGCCTTTTCTGACATTTAAAATTTACGTCTGTAACACATAAAGGCGGAGCCTCGTGTGCAATAGCCGATCAAAGTACCCATCTGATCAGAGTTGCGCAGTAGTAATACAGCGTAACTATGAACGTCCGAATCAATTTTGATAAAAACAACGCTTGATTTACTTTATTGTCAATATTTGCTAATAAATGAATGTTGTTTCAGTAGATTGGACTGCATATGTGTAATAAGTACTAATAGTATAAAATTAACTTATTTTTAAGATGGTACATACATTAATAAAGAAATTGAGTTTGCCACTTAATAATAATAATAATAATATCTTTATTTTCAAAGGTGAAAAATTAGGCTTAGAGCCTGTTTACAATTTTGCCCTTTATAACAAAGAAATGAAAAAGACAGTAACAGAACAAGACACTTAACAAATACTCACACACAAGACATTCAAATATACTATTCAAAAAAAGTAGGGGATATTTGATTTTTAAGTGTTATTAAAGTCACCTAATGAAACTGACGAAGAAACAAATGACAAAATGAAATGAAGTTCACATTCATCGATTTATTCCAAATGATCGTTAGACTAAGTAAGGCACAGACTGACCATTATAAGGGTAAAATGATACCCGGGGTCAAACAGCAAAGTTACCACAGCATCACAACCAAGTCAGTAACGGGTAAATCCTCCTCTGTTTGCCAAAAAAGCATTGATCCGACGTGGCATACTCCTAATGAGACGTCTAAGGTCATTTTGGTCCAGATTGTCCCATTCCTGTTGCAACGCAGCAGCAAGTTCTTGGACATTGGCAGGACGTTGTTGACGTTGACGTAACCTCTGTCCAAGCATGTCCCAGACATGCTCGATGGGGGAGAGGTCGGGACTCAGTGCTGGCCAAGGTAATGTGGTGATGTTCTGTTGTTGGAGGTAACCTGTAACGATCCTGGCCCTGTGACATCTTGCGTTGTCATCCTGGAAGATGAAACGGCGGCCATGACGTCGTGCGAACGGCACAACATGGACTGCCAAGATGTTGTCCCGGTAGTACTGGCCTGTAACACGCCCTGCAACAACATGTAAAGCCGTTCTTCCAGCAACAGTGATGCCTCCCCACACCATAACAGAACCACCCCCAAATCGATCATGTCTGATGACGTTAACGTCTTGGAAGCGCTCGTTTCGACGACGCCACACCCTCCTACGTCTGTCCAAAAAATCAACAGTGAACCTTGACTCATCACATTGCTCCAGCGTCGATTATCCCAGTGTTGACGATCCCTACACCAACGACGTCTTGCCTGAATGTGATGATCTCTCAAACAAGGGATCACGCGAGGACGCCAGGCGCGAAGGTGACCCCTATGCAGTCGATTCCGAATCGTCTGGCCACTCACTCTCACACCAGTGTCTGTTTGAAGACGAGCGCTGATCTGATTTGCTGTGATGACACGATTTCTCAAGGCCAAGGTACGGATAAATCGATCCTGGGCTTGAGTTGTCGGCCTTGGTCGACCTGAGCGTGGTCTGTCCTGTACAGATTGTGTATCACGGTATCTGGACCATAGCCTGCTTATGACAGACTGAGAAACATTCATCGTCCGCGCCACAACCGCCTGTGTTGTGCCGATCTGTAGCATGCCAAGGGCACATAACCTTTCATTTTGGGTAAGCCGACGCATATCAAAATTTGTTTTCTGGTCACTAAAACAATTAAACTGATGTTTCCACCCTGGAATTCAATGCCACAATGACTGTAACATTCAAAGTCAGAGTCGTGCAAATCTTGGGTTGGACCCCCATGATGATCCCAAGCATCACCTGCATTCCATGCGGTAGCTATTGGTGCGTTTGGGCGTCACATGTAACTGGAAATGTTTCTTCTGTTAGGTTCTATAGTGACTTTTTTCGTAGTCATTTGCATATTTTAGTATTATGCCCCCAAAATCAAATATCCCCTACTTTTTTTGAATAGTATATATATTGATAAGCTAATTAGTTTAACTTTAAAAACTAAAAGTAATATGATAGATAATATGTAGTAAGTAGTTGATATATTAAATATAGGCTACAGGTTAAGAAGAAGAAATAACATGCCTAGTGATATTTTTCTTAAATAAATGAAGATTTTTAATATTTTTAAGTGAATATGGGAGAGAATTCCAAAGCACTGTGCCTCTATATTGTAAACCTCATTTAAATATTTCATTATTAGGTCTACAGATAGAAATTCTATTATTGTCCCCCGGCTTTCGAAGAAAGCAGGGGACTATTAAAATGGGTTCGTCCGTCTGTCTGTCCGTCTGTCTGTCCTGTCTGTCCGTCCGTCTGTCTGTCCGTCACACTTTTTGGGACACAATAACTCTCTTCCTAATTGAGCTAGAATGTTCAAACTTGGTGTATGTGTTTATTAGGTCAATGCCTTGATGGAGTTCGAAGATGAGCATTTTCCGCTTAGGGTAAGCAGAGATAAGCAATTTGATTGGTTGATGCTTTGGGACACGATAACTCTCTTCCTAATTGGGCTAGAATGTTCAAACTTGGTGTATGTGTTGATTAGGTCAATGCCTTGATGGAGTTCGAAGATGAGCATTTTCCGCTTAGGGTAAGCAGAGATAAGCAATTTGATTGGTTGATGCTTTGGGACACGATAACTTTTAATTGAGCTAGAATGTTCAAACTTGGTGTATGTGTTTATTAGGTCAATGCCTTGATGGAGTTCGAAGGTGAGCATTTTCCGCTTAGGGTAAGCAGAGATAAGCAATTTGATTGGTTGATACTTTGGGGCACGATAACTCTCTGCCTAATTGAGCTAGAATGTTCAAACTTGGTGTATGTGTTGATTAGGTCAATGCCTTGATGGAGTTCGAAGATGAGCATTTTCCGCTTAGGGTAAGCAGAGATAAGCAATTTGATTGGTTGATGCTTTGGGACACGATAACTTTAGTTCTAATTAAGTGAGATTGATGAAACTTGGTGTATAGTTTCATTACATCAATACCTTGACTAAGTTCAATCATGAGCATTTTCTACTCAGGCTAAGCAGAGCGATAAGCAATTTGATTGGTCGAGACATTGGAACACAATAATTCACATTCTAATTGATGTAGAATGTTCAAACTTGGTGTAGGCTTTCATTAGGTGAATGCCTTGATGGAGTTCAATGATGAACATTGTATGCTTACGGTAAGCAGAGATAAGCAATCTGATTGGTTGATGCTTTGGGGCATGATAACTTTGAGAGAGATGAAACTCCGAATATAGATTCATTATATCATTACCTTGACTAAGTTCGATGGTGAAAATTTTCTGCTAAGGCTAAGGAGCAATAAGCAATTTAATTGATTGGTCAAGACTTTGGAACATAATAACTCTGCTTTTAATTGAGGTAGAATGTTTAAACTTGATGTAGATGTTCATTAGGTGAATGTCTTGACTAAGTTCAATGATTAACATTTCGAGCTGAAGCCAAGCAGAGCTTATCAGTTTCATAATCTTGATTCTATTTGATAGACAGTGATGAAACTTAGTCTATAGTTTAACTGTTCGATACTTTTGAAAAAAATAAATGTTCTATTAATTAATACGTGTCATCTAATTATTTTGCTATTTCGGCGGGGGACATCAGCCTCACTGTTGGCTTGTTGAGAGATGAATATGGAGTGGTGTTATAATGAAAAATATTATATAAATATGATGGACAAAGTTTATGGATAATTTTTTAAACAAAAATATATTTGTTAATTAAAAGTCTTTGATAAATAGTTTGAAGATTTAAGGATGAAGATAAAAATTGGTAATAAGATGAGAAGGAATGATCAGAGATATTTCTATTGTAAATTAATTTAAAGGATAATTTTTGAAGTCTCTCAAGTTTAGATATAGATGTAATTGAACAAGAGTCCCAAATAGTGGAGCAATAATTGATATGAGATTGAATATGAGCAAAATAGAACAATTTAAGTACTTCAGTAGGAAGCAACTGTTTTAATTTGCGTAATTGAAAATTTTTTTGTCGAGGAAGCTTAGGTAAATGATCAACATGAGGAGACCAAGTGAAATTTTCATCAAAAATGATGCCTAAAAGTTTAAATGTAGAGACATTTTCTATAGGTGAATTATTTATGTGAATTTGAAATTTTGTTGAAAGTAATTTACGCCTTGAAGAAGGTGTAATACTCATTGTTTTAGTTTTGGTTTCATTAATTACCATGTCATTTGTGGAACACCAATTTTGAACAATAGAAGTTTCATTTTGCAATGTGGTAATTAATGAAGTAACATCAGAAGATGAGAAATAGACAGTAGTATCATCAGCAAATAAATCACTATTAACATGTAAATGTAAAGGTAGATCATTAATAAATAAATTAAATAACAAAGGACCAAGGATTGAACCTTGGGGAACACCTTGAGTTATCATAGCAGGGGCAGAATAAGTTTGTCCAATACTGGTACATTGTTGTCTATTATATAAATAGGAAGTTAACAATTTAATAAGAGTACAAGATAAATTATATAATTTCAGTTTTTGAAGTAGAAGATTATGATTTACTAAATCAAAGGCTTTGCGGAAATCAATAAATACCATACCTGTATACAGATTATTATTAATAGCATGATAAATGTTATCAGAAATATTAGTTAATGCCGTTTGGAACTAAAGGCATCCAATCGTAGCTAAAAACAAGCACATCAGTATATCTCAGCATTTTTAGTTACGTTCTCGTAGCTAATAACGTACTATTGTTCAATTCTGTTCTCTCCTCAGTTTTAATTTTTCTCAGAGAAGAAAATAGTCTCTCTGTCTCTGAATTTGAATTTGGTATCAATTAACAGTTTTTCCCTTAAATCAGACAGATTTTTAAACCTTGGGGAACCATCCATTAACTTAATTTTTTTTAACCTTCATCCAATATTGATCTGGTTGGAGAATTTCAGATGGCAATTCTTGCTTTGGACTAAGCTGTTAATCTGTAAACTCTTCAGTCAATTCATCTGACAATTTGAAATCAAGTACCTATATTAGCGCAGGCAAGAACTGAAAAGATAAATTGGGAAAGATCAGACAATTTCATACATAATTATTGCTTATCTAGAAAATAATTGAATTGAATTCTAGAAAATAATTGAAATAAATTCTTTGTGTTCTTACCAGAATTGATTGTAAAATGTTCTCTTCTCTCTGTTTCATGATGAATCCACCCAATATTTTTCAAAATTTGATTATGAAATGGAAATTTCTTTATCATCTTTCTAACCGATTCTTCATAAAAGAACCTGACATGCCTGAAACATAAACAAATAAGTTGTTAGAATATCTTCAAACGGAAGATTGTTACATACCAGTCACAGGATCAAGTGACTAAGTGAGTAAGACGCTGGCTCGCTAGCCTGGAGGTCGGGTGCTGCCTCAACTTTTCACAGTGTATAACTCACTTAATTCACAGAGTACATGTAGATAAAGAAATAGAAACATTACCTGAAATGCAGTATTGAATTCATTCAGAGGTGTTAGAATATACTGAAGAAATAGGAAATACAGCTTCGTTTCCTTGCTTGAAAGGTACTCAAAGTATGTCTTGACACGGCTAGGTTTTTCAACATCATCATGACTTGTAAAATACGAGAGGAGAGCTGGCCATTGCTCAAGAGTGCACCTTATGCACCTTTCAAGGCTTAACCATCTTGTTTGCACATACTTTAGAAGCTTGTTTGGCTCCACCTCACAGAACTCCTGAAAAGCTTTATATTCTTCTTTTCTTTTTATATAAATTATACAATGTTAGAAAGCTATATGACAAAAACACAGTGGATAATATTTGAAGGATCAACAAAGTTGGGCAAAAAGATGAACCCTGCCTCAGTTTTAGGTAAATAACCTTATCAACACTTTTGAAAGTATTACATCACTGATTTCGAGTCTGACTCCTCTGGTAGTGTTTTGAGGGCTATTGTTATGTTTGATCGCCTGGGGATAGCCAAAAAGAATTGGCAATAATTTTTATCAATCCCTCCGAACTCCAATAGGTTTGTGAGGTTTTTACGTATTTTACACACAGATTCAGACAGTAATATATAAATTCTACAATGTTAGAAAGCACTTTCCAGACTTATCTAATATCTGTGACTTGGCACATCTATCCAAAGTTGAGTAAGTACAAAACAATAGACCTATAATATTTTGTCGATCAGGGAGAGTAATTGATAAACAAATCAACTAATTCAGCTTTCTATCCAAATATAATATAAGGTCTTTGAGGGAATTTGTGTGAGGATTAAAATTACCAAATCCTTCATTGTTTTGACCTGATCACTGCAACCTTCCAAATGCTCTGGTTAGCATGTGCGTGCTGCGCTGTATCATATGGTCTGTCATTGAGTCAACTGGCGGGGTTTTGATTCCCCGGTTGTACCTCGTGGGTTTTTTCTCCGGGTCCTCCAGTTTCCTCCCACTGCTAAAGACCCCTACGCGCAAGCGAATTATTGAAATAAAATTGAACCATGTGTTAGTCCTGAAATGACCTAGTTTGTGTCGAGTGGACGTTAAACCCCATTTCTCTCTCTCTCTCTCTCCAAATGCTCTACAGGTTGAGAGCTTTTGAGATTATTTTTGTTATTAAAAAATCTGCTAGTGGATTGTTGCCTGGCAACACTGTGTTACTATTGATAATATACAATGAAAACAATGTTAATAGAAACATTCTCATCTTTCAATTTGATCTCAAAATATAACCTCTTCCACATTGAAATATTGTATTAGTTAGGCATAATATATTTACTGCTAATCACAATCAGAGGTTTAACTTTTCAGCACCGACTTGGCTCCAACCTCACAAATGAAGATGTATGATGAAAAGCCCAAAAATTTAAAAATGTTCAGTTAACAAGTACAAAGACAATTTAAGCTGTACTTCTGGGTGTTAAATATAACAGCCATATACAACCACATCTATATTCAATGGGTACAATACAAAATCATTAACAGTGCCCATTGAATGATCATTGCACAGCAATTCATAACTTGCTGAGAACACTTGTGTTGGCCACTAAAAGTGCAAAAGTTGAATTTCAAGGTTATCCTGTTGAAGCCTATGGGTATGAGATACACCAAAGAAAAAAAAATGATTATTACATTACTTTGTTGACAATTTTGATGAAACTTGAAATGCATGTTTATAACCCCAAGATCTTGGTTCCTTTCGATACTTGGGCATATCGAATGGTAACTTCCTGAATTAGGGCCCCAGATTGTATGAAAAATCACGTTTTTAGCTTGTGGTCCCTGTAGAGATCACAATCATTTTCCGATTTAAAAAAAATGTTTGAATATATAACCATTACACTGTAATGATGCTTGAATTTCGTGAAAATCGGACCAAAACTGCCGGACAAAATGGCCGCCCCTCGTATGCAAGTAATGTAAAAATATGGTACGGCAACGTTGTGGACCCTCTGGAGGTCATAATTTTGATCTGATTTTGATGAAACTTGAAATACCTATCTATAACCCAAAGGTCTTGGTTCCTTTCAAAAATCGTGCATATCGGATCGTAACTTTCTGAATTAAGGCCCTTGATTGTACGAAAAATCATATTTAGCTTGTGGTCGCTAGTGAGGTAACAATTTTTATCCGATTTAAAAAAAACTTTGAATATATCATTGTTACACTCTAATGATGGCTGAGTTCAACTTTTGTGAAAATCGAACCAAAACTGCCAGACAAAATGGCCACCCCTCCTATGCAAATTTTAATATAAATGGTATATCAAGGTTGTGGACACTCTATAAGAGGCCACAATTTTGATCTGATTTTGATGAAGCTTGAAATCATGTTTATAACCCAAAGATCTTGGTTATTTTTGATATTCGCGCATATCAGATTGTAACTTCTTGAATTATGGCCCTTGATTGTACGTAAAATCGCGTTTTTAAGCTTGTGGTCCCTCTAGAGGTCACATTTTTAATCTGATTGAAAAAAACATTTGAATATTTCACTGTTACACCCTAATGACGGCCGAGTTCGAATTTTGTGAACATCGGACCAAAACTGCCAGACAAAATGGCTGCCCCTCGTCCGCAAATAGTGTAAATATATGGTATATCAAGGTTGTCACAATTTTGATCCGATTTTGATGAAATTCGGAATATATCTTTATAAGAGGCCACAATTTCGATCGGATTTTGATGAAGCTTGAAATCATGTTTATAACCAAAAGATCTTGGTTCCTGTCGATATTCACGCATATCAGATCGTAACTTCCTGAATTATGGCCCTTGATTGTAAGAAAAATTGCTTTTTGTTTAGTTCGTTCTCAATCCATTTCTTGCAAAATGTGGGCATATCCTGCCTAGCAGCCACTGGTTATATTTTAATATTGTGTTTCAGGTTTGTTGTATACAAGTTACCAGAATTAGACGAAAATAAATCGAGCCCAATTCTTCATCATGGGTTAGGCCATTTTTATCTGGATGCCAATAATCCAGAATTTCAATTATCAAAATATTCTTTGAACTCTTCAAATGATGCCATTTATTACACTCTACAGCAGATTTACACTGCCAAGGTATTAGTATGAAAAGGTTATTAGCAAAATGCAGAAATGTGATTCAGATATCTAATTTTCCAAAGAGCGAATCTGATCTTCACTTTTGCAAACTGATTTTTTATGACCCTTAAAATGGCTAAATCTCTTTGATTTGCCAATTTTATTTGATTTTATATGTTGATCTCTTTTGTGGGATGACAATTTGGCTTTGTTTAATTAATAAAATTTGATGTCTATAGATATAGCTAATGATGAGATAGAACTGATTTTATATCCCTCTGTTGACACGGCAAACTAAAATTGGTAAAATCACTTGAAATATACCTTTAATTTGAAATAAGACCTCACATCAACTCAATGAAGCATTTTATTTTGATCTAAAGCAAAGCAGTTTAGTTCCTTCAAGGCTAATGTGTACCAGCTTGATATCTGAACAGATAACGTCATAATTCCAAACTAATCCTTGTTTTACTGCTGCCATTTCTGAAACCTAACTGGACCTAACAACATTCTTATTGATGGGGGAATGTAGGAGGTGGTGTTGTTGGTGGGTAGCAGAACGGTTGAACGTGTGTGCATTAGATCATAAAGTCTGTGGTTTTGATTCCCCGCAAGTACAAGCAAGGAGTAGGGTCATCTGCCCAACCTCGTGGGCTTTCTCCAGGTGCTCTTGTTTTCCCCCCACTGCTAAAGACTCCTATGCACAAGCAAATTATTGAAATAGAATTAAACCTTAGTCCCGAAATGACCTAGTTTGTGTCGAGTGGATGTTAAACACCATTTCTCTCTCTCTGTGTTAAAGTTTTAGTTTATGCATTTGCCCATACCCTAATTCTCAAATCAGGACAATGTTTACTCATAAAATTCACTATTGATAGGCCTTTTTACTTCCCATCAAACAATCATGCAAAACATTTTCACAGAGTGCTTTAAAAATAAGGGAAAAAAAATCACAAGCTGGTTGTAGGCCTATGACAAATATTATTGTCACCTTTAAATTTGTATACCATTATTGTCCGTCTATAGTCGCTTGTGAGAACACTACATATAAAAGTTGTTTGCAGATTTTTTTTTCAAATCAAAAGGGATAGTTTATTTGTTTATAAGGAAGACTAAACTGAAATTCAAGATCCTTTTATCACAAACCATAAAGTTAATATCTTGTTGGTTCATCTTCCACTATTTCTGCATGAAATTCTTATGTATTGTTCAGATTAATGAAATGAAGAATCTTCCTCAATTTCAACGATTTATTTATAACAATTTTTGAATATATTTGCTACAGTTATTGCCCTTGATTATGTTATAAAATATTTTCAGATTTCCAAAGATGTTTTACAATATATTACACATTTTACTTTTTATTTAAGCAACAAATTATAATGCGACAACATTTATCGACTGCTCGGATGACTTAGCTAGCTGCTGTGGGTGTATATTTCGTTGCCTGATTGCATTGTTATTTTTTTAAATTTAGGATGATTCGATATTATATGGTATGTATAATGATCAACCACCAAAACACAAGGGTTCCTTAAACCATGGCCATACAAAAGGTAGAAGTTAGCCTTTAATCATTAATATTACAGAATGAGGGACAAAATGAAAATTGATAGATAAATTTGGTGGTGAGAGGGAATTGGGCACTATTAAAGTTGGCATGTCTTATAATGGACATTAAAGGACTTTGCAAACATGACTCTTTTCTCTCTTTTTCTATGAGTCATTAAAGGACTATTATGCTGTTCTCATAGGGCCAAAAACGGCACATACCGGTAATAAAAACAATTCTAATTACATTGCTGATGGAATGTTAACAATATCAGAAGTAATCATGAATAAGACTAACCTGTTATTTTTAGGTGCATGAGATTGGGGCCTTCATTGAGGAATAGCATGTGAGCGATATCATTTTTCGACATAAAATACATGCAAATATCATATTTGATACAGGGATCTTAATTGGGAGATTATAGGTGACTGCAGACTTTAATGTTTGAAAAAAAAAAAAACAATTGATAAAACAATGAACAGCTACCATGGTATCATAAATTCAACAAGTTAATTATTTTTTTTTGATTACTTGTTGTAAATACAGTTTCATTCAGTTCACAATCCAAGTAATAAAGAAAATTTAACAGTAATTGTGATATCCTGCAAATCTTGCTGATTATTCATAAAATTTTCAGTTAATAGTATACTGACATTCCAAATTATTTTCTATAGTCTACGAGGACTGACTGGAAGTTCTAAGCCTGAAAATGATAGATCAATTGTGTTGAACAAACTTTTGCGACCAACAAGTACAATCATAGTGATTCAGACATAAGAATTGCAACTGTAGTGTTATTATTGTCTTCGTACCAGACTATCTTGTGAACCTACCCAATGAAATCACCAGAAATGGTCAAAACTGCCCATAGGGCAATCATCAAGTACCTGCTTCTGAAAGGACAATCCCAACACAGATACATGTTGACATAGTCTCCACTTTAGGGGATGATTCCCCTTCCTGAAGTGGGCTGGGGAATTTAAGCGTGGCAGAGAGAGCCGTGATGATGACCCGCATCCTGGAAGGGCAGTCATTAAGCCCAGCAACTGAAAGGACTAATCCCAATATAGATACATGCCGACATCGTCAGACTTACACCTGTTTCCAAAAATGAAAAAAGGAACTAGCTAGTCGTCATTTTCCTAGTAATGATGACGACATGTCAGCTGTGAATGACATTTTTTTAGAGTGACCTTTCAACTTTGTTGGCAAAAGTGTGTAAACCTCAAAGGGGACTATGTAGAAAAATAAATGAAAACCATGGACTTTGTACAGGTCTTTCACAGATAGGCTTAGAACTTTTCAGCCAGCCCCTGTATGTAAGTGGTAGTATATGTTTATTATTACAATTATTGTTAAGATAAATGTATATTATAGGTGTGATAGCAAGTAATGAAAATCAAGGCTATTGGTTGGTACACAGTGTACCCAAATACCCTCCACTTAAAAATGAATCTTACACCTGGCCAAAAAGTGCGACAGTTTATGGTCAGAACTTCTTATGTATCACAATTGATTATGAGACAGTTGACAAGATAGGTATGTAGTCTTACAAAACATCATAACATCACTGTATATACAAAACTTTGTGCTTGTACTATGATAGCTGCTCTTCATATATAGACACTGAGCTTGTTAGATCAAATGCTATTACATGACCTGCTCTGTATTAGTTTTGTTAAGATAGAGACGACAGAAATACCCTCATGTCACAGTCAGTGATTTTTACTTGTAGTGCATGGTTGTAACTAATAACAATACCAAAATTCAATCAGCCATGGCTTGAAACATTATTTGAATTTGAATATTTGAGTGAGCACTACAACTTTTCAGGGTAGGATGAAAAACTTAGATCCACCAAATAATATAATGTTAGCTACCTTTAAAGAGGCATTAGTTAAGAGTTTAATAAAGAGTTGGCCATTCTTGTTATAATAAATTACTTTATTCTGAACGGAGTTGTCACTGTTGGAAGTTTGGACTAGAAATAGGCATCAACTATGTCCGCACCGTCTACGAGAATTGCCGATCGTTTGATTGACAGATGATACTTCCACCCATATATATTCTCGATTATCAAGTAACATTCTCAATGGCTATGGTACCCTCGCTTGGTAGGCCTTTCATCGGAAGTCTCCCGATAAACGTTAGCTTGGTCGGCCGTTTCTTGATTTAATTTTAAATGGACGACTGTTTAAATCCAAGCTATATCCAAGCCATCCGAGGGTCTACAGAGGTCTAACAAATAATTTCTGTAACATCTGAAGCCTAAATAAAGACTTGCAATAGGCAGGTTTAGCTCTTGCATAATGTATGTTTAAGTGTTTGTAACTTTAAATAATCAGTTTACCTGGTTGTGAGTTAGTTACATGACTAAGCACTTTGAATCCTCTTGTCAACCACCAATGCTGCTTGATCTCGGTATTTGTAGTACTATATATGTTGAAATCATACCAAACATTCATCAAAACATTCAATTCAACATTGAAAGCCCTTTCATTCTAAGGTTAAGGGTTTGTGCCGCCCAGGGCAGCCTTTGAGTTTCCTGTTTTCAAATCTGTATTTATTCTGGTAGACTAATGAGAAATAAAACATGGATAATTAATTTACTAGAAAAAAATCATTAGTTTTTGGACCAGGAACTGGTTTCTAACTGCTACTCATCTTCTTCTTGGTCTTCTTCTTGAACAATTTGCAGAAAAAAAGCAATTCAGTGAATGTATGATCTTACCAGCTTATTTTTTAGCCATTTTATTATGGTACAGTACAAGGCCATAATGTTAAAAAATGGCGACTGATAATGACCTTCTCTTACTTTGATACCTTTTAACAGGTTTGTTTCTTCAATATACTTAATTTATAGATATTTTACATTTCAGGAAAGCAGTATTTGTATAATTATCCCAAGTTTTATGATGAATATATGCCACCACAATTTGCTGATGACAATCCAAATATGGTTAAGGCTTTTAACAAAGTACATGTTCAGTCTCCACCATGGAACAACACGGCTGATTTCTATTCAAGTGGTGGAACTAAATTTTACAGTTTTGCAAAGTTTTGTAATTTTGAAAGAGGTGTGATATATAGCTTTTACCTTAAATCATAAATTATATATAGCTTTTACCTTAAATCATAAATTATTTCTTGAGTAGTAGGAGGAAGAAGTGGTGGTTAAGGGACTGATTATTTTTATTATTATTTTTTTATTGGTGTTCTGCAAACTGTCGCCAAGTTGTTGCAATGTAGACATATTCCCTCTCTTTGTCTCTCTCTTTCCCATCCGCCCTCCACCATCGCATTTTTGCACAGCACAGAGAATACTGGAATGTTTAATAATTTGCTGTGATTCTTTATTCAGGTCCGATATATGACAGAGTTATGACTAAAAATTTTAAAACTTGATGGAATTGGTGATTGGGGCATCAGCAAAAATCCTATTGAATTTCAGAATTTTTTTACTTTTAATGCTCTCGAATATTGAGTTACCTCCCTCCCCCAATATTTTCAAATGCTTGGTATAATGGCTGGATTTATTCTTTAAAGGAAAGGTTCATGTAAACAAGACATATTGTATATAATTCTGATAATTGAAAACAATATTGTTACATTTATAATGAAGATACAAATTGGTAGTGAACGCCAACATGTGTGACGTCATAGTGCACTACGTATTACATCATCTAGTCCACTTACCTTTAGAATAGTTTGCTGTTCAAAACAATTTTTTTCAACTTCCAATTAACTATTCCGATAATTTATTCTGTGTTTGTCCGTCCACAATTTGTTTGTGGACACTCTACAGGTCATAATTTTTATCTGATTTTGACGAAACTTAAAAATATAGGTCTATCTCTTGAAGATCTTGGTTCCTTTTGATATTGACATGTATAGGACCATAACTTCCTCGATTATAGCCCCTGATTGTATGAAAAGTCACGTTTTTAGCTTGTGGACAATCTATAGGTCACAATCTTGATTTGATTTTGATGAAACTTGAAATACATCTTTATAACCCAAAGATCTTGGTTCCTTTCGATATTCGCTCATATCGGATCTTAACTTCCTGAATTATGGCCCCTGTTTGTACGAAAAGTCGTAGTTTTAGCATGTGGTCCCTCTAGAGGTCCCAATTATTATCCGATTTAAAAAAACGTTAGAAGATATCACCGTTACACCGTAATTTTGGTTGAGTTCGAATTTTGTGAAAATCAGACCAAAACTGCCAGACAAAATGGTATATCAAGGTTGTGGACCCTCAAGAGGTCACATGTTGATTCGATTTTGATGAAACTTGAAATACATGTTTATAACCCAAAGATCTTGGTTCCTATCGATATTTGTGCATATTGGATCATAACTTCCTGAATTATGGCCCTTGATTTTACAAAAAATGGTATATCAAGGTTGTGGATCCTCAAGAGGTCACATGTTGATTCGATTTTGATGAAACTTGAAATACATGTTTATAACCCAAAGATCTTGGTTCCTATCGATATTTGTGCATATTGGATCATAACTTCCTGAATTATGGCCCTTGATTTTACAAAAAAATCACGTTTTTAGCTTGTGGTCCCTGTAGAGGTCACAATTTTTATACGATTTAAAAAAAAAATGTGTCAATATATCACCATTGCCCACTAAGATCTTGGTTCCTTTTGATAATCGCGCATATCCGAACGTAACTTCATGGATTATAACCCCTGATTGTTTGAAAAATCGCATTTTTAGCTTGCAGATTCTCTAGAGGTCACAATTTTTTTTCCGATTTTACAAACCCTTTAAATATATCACTAATACACAATAATGGAGGTTGAATTCGAATTTCGGGAAAATTGAAATGAAACTGCCCAACAAAATGACCACTCTTTGTATGCAAATTCTGTAAAAGTATGTAATACAAAGATTATGGGACCCTCCGGAGGTCACAATTTTTATCCGATTTTGATGAAACTTAAAACATATCTTCATATCCCGAAGATCTCAGTCTCTTTTGATATTTGCGCATTTCAGACCATAACTTTCTAGATTATTGCCCCTGATTGTACAAAAAATCGTGTTTGTTTTTAGCTTGTTCTCTATCCATCTCTTGCAAAATGTGGGCATGTCCTGCCTGGCAGCCGCTGGTTGGAATGGCATATTTATTTAAACATTATCTAAGTGTTGCTCCAACAATTCACCACACAAATCCTGCACACAACTGTCATTACTGAAATGGTCGGAAAGCAGAGTCTTGTTGCTGAACTTAAATTTGTCTATTTTATGACTGGTACACCGATGTTCCTTTCTACTGGTCATCTGGGTGGGATGGAAATTTTAAAATAGGTCACTTTCCTAATTTTGCAGGTCTTATTTAAGCACCCATAAGTTGCATATTTAGTTATGTCATCTGTATGGATATTGCATTCTGATGTCAACAGTTTGTCGACATAATTAATTTGTAATCTTAGTTTTGATTGGTTGAGAATTAGCGATGGACAGGAACATGGTGCACTCCTTTGCAATGACATTTATTAAATAAAATGAGCCTATTTGGTCTATAATATTTAATAATATTTTTAATTTTTCAACACAAGTACTTTTTGATTTATTATTATATGATTAAGCTTGGATGAACATTTTCTTTAAGACAACTGATAGTCATATGTATGTTACTTCTGATTGAGCAATTTCACAATTTGTTCATTTATATATTTAATTATTTTGAAGATTTATATGATGCCTGGCTTGCTCCATATTTTAAGTCTGACATGTTCGCAGAAACCTGGCAGAATGGAAAAGGAAAATTACCTTCCTACTGTTCGGTCCCTTTTAAGGTAAATGAAATATTTTTCTGTTAATTTCAATACTTTATTTAACTTTAAAGAAAATAATAAAAAATAATTCACACGCCTAAATATTTATATTGGTAATTTATCACCTACATCATGAAATCTGAATAACTTTAAACCTTGTGTTGCAAATGAAATTCGCTTGAGTAAACTGTGGACATGTTCTATACATCATCCATCTGTCCATTATTCTTTAGATTTTCTCATTTACTCTGTTCCTGATGGAAATTTTAAATTGATCATCATGGCATATGGATGAACCCTTTTCAATTTCAATGCTTTCTGGTAACAGTTCTATATGCCAACATTTAATGTGGTTGTCGTCTTCTGCTTCCAATGTCCGGCGGTCGATTCAGCCTTTCTTGTGAACGCTCTACGCAATACATTTCCTATCAAACTTGGAACGGTTTGTATCGCATATTTAAGGAATATTTCCTCATTACATTCTAATTTTATAAAACTGTTTCTATTGCATATTTTAGGATTATTTCCTCATTACATTCTAATTTTATAAAACTGTTTTTATTGCATATTTTAAGATTATTTCCTCATTACATTCTAATTATAGAAAACTTGTGAACATGATACATTTATTGATGGAATGCTTTTAAACTCAGTGAAACTGTTCACTAGGATATTGGAAGAACACTTTTGAATTTTGTGTTTTCCAAGTTGGATTTTGATTTTTAAACATATGGAATCTATAAAAGTTGATGGCATATATTGTTCATTTCAGTTGAAGCGGGAACCCTATAAAAATTCATAATTTTTTGAGCGCATATTGCAGTGTTGAGATATGCTCCAATTACATTAAAATTTATGACATTTTGTGAACTCACTACAGGACAAAAGCCAATCCAATTATTATATCAGATTTTTCATGTTATCCGAATGACTAGACACTGCTTCTTGCAAGGCTCTCCATTTGCAAAATTTTATATGTTATAGGTGTTAAATGTTATAGAAATTTCACTACCTGAAGGTATCAAGTTTATAGAAACAAAAGATCATTCTAAATGGGCCATTACCAGAGATGTTGGCAACTGGGTGTGTATCGGAGATATCAATAGAGAGGTAACCATATTTAGTTGAATTTCATACTTTTGACCACTTGAGAGCAGTGGTGGCTCAGTGGGTACGGTGCTGGCTCCATAACGGGGAGGTCTAGTTTCGATCCCAGTGTTTGTCAAGAAATTATCTTATAATTTTCCAGTGTGTTTTCCACTTGTATTGGGTGCAGATTCAGGGCATGGCAAGGAGCGTTGTCTTGTCGCGGATGGAGACAGGGGTGTGGTGACCCATGACTTTGCATGAGCAACAAGATCCCTCCCAATGCCGCCGGGTAATATTGGAACATGCTAGGGGCGATTTGTAGCATAACTGACCTACGGTATATGGTTGACACTGGTTGAGCATTATGATTACGATGCTGAAAACTGCATAATTTCCTGCCATTTGCTGGCTCGCTAGCCTGGAGGTCGGGTGTTCGATCCCTGCATTGGCCAAGAAAGTTCATCAGGATTTTCCGACGTGGTTTCCTCTTGTCAATGGTGCAGAACGGAGGGACTGACAAGGACAGCTGTCTAGTCCTTCGGATGAGACAAAAAACCGAGGTCCCGTGTATATGGAATGCATGTAAAAGATCCCCTGGCATTTGGAATTCGATATAAGAGAGGCAATAGTGCCGCTGCCCGGGCAAAATTTTTACTCATAGCACACTGTATGTGGCGTATGCCCGTCTTCATTAGCTCAGTATAGGAGCAGAACAGTAGGACGTTAAACCCCATTTCATTTCATTTCATTTCCTGCCATTTGCGAGGGGGCACAAGAACTCGAGCGGATGCAAAAACTCAAAAGCATGTCACAAAGCTCTTCATTGCATCCCTCTCACTTAGCCCCTGGATGGAGAATCGCTGTCCCATGTACAATTAAAAGAACTCTTTTATAAACAATTTAGGTTGCACCAAGGCAATGTATCTTCAACAAAAAAACAAAAATAACTTGTATAATGACATCACGTTATCAATTCAGACATGTTTGTATAATGTTGACATTGTAAAGGTGCGAACAATTATCAGGGTACTTTTGTTTTTTTCAGGAAACACAGGAGAAGCGGGCAGGAGGTACTGTGTGTTTTCAAAATAAAGATGTTTGGAAGAACTATAATAACAGTATATTTGATGTACAAAACTGCTCACCTAGATATTCTGTTGTAAATCTTTAAAAAGAACCCAGATATGTTTGTTATCTCCCTTGATATGAAGAACACATTCCAGCCCTAACCCCCACATCTTTAATAGAAGGCTTGATCTCGCTTTAACTACATACATCTTATCAAGCCCTTCACGTAATACCCTGCATTTTTCGGCACTAATTTCGATTGAGTACAAGCCCAGCTTGTGAGCCTATCAGATTCCTCAATCGTTGTGAATACCAAGTCTTGCGCTTTCAAGCTAAAACGTCTACCTGTGATAATTGAGTTGCAAAGTTAAAGGTTCATTCAATGCCAAAGTTTCTTTGGAGGTCGCTATCTTACAACTTCTGATTGGACGCTACTGTTCACATGTCTGTAGATAACGTAGCTATAAGCTCGGGAATTGTGAAGTAATCTAGCAATGTCCAGATGTTATAAAACACGCAGTCATTGCTTCAGGAACATATGTAACCCCCACAGATTATTTTGTTTCTCAATAATGGCATGTTGTTATGTTTTGATCAAAAAGTAGTCATATCAAGAACACTTAGAATATCCCATAGATTATTTTTATACGCCCACATGGAAATGTGGTCGTATATTGCTTGCCATCGCCCCTGTCCATCCGTCCGTCCGTCGTCCACAATGTCTTGTGAACACTCTACAGACTACATTTATCATCTGATTGTTTTGAAATTGATGTTGTTTGCATTAGTGAGATGAAGAAGCCCATTGAATTTCAATAACTTCCGTTAATTTCTTCTGGAGTTATGGCCCCTGTTTCTCTTAGTTGCACCTTGTGAACACTCTAACAACAAAAGTTATCAACCGATCTGTATGAAATTTATATGCATCATTTAAATTAGTAAAACAAAGAAGCATATTGAAGTTCAGCAATTTCTGTTAATTACATCTAGAGTTATGGCCCTTGTTTCACTTTGTTGAATCTTGTGAACGCTCCAACGACAAAAGTTATTATCCGATCTGTATGAAATTTATATGTATTGTTTAAATTAGTAAAATGAACAAGCCTATTGAGTTTCAGCAAATTTCCGTTAATTACATCTAGAGGTATGACCCTTGTTTCACTTTGTTGAATCTTGTGAACGCTTGAATGACAAAAGTTATCACCCAATCATATGCATGATTTAAATTAGTGAAATGAAGCAGCCTATTGAATGTCAGCAATTTCCGTCAATTACTTCTAGAGTTATGGCCCTTGTTTTACCTTGTTGTACCTTATGAACGTTAGAATGACAAAAGTTATCATCCGATCTGTATGAAACGGATGATCTGTATGAAATTTATATGCATTATTTGAATTAGTAAAACAAAAAAGCCTGTTGAATTTCAACAATTTCTGTAGAATACTTCCAGAGTTACGGCCCGTGTTTTAGTGTTTAGAACCTTGTGAACCCTCAAACGACGAAAATTATAATGTCATCTGTATGAAATTGTCTATTAGATGCCCCTAATTACCTACAAAAGAATAAATATGTGACAACCCTTGTCGTCGACTGCTCGGACGATTTAGCTGCTGTGGGCATAGGTTTTGTTGCCTGGCAACCTATCTTGAGACTACTAATACATTTTATTGTCAAGACTTTAATGTGTTGAAACTAATTATAATGAGGGTTGCCACTTGTCATAAATGTGTATTGAAATTCAAGTGTTATAAATGCAATCTACAATACAGTATCTTACTCTTCTGATTCTAAAAAGAGAGAGAGAGAAATGGGGTTTAATGTTCACTCGACACAAACTAGGTCATTTCGGGACTAACATGTGGTTTAATTTTATTTCAATAATTCGCTTGCGCGTATGGGTCTTTAGCAGTGGGAGGAAACCGGAGGACCTGGAGAAAACCCACGAGGTTGGACAGGCAACCCTACTCCTTGTCACGTACAACCGGGGATTCGAAACCACGCCAGTTGACTCAATGACAGACTTAATGATACAGCGCGCACGTTCTAACCACTAAGCTATCCAACCCCCCTGATTCTAAAAAAAAGTGGTCCCTTTAAGTGTAATCATAATATACATAAGACATTTTTTATCTATTGACTTTAGCTTTATGTTATCAACGAAATTGATGATTTTATTGTTTTCTTAGATTTAAGAGGGAAGATACTCAAAATGCTTATTGGAATTAATGTCAGATTCAACACATTAATTTGTTTTGCAAGCATTCTTTTCTTGTTTTACAGTACTCAAGCTTAAACACATTTTATTATTTGATACTATTGCAATTCTATTGTATTGTACAGCACTGTATGCCCACATTGATTATAGACAAAATGACCAAAATATTGACCACGACAAGATGTTAAACTCCATTCCACTCCTATTGAACATAATACTCAAATCATATACTTTATTGCTCACCTTACTGGATCAGCCGACACACTTTTTATAGTCCCACATTTAATAACAAAGATACTGTTATCGGCCCAAATAGGCCTATATTTTTATAAATTTAATCTTGTCACATATTGTAAATATCCATATAATTTGGTTTCTCATTCTTGGGTTTAACCAAGTGCCAATTTAAATATTTTTTGTTTTTTACTTTCCTTTGTTTATGTATTTTCTGTAATTAAAATATGTACATGGACATTCTGAACAAATAATATGGCTGAAACCAAAATTGATTTACACACGATATGTATGTATTAAAAATATATTATTGTTCTAAAGATATTGAAATATAATATTGTTCATAGATAAGACAAGATTTTGGCACACCCTGTTTTGTTTTTTTCATTTATTATTTGATTCATGTGGTCGTATATTGTCGTCGCCCTTTATCCGTCGGTCTGTCTGGCGTCCACAATTGCCTGTGAATGCTCTAGAGGCTAAACTTAATATCCGATTGACTTTCAATTTATACACAGTGTTTAAGGTCATGAGACGAAGAATCCTATTGATTTTCAACGATTTCTGATAATTACTGTCTGAGTCATGGCATGATCACTCTAAAAAATCTTGTGGACGTTCTGGAGGCTACAGTTAATATCCGATTGACTTTAAATTTATTACTTTTAAATATTTAATTCATTTTTATACGGCCACATTGAAATGTGGTCGTATATTGTCCTTGCCCCCGTCCGTACGTCGGTGTGTCTGGCGTCCACCATTGCTTGTGGATGCTCTAGTAGCTAAAGTTAATATCTGATTGACTTCAAATTTATGCATGGTATTTTAGGTCATGAGCCGAAGAAGCCAATTGATATTCAACGATTTCAAATAATTACTGCCATAGTTATGGCATTTGATCACTTTGAAAAATCTTGTAGGTACTCGGGAGTCTTAAGTTAAAGGCTCAATACCACTCTTGTTGTAACTGAATAATATATCCCAATCTTTATTCTGGTCAACAAATTGTACTATTTTAGAATATTTCAATTAATTGATGATACAAATTTCATCTTAACACACCTTATTTAAAAATTTTGAAAAATTCAACATAATGGTTTGAAACGTCTAACGTAAACCTTTTCAAATAAAACTTCGATTTAAAAATATTTTCGAACCCTCTGGACAAGTAAAATAGGATGTAATGGATAATTTACACAACAGGTAGGACACTTAAACATCTGGTACTTAGATAGAGATATTATTTATTTTCTGGAGCTTTCAAGCCAGCAAGAATGTTATTGTCCCTTTAAAATATCTGGTTGAATTTAAATTTTATGTTTAAGGTCATGAGACAAAGAAGTTATTGATTTTCAACGATTTCCGATGATTATGGCAATTGATATTATATGTTTTGTATGCTAAATGTTAGAATAGGGCAGAACTAGAAGCTAAATGGGTTGTTACTCGTAATCAGATTTTAGTGTGTTGTAAATGTTTTCATGTCTGACAAAAGAAAAAATATGACACAAGTCTTGTTGACTCCCCAGAGCATTTAGCTGCTGTGGGCATATGTTTCGTTGCCTGGCACAATGCAAGATAATCTGTAAGTAACTTAAGAAATGAAATGGGTTTGACGTCCTACTGTTCTGTTCCGACTGGGCTAATAAAGATGGGCATATGCCATACAGTGTGCTATGAGGGAAATTTTGCCCGGGCAGGGGCACTATGGCGTACTCTTATATCGAATTCCAACTGCCAACGGATCTTTTACGTGCACGCCAATGTATACATGAGACCTCGTTTTTTTGTCCCATCTGAATGACTAGTCAGCTGTCCTGGTCAGGCCCTCCGGGAAGTATCTTCAGATTTATTTGACTGACATTACATGCGTAAAAAATTGTGCCCTTTAATTTTCGGACAATCCGGTTTTTCGGCAAACAGGTACTTTGTTTCTTTGCCTTCTAGTCTGCAAAATCAAGTGTCCTTAACCCCTTAAGTCTGAGAATATTTTGAGAACTCGGGGCCAGGTTCCTGTATTAATGATTTGGAGCATTTTTATTTTATACAATGACATGACGTTACCCAAGTAAAATCTCGAGTAGCCGTTGTATTAAAATCATAGACGTATGTGGTTTTCATTTTTTATTGCAATGTGGATTAGTTAATTATAAAGTAAATTATGTGTAGTACCTTTGAGGCTCAGATTAATTGGAAATCATGAGAGTTAGAGCCCTGTAACTTTTCGTAACTTACAAAAACTCAAAGGACGTCCTAAGAACGGAAGTTATCTGTAGTGGATCCATACCCCCGTGAACCTGCGGTTGGCACTCTACTATTTTAACTATTTTGATAAAAAAAACAAAACAACAACGACAAAGTAAGTATAAGCTACGCACTTTTTTTCAGACTATATGATCCCAAACCAATACCAATGTAAAGCTGCATAAACATTATCAGTCGGTACACAAACAAGGGAACTTTCATTCATCAGTTGAAGACGATGTTAAACATAACCGACCTATATAATGTTAATCTTTACTTGGCTTATACCTCTAGTAAACTTATTTATATATGGTGTATGGTATTTTACACAAATCTCTAGATTAACACACAAATTAAAACAAAAATCCTGACCCAAAATCTGGTTTATCAATGAATTTTATTAGGTGTTTTACAAATAGCGACATTAATGTAGTTATTGCAAATGATGCACATAAAATAGTTCTTAACATGGTTTAAAATAGAAAATGAATCTGATAAGAACATAATTTGATAACTGAAACGACGAGAAAGGCTAAAAGTTCAAGACACGTGCCTGTAAAGACTACTATCTCGTGCCCTTTCCAGTAATTTTGCATTCCTGAAACATCTTAACGAGGAGTTTATGTCTTCACAAAGTAATAAAAGCTAATAGTCACAATCTAACTTGAATATTTTTGAAAGGAATGCGGGTGACACATGATTTTAGCATTTTGGATATATAACACCAGCTTACTGAATTCACACCAATTACGCTGCTTTTTTTCCCCTCAAATCTGGAACACTCTCAGACTCGGTGAACCAGTGTTGTTGTCTATTTCACCAATGACATGCTTAATTTGTATGTATCCGAAAATACGTTATATTTTAGAGAATCAACTTCTCTATTATGGGAGTACATATATTATATTATTGTCATCATGACTGCCCGTCAGTCCTTTCTAATTTTTCCGATTTCTTGAATTAAATTTCCAAGATCGTTCCGCTATATTCGCGCAATGAAGTTTCTTACATGAGTTATTGCCCCCCACTAGACCGGGAGCCCAGGGGGCCAACCTAGCTAAATAGTTTACCAAGTTTTTTCTTTATGTTATCAATGCATGTATATCTGTTATCATCAGAACGTAAGTCTGCCGGGTTTCCGGTGGTGGGTGTGGTATTCCACGCCAAAAATGACATGCACCCTAACTAGGCTAGATTAGCTCAAAAGTGTGCAACATGAAAATCGTACAGCAGTGTACCGTACATCTTCAGGTGTTACAAAAACACTCTAACAGACATTTCTAGTGGTGGGTTACCCCTGACAGAGCTATGTAATTGTCAGACATTTGTAGTGGTAGAGTATCCTTGACAAGAGTTATCTAATTTCCAGTCCACAGCTAGGCTAGATTAGCTGAAATCTGTACCCCCTAAAACAGCTTCGGAGTTGTTCAGTACCACCACAGGAATCATGAATGACCACTGCCAGACAGTGCCGGTTAATCTATCGTAGTGGGGGGGGGGGTCATTTTGGGCGTGTCTGTTAGGGGTAATCCACCGCATAAACTGTCTGGCAGTGGTCAGTCATGATTCCTGGAGTGGTACTGAACAACTCCAAAGCTGTTTATATAGAGATGTTCATACCATAAACATTATTGGGCCGACATGTGAATGCTATAGCCTACAAAATCGTACATGAAGCAGGTCTGTGATATTACCCTGGTTTTATTACAACATTTATAATGGAACTGTTTTTCACTCATACGGAAGAACCGATGTTCTGTGTCAATAAGTTGTTAAAGAAAAGGTTGGGTTTATCGTTGTTCAAAGACACCGTAAGAACTGTGTTGTGTGTAGGTCTACCATTTGTTGGAACAAAAATGAGCCGTTTAATGATTCTTAACCAGGATTTTATATATATATATATATATATATATATATATATATATATATATGTTTTAATAAGTTGCAAAGCCGTCCTTTGTTAAAAGCTTTTGTTAAGTAACTTTTCAAGAATTTCCGAGATATATATATATAAGAGAATCAATATTTAAGAAGAGCGAAAAGCTTGATACATATAATATGTGTACCCTCACGTCCATTACAAACAGGTAATTGATTTGTCAATGTGACAGTAGTCTGATTGGCGGTACTATAATTAATGAACCAGGAGGTCTCCAAATCAAACTAACAGTAGAACCCATGGGTTCATCTCCAACTAGCTTAGAGACTTTGACATACATGTGTTAATTATTGTATGGTGCAAGACAATGATCTTTACGACGCCAGGCCTAAGTAGGAGGCCTTTAGATCAACCTCTTTCCTTCTCGGTTATATGTAGATCTAAATCCCTTGTCTGATATTAACTACAAAACATACTTTATAATTTCCAATATTCCAAAACGTGTGATCCTTCCCTGTGTTCTTTATGGTTATTTTGATTGTTGGCTGACAGGGGGAGTCAGAACGACAAAGGCCCGTTTTTAAGAATTTTCACACAAATTAATTACCATTCCAAATATGTAGCTTTTAACCAATTGATAACGCAAGTCGGTGAAAAATTTGAACAAATTAAATGAAATGGGGTTTAACGTCCTACTTTTTTTTTCATCCTCCGGGCCAACTGAAGATTTGAATAAGCGGCGTCTCCCCTGCTCTTCTTCTGTCAAGGGCTCTTTACGTGCACGCCAATGTGAATACCGGATGACTGTTCATTGTTCCCTGCAGTGCTAAAATAGAAAATTTCACCTTTTGACCTCCGGGGGCACAAAGAACAAAGATGAATTTAGCGCGTTTACATTTTTATTGAAAGGGTGATTACTTTCGATCATTTCAGCATATTTTTATGATACAAGAATGGCTGCGCATTCACTTTCTGTGCAAATGAACTCATTTGACCTTTGACCCCGAATATCTCGAAAACGCCCCAACGGCGGACTGATTACCACTCGGCGTCGTATTCTACGCAAAATTTTACTCTAGAAATGTTGTGTCTGCTTTTGTGCCCATTTGATCTACACCCCTCCGCACTGAGCCTCCAGACTAAGTCACTTCCTATTAAAATCCGCGCTGACGAGTAATATGAAAACAATCATCTTTTACAATTTCGGGTAAGGGGGGTAACCCACAACCCCTCAAACTGAACGCCTAC